CACTCTGTGCTCACTCTCATGTACTCTCACGCGCATGGATAGGCTCACACTCACACGTTCACATACACACACAATATTCTTACATCCCAGTTTTGCACCTTGCGGTTGAAATTACATGAAATAAACACAGCTAAGGTACGAAGGCGTGCGAATCAGTATTGCCGCTCAATGTCACTGTAGGATGAGATAAATGACTGATTTGTTTCTGCAAAATTCTGAGCCCAGCAGGAGTTCCACTTCTTTGATCACAGCCCCAGAACTCACTCGGAGCAGGTAGTACACTTGTACTTCATTCACTTCATGACTTTTCGAGGGATGCAATATATAGTTTGGGACATGACCTGTCAAGCGACTGCCAGGATAGTGGAAGACAAACTAGATACACCTTGGTCTATATTGCCTAGCAAATTCTTATGTTCTTATATATTGTTGTGTGCAAATTGGCTGCCATGATTGCCTACACAGTCACGACTTACAATTACCAGTAAGGTGCTTTGAGACAATTTGGGGTTATAGGTACTATATCGAATTTATGTATTGGTTTTACATTCTAAATTAGTCTACTGATGTCAAATCATTCTTGTCATATAACTGGAGTAAAGGATACAGATGGCCAGAGATAGAAACTACTTTCTCACACACACACACACTCATAATATTTCACAGATAGACAGTTAATGGAGAGGAAAAGATACACCTCACATTTACACACACAGTGATGCACAGACAGAACAGGTGAACAAATGGATGGCAATAGGTAGTCTTAAGAGTCCTTTACAATTTCAGACACCGTTGTAAATATATTGGTTGAAAATGTCTGGATTTTCTCTGCTGAGATTGCAAATGAACATTATTTATATATTTCAAAATATGCTGCTTCCACCACCTCAAAGCACCTGAATTATTTTCACAAAATAGTTTAGATTTTGTTTTCTTTCTCAAGCTGTGATATATAATCATCCGACAATACCATCAAACAATAAAGGTTAAAACATATTCTGAGTTTCTCCAGCAGGAACTCTTAAGACGCCAGACAAATCTTTTCAATGACAATATAATTAGCCACGGGAGATTAAATATTAGAAGAAAATGAAGTCTTGAATCCTAGCGTGCTGGTTCAGGCCTGTGATGATGAATTGTATTGTGAAACCCGGCTGAGGATTCTAGTTGCTTGCTGATTTTCTCCTCTGCGATGCGAGTGTTATTGAAGCTGGTGATCTCTGGCAAGGAATCATTGTTATAAACACTCGCTCTCATTGTGAATCAAGATGAGTTGAGATGAATGACTGACTGGTCCGTGCACAATGCAGAATCCATCAGGAGTTCCACTGGACTAGACCCGTCCCATTGCAATCTGCAGCTGCAAGAATTAGAGGCACATCCTCAGGGATGAGCAATAATAGAGCCTTCTCGGCAATGACCGTGATATATTATCAGATTTAAAATAAGTGCTCAGATACCCATGAGATAGAGGAGAGAGGCCCATGAGACATTCAGTACAGATTTGTGGATATTAGGGAGATCCTGCACAGAGAAAATCATTAATTTTCTCCGTGTTGCTCAGTAGGGGCAGCTACATCTAATATTTAAATCAATTAATACCATACATCATGTTGTTATAAATACATATGTTTGTTTCCTACCGGCTCCATATATAATAACAGCTGAAAGAGTTTCTGTAAGGAACAGGATAGCAAGGTGACCGGGCCATAAATTGGATCCGCATTGCAACAATAACAGCTTGAATTTATATAGCATCCTTCACACGGAGGCAGTGTCTTGCAGTGAGTGCAATTGGTCATTCACATCATGGCTGTTTGTGGGACATTGCTATGCGAAAATTAGTTCCTATGTTCGCCTACAAAATACACTCACTTTACACTATAGGCAGTGAAGCTCTTTGAGATGTGAAAGATGCTATAATAAATGTAAGGATTATTATTATATTGTAATACGATTGTGATGCAGGATTGATATGAGGAAAAGGACCTGCCATACACTATGCAAGGTTGGAATGGGACAGCGTCCTGTTTAATCCAATGACTTAAACAGAGCAACAGCCTGCGAGCATAGAGATATTAAATTCCACACCAATATCGTTGTTCATTTTGTGTATCATCCTGGCTCAGTAGTAGCACTCTCACCTCTGAGTCACAAGGTTGTGAGCTCAAGCCCATGTCAGGACTTGAAATCCCATTGCAGTGCTGGGGGGGAGAAGGTGTTGCATTGTTTGATGTGCAATGAGACATTAAACCGAGGTCCCGTCTGCCTGTTCAGGTGGTCGTTAAAGATCCTCTGGCACTTTTTAAAAAGAGAAGGGAGTTTCTCTCGGTAACAATCCTCCAAATAAAATTGGTCGCTCACTTCATTGCTGTTTGTGAGTCACTGCTCTGTGCAAATTGGTTGCCGCATTCGCCAACAAATACATAGTCACTCTACTTCACAGTAAAGTCCTGTGAGGTGCTTTGGGATGTCCTCCCGATGTAAAAGGCACTATACCAAATGCAAGCAAGTTTTTTTAAATGAAAACTATAGAGTCTCATGTTCTCCAATACTGTTGTGTTTTCATTCAGAGATAACAAAAGTGCTGGTGATAAAATTTCGCCATCTTGTGGCGAAATCTGCCAAAGTATATGGAAGACCTCACCTCTGGTACTGAGAACAGTAAAGCCATTAAAAGGAAGCTTTGACAACTAACCTTGACGTTCTGTGAACCCAGACAACATTTCCTGTCTTGTGGGGCAAACTTCACCTATCGTGGAGACACTTGACTTCATTCAGTTCCGTGGTTTCCAGCTGTGCTTCAGTATCTCACCCAAACATCCATTATAATAACAATAATAATCCTTACATTTGAAAAAGCACCTTATCTCGTCTTTGAGACGTCCCAAAGCGCTTCACAGAATATACTGTCAAGTAAATTGAATGTATATTTTGTGGGCGAAACGCAGCAGCCAATTGCGCACAGCAGCGTCCCACAAACAGTCTTGGATTGAGTGACCAAATTATTATAATTTATTTATTTCTTCTTGCGTGAGCCCAACCTCTGATCCTATTCTCATCCAACGTCCACATTGCATACATAGTCCAGTAGAATCTATTGATTAGTGACTCGGAATAGGAATCTGAGTTGATAGCCCATCCTTCCATTGAGTGCTGAAGGCCTCCTATCCTCCTATCAGGAATTGCACCTCTTAAGCTAGTGCTACATTGAATTGTACTTGTCTTCTCCAGGCCATCAGAGGAGCTCCGAACGCTTCTCCTTCTGTCAAAGCATGTATGAAAAGGTGCTAATATACATCATCTACCCTCTGCCTCTGAGTTATTGATGTGATGACAATTCCTCCACTGCGTTGGTGCAAGGTAAATATTGAGGTCTGATGAGAAGGGATGAGAGGTTCCCTTATACAATGCTTTGGTGTGAAATTCGCTGGGAAAGGCATTCTGTTTGACAGCAGGACTGACTAGGGATTGGCGTACACTATGGTTTCATTGCAGGCAGGCTACATGCTACAGTACATAGGAAGGAGCTACTGCAGTTCTCAAATGGTTACTTTTCAAATCACACAAATATTTTATAAATCTATTTAAATGCAGCTGTGCCTCTGAGATTCCATCTTCAATGCAACACATTCCACGAATGCTTCAGCGCATGAAATTCTGGTCAGAATAATTCCTTCCAACATCTCCCCCTCCCCCACCTCCCGCTTTTCTTTCACGAGAAGCAGCCTTGCAAACATGAAAGGGAGATTTTGCAAAGCTCAGTCTTATTGGTGCTGTTACAAACTAAATACACAATCCTCATAAAGAATCAACATTCTTCAAAATATTCCATCAGCTCTTTTGACAGTCCTGGCCCCCACGGAGCAACTGACTGACAATCCCAATAAGATTCGTCTGCTGTTCAACCTGCAAAATGCTGCATCCCACAGCTGCCTCAATTACACACCGCTCTCTGCGGTAACCTACCTCCTTAGTAAGGCATGTCAGCAAGCACGCTGCACAGATTTCCAAGTGAGCCCAAAGCTTACTCAGCACCGGTGACAAAAACGTGCTGGAGGTGAAGAAGCAGGTGCACCACCTTCCCGGGGGCTTTGACCCTTTTCTTGTACAGTGATGAGATTGGGACGAGCACGGAGGTTCACATTTTCGTTGCCTTTTTCCCGTCATTTTGTTTCGTTTCCCATGTTCAGTTACTTCCTGACAGCGATAGGTCTTTTGTGTAATGCATCATCTCCTGGTCAAAAGGGCTTTGGCAGGTGATGACTCTCGTGTCTCTGCTGATGTTGCTCTGGATACTAAGATGCATCGTAGAACATGGCAAACCTTAAGCAGCATTCACGCTCAGCGCAGAATACAATATTAAAGAATATTTAAATATTTGTCATACTGGAAAGACAGGAAGCTCCTACTTCAATTCACTTTACAGTATATTCTGTGAGGCACTTTGAGACGTCTCAATGATGTGATAAGGCGCTACATCATTTGCAAGGATTACTATTGTTATTATCATTATTATTACTTGGAGAAACGTTGACAGATAGAGAGATTTTAGTTCACGGTCACTGCCGCATCAGCTCTTGACGATCACTGTAGGATATTTATTCCTCTATTTTTTCCGCTAGGTAGATTTCTCAGAATTCAGAATTCCTCTGATTTTATAGTTTAACAAATTGTTTTTGATCAGTGGTGAAAAGCATTGAATGGAATGGCGGATTTCGTCAGGAATATTGCAATTTGCTGGCTCAATCCAATTCAGTTTAGCAATTTATAATATTGCTGAACTAGGATTTATAATGCTGCTGTTTTGTTGTGGCACTTCCGAACCTCCACTCCTGAAATACACGAACGTTAAGCCACAAAAGTAGCTTAAAAATACAGATTATTTATGGAAGAAACTGTACATTTTCCTTTTGCACACAGACACACAAACACACAGATAAAAAGAAACCACTGTGTGGAGCTGTGGAGTATAATCAGAGTCATTGGTTATTGTCTGTTGCACAGTGTCAACAGGAAGCATTTAGTAGGTTGAGATTGCACATTAAAAAAGGTATTTCAGACGAGTATTTACCTTGCAAAGGCGTTTGGTTTAACAGAACCTGCCTTTTTAAAGATACGTTTGTCATGCAATGTGTTCTGTGCTGGAGGCTTTAATATTTCTCCTTGTGCAAAGCAGGCTGTCCATAGAGCTCTGGGATCGGTGCGCTGTTCAAATTTAGCCTGGAAGGAGCCCAGGCCTGCTTTATAGACTGAAACAGAAACAGAAGTCGCAGGGAACACTCAGCAGGTCAGTGAGCATCTACGGAGAAGCTCTTAAGTTCTGACGAAGGGTCGTGGACCCAAAACGTTGACTCGCTTTCCTTTCTCCATAGATGCTGCCTGACCTGCTGAGTGTTCCCAGCGACTTCTGGTTTTTTTTCAGATTTCCAGCATCCGTAGTATTTTGCTTTTTGTTTATATTTTATAGGTTGATGTGGTCACCAATAACTGTAGTTCTATTCACATGAGTTTCCAAAACATTATTTGGTGGTATGGTAACTACTACTTGACATTTAAATGATCACTAACCAATACAATGGTGCAGTATTTACCTATTCCTGTGATTCCACCCTGGGATGTCCTAAAACGTCTTGGATTTCTGAAGATACGTTTTTCAGACCTGTGAGAGACTGCCGTCAAGTGGTGTTAGCTACTTACGGTATCTACTGAAAAGCTTGGAATCAGGGGCACAAGCTTCTGTCGCTCAGTTGTGGTTAAGACATTTGTATCTTGCTGAGTTGTGATCTCGAGAGACACATGATGGGTTTGCACCTGGGGAACTTGTTGCTCATTATTGTGGTGTTCCAGGTAGTCAAATGTGTACCATTTGAGAGGGTGCGTGAGTGTGTGTGTGTTTGTGTGCGTAGGGTGGGGATATAGAGGAATGGGTGGAGAATCTAATGAACAAATAATCCTTTGATGCATTAGTTTGCACCTTGCCCCTACTTGGAGGAGGAAAGTAGAAAATTTTATCGGTGGAGGTGTTCCGAAATTGTGACTCATGTTAATTGTGACTCATGGTCGTGTTCTTTAAATCCTTTAAACACCTTCGGACGTCCTCCCAACGTGAAAGGCGCTATACAAATATAATTTTGGTGGTATTGTTGTTAAGGGTCCTTTCAATTATGCAATCAATCATACTTCTTCATAGTCGTTCCCTATCATATACTATAACTGGTGAGGAATGTGCAGTAACATGAATCAACAAAAACAAATTACATTTGTATCGCGCCTTTCATGTCAAGAGAACGTCCCAAGGCACTGGACAGTCCGGAATCTGCACCCAAGCTGGTGGTTGAGATCAGGAGGGGTGGACGGTAGGGAGGGTAGGGGTATAGGGTGACTGAAGGCACGGTCGAAGAGGAGGGTCTTGAGACAGTCACACATCAGGTGACTGCCTGACTTCTCTCAGCCAGTGTGGCCTGAATGGATAGGATTTTGTACCTTCCCTTTTCGAAGGTTGTATTCTAATCTGTTCGCTTTTCCGGTTGGTTCGAAGAGAGATGCCCATCTCTCTGCATTTCGCCGCCAATCTTTCCTGGCTCTTCCCAGAGGCACAGACTCTGCCCCAACGTGTGAAGGCAGCTGCAGCGACGGGTTTCAAAGCAGTGGAGGTGGCCTGGCCGTACGAGACCGAGGTGACGGAGGTGAAGAAGGAGCTAGAGAAGAACAAAGTGGAGATGGTATTGATTAATACACCTCCAGGTAAATACAGCATGTTTTCAGGTGGCAAATCATCTCTATCTGCTGCAAGAGCCAACCGCCTCATGTTGACATGAGAGAACTGCTCTAATGACTCGGGTATCGACATTTTCCTGCTCTCATTATATTTGTGCATCTTGGACCAAGTCAGTCGTCTCAGCAGCTTAGTTTATAGGAAAGCTGTAAACTAGCAGCTTCTGTATGATCAATCAATGCATCGTCTAACTGTTGGAATCACAGCTTCTGCTGGACTATAGATTTTACTGGGGTCTTGAATATTTGTGCCACAGACATCATGAGTATTGAAAAAAAGTTGCCGTGAGCAGGAGAAGGACACAATGCAAGGTGACACAAGGATATGGGATTCTTGTTTTGTGAACGTTATATTTCCATTAAAGTTTATCATGATCTCTCTCTCAGCCATAAGAGTTTTTTTTATATCAGATTATTAAGGGCATCGTATTTAACACAATTTTCTTCCAAGATGCAACCTTTTCTTTATGAAAACATGTCATTTCTTATTAGACGGCTGTTGGCATTTTCATTTCTAGGGATTTTAGCCCGGGGAGAGCTTGGACTCGGAGCTGTTGTTGGACAACAAGATGAATTCCGATCGGGCCTGGATCTGGCAGTGAAATACGCTAAAGCCCTGGATTGCAAAAGGTGATTATATTTTAGATTATTTTCTAACTTAGTCAGATGCATCCAGAAAGATTTACAAGGAGAGGACTGTGGTGATACAACTGCAAACTGAACAAGTTTATTAGGTTGGGACTGGATGGGTTTCTTCTCTATTACCTATGGGGATTATGGCATATATAGGCAGAACTTTCCTCAAGGGTTTAAGTGAAATAGGTTGAAATTCTCAAGAGGGTATATATTACATGGACTGCAGAGGGAATCGGCGTGATTGGATCAAATACTATTCCAACAAACTCTTACGTCAGGACCATGCCCAGCAATGCAATTTGATCCTGACGGGGAAATTCTCTGTTTGAAGGATCCATCTGATGGCAGGAAGAGTTCCAGCGGGACAGGACAAAGCATCTGTTACTAAAAAGATGGAGTGCACATTTATTGAGAACCTGAAGTATGCCGCAGACATCCTCTCAAAGGTATCAGGCCAACAAGATGATTTAACGCATTGTTCATATGGATCTTGGTAGCTTCTGTACAACAGGATAACTATAATCAGGTCAATTCACCTTCCCTCTTCACTGTATCTCTGTGCTGAAAATGTAGCTTGAACCCATAGAGAGGGTCAGACACTAAGGTTACAATTGTTGATATGAGACAAAAACAACAACAAATTATATTTGTATAACGCCCTTCATGTTGGGAGGTTGTCCCAAAGCACTGAAATGCAGATGAAGACAGCTGGAGTTGTTGCTGTACCAAAAGGTTGTGACACCATTACAATGTCTAACAAGTCTTAAAGAAATGATGACTTTTTTTTTAGATAATAGGGTAAATATCACAATTTTTTGGTCACCCTGTATTGGATACGGTGGGAAACCAACCCAGATGCTGTTCAGAGTTTGATCGTGTTACTATTCTTCCTCTAATCTTCCCTAATCATATGTTGATAGAGGCTCAAGTGGTATGAGCTCTCCTATAGAACAGGTTCTCGCTGGTAATGGGAACAACCACTTTCTTTTGACTCTTTTCCTTACCTTTGACAAAGGTTTTGTTTTTCTTCTCTTCAGGAGGGGATTCTGGGCTTGGTTGAACCCATTAACAATCGAATAACAGATCCCAATTACTTCCTGAACACCCCACACCAAGGTAAGGGTGGGATCTTGGAGCCTTTGACAGGCATACTGGCAATCAATCACCGGACAGGTTATTAAAAAGGATTGAATTGTATACAATTTGAATGGAGAAGAAAAATATTGCAGCCATTTCTGCTGCTGGTGCTTGATTGGTTCAGAAAAGCAAACTGCACTTATTGTAAAAACAATACAGTCAACAGCACTGGGCAGCGCTCTATATATGAACTATAATCCAGTCCCTACTTCTTCCTAGAGTTGCAAAGCCTATATTAATTACAGTCCTGGATTTCAGAGATGGATAGAGCAAGAAACTGGAAGATAAATAGAGGTAGAGAGGGGAGGAAAAGCTAAACAGATAAACAAGGCAGTGGCACAGTAATAAGACGATAAAACGCAGACACCACCTCTACGTTAGATACTCATTTCTGGTGCCTTAGACTGTCCACACGAGGCTCGTTTAAATTATCCTCACAAGTCTTCTGAATCTGTGTATTCCTATACCTATATCCTTGGGAATTTCTCTATGCCAACCAGGCACGATAATGTCTTATAGAGAAAGGTGGATTTTAATACAGCATTAACCGAGTGATGTGGGAAGTACCTCAGCATGTTCTCTGAAGCAGAGCAAATGTGACCATCTGTGACCATCTGTACATGCGCGCAGCAGGTAACAGGAAACACCTCCTGCACACAAACAGTAGCTCGGCAGATGAAAGGAAATAATTCAAGTAACTGCTGGCCCTTTATATCACCTGTATGACCAGACACCATATGGAAAAGCATCTCATGTATTACCTTTTTACTCCAGTTTGTAACCTTTTATAATTGTGCTTGTGATTCTATTATGCTAACACTTTTTGGGGTAATGTTGTTTACATAAGGTTTATACAACAGACGTGGAATGAAGATCAGTGGTTTATTTGCTGCAGATTATTACAGAAATCTACACCCTTTAACTTCTGAAATCATGTTGCACAACACACAGAACTTGCATATGCAAAAAGGTAGCCTTTTGAACCAGGGGATTCTGTGCCTTATTGATTAGTAATCCCAGGTCCCCTTGTGTGTTCTCTATGTGCTGCTTTACCAGATGTTATTTGTTGCAGCTGTGCAGATTCTGCAGAAGGTGGACAGACCGAACATGAAGCTCCAGCTGGTGAGTGCACTGATATTGAGATATTAAACAGCTACAGTGTTCTGAGCAAGTTTGGGTACGCAAACATTTGGATGACGAGGAAATCCTACACAGCTCACGCACAGACCATGAGACTGATTAGGCTCAAGTACAGAGAGGGTGACTGGGGTTGGGCTTGTACATCAATAACCAAACACATCTTTTAATCAGGTGAAACAGCCACTGATATCCTGGGTGCATGTTATATTGTTCAGCTCGGAGAATAACTGACCAGTTTTCTCATCTAGATCGGTTTTATTTTCTAGCAATCTACTGCATATTAAACGTAACCAATCTCTTAACAATAATGTCATGAATGCAATCCTTCATTCTTGTGTTCATTTGAATGCACTGCCCCCACCATTAAGAAAAACTTCTAACATGTCAGAGTGTTAACTTCATTGTAACTAATATTACTGTAGAGACCGAAACCCTTCAAGATTGTGACATTATCGGTACCTTCGATGAGTTCATCTCGTCAGTGCTCACGCCCACCGATATCTAGTTTCTATTCATTTCACTCACAAAAATACAGTCAATTCACTTTACAGTATATTTTGTGAAGCGCCTTTGAGACGTCTCGAAGACGTGATAAGGCGCTATATCAAATGCAAGGATTATTATTAGAATCGTCTAGTTAAGTTTAACCTTTTATTTTGATTTGACTTTGCACAAACAGAATTCTAACATGACCTTTCCAGAATAAAACGGGAGCTCACTTTTTTAAAGAAATAGCCAGCTCTGGGTATACTCTCTTGTCAGGTGTGCCCAAAGGAAGGGATAGTTGCCGTGGTTTCTCAGATGGGATTCAATCCACAATATCGTGGTCCACGTTCATTGTATAACACAGCTCTTTGCTTGTATTACTGGATTGCTTTGTGCATGTTTATGCCCCGGATTGGAACAAGTGTAGTTCCAGGACTCCGCAGATAGACACTGGGTTAGTGATGAGCTCCTGTAGTTTCTCCAGTAATAGGTGTATTTGTTTGCAGGATGTATTTCACTGGCAGATAATGGATGGTAATCTCACTCAGAACATCAACACCTACTTCCCGCTGATAGGTCCGTGAGTGTATCACTTTTGCTCAGGAGGGAATTATGGACTTGGTTGAACTGATCAACAAAATAAATTGCAGACTCTGTCTGGGTGCACATTTGTGTCTCAGGAGTTAGGGTTGCGTTTTTACATTTATAAAGTCTGCATCAGTGAACCTCTGTTTGTATTAGAATACTGACACCTGGACATATGCGGGGAGTGTGAGTAGATATCTCTCCTTATATTCGTGGTATTAGTTAGAGAGTTGGTATTATTAAGTGGGTATAATGTTCTGATGTATTACAGCAAGGTTCTTCAGAGATAGCGAGTGTGGATATGAAATATCTGTATTTTGAAGCATTTCATTAAGATCATTACTAATGTTTGGGAAAATAATTGAAAGATTTAACTGAATCCGACATAACTGTAGGAGGAAACGGGAACTTGACCTTTGTTTTCCCTCTTTTTTGAAGTTACTGAGAGTGAACTTACTTCAAATCTGATTTATAAAGTGTTCACTGTGGCGGATATTCCCATTAAAGAGATTTATGTACTTTACAAGTAACTTGTACCAGACTGCTCAACGTAGAATTGTAATGTTGAGTTTAAAGACAAGAAGCTAAGCATTTTCACTGAAGAATCAATCTGACGTTTTCTCCTCTCCAGACAGTGAGTTTACACCGTCAAGCAGAAGTGTACTGCTTTGCAAATGCTTCATTTTTACAGTATGATGGGAAAATCTTGTGATGGGTGTAGTTACACACTGTGTGTGCTTAACAGAATTTTGCTTTAAGTGATTGTAAGGGAGGGATTGGAGGAAGGAGAAGGAGATTGCTCAGTAAATGCGATAGCATCTCATTGGCTAGATCAAGAAGGAGAGGGAGCGTTCAATACTAAGAACACATATTTTCACGGTGCCACTGAGCTTTTCAAGCTGATCAGAAGCGAGGATCGATACTCACTGTTCCAAAGGTTTCAAGCTGTGAGAAAGTTAATTATTGGAATTCCTAGTTCTGTACATCTTTCTGCGACAAAGATTGAAGTCGGATAAACGTATCCCCATGTGTCTGGATTTGTTCTGTTTTTTTATATAAAAACACAGAAAATATGCATCTATTCTTGAAGTTCACAGCTTCACAATACACCAAATCTCGAGTCCTATAAATAAAATATAGAATGCAATTAAGAGTTCTCAGAGTGAACTCTTACATAGATTGCACGTACATTCCAGGATTCAGAGGGCTGATGTGTAGTACGTGCTTATTAATCACAGAGAGTTTTGTGTTGGGCAGATTACTGTACACACTTTTCAATATCCTTGTCTGCACATCATTAAGTGCCTCTTTGGAATCTTTCTAGAATTTTACACTATGGTTGGAATTTTGTTGCTTTAAGCAGCATAGAAGCATGATGTTATGACGCTTGATGAAGGGTGATCATTAAACATGATTTGGGAAAGCAGAGAAATTTGGGTAACTTATAATCAGATTTCATAATCAGTCACCCCGCGAGGTGCTATGTCCATTGTACCAAACTGAATGAATCAATCACCCGCTGTCAACTTTGCGTTAAACTGTTAAACTGGTCACTGTAGAAAGTCATTTAAGAAACTTTATTTTTCGCTGAGAATTTGCTGACTTTCATAAACTTGATCCGATCTAATGCAATTGATGCAGCTACTGGTGCCGTAAGACCCACATTCTGGATAACACTTTGACTTGTTGGGATTCCTGAAGAATGCATCACAGACGTGTTTTCTTCTTCTATCAGGTCATGTCCAAATCGCACAAGTTCCTGGTCGGAATGAACCTGATAGTCCTGGTGAGGTCAACTACAGCTACATATTCAACCTGCTGGAAGAGTTGGGTTACCAAGGGTATATAGGCTGCGAGTATGCTCCAAAAGGTGGGTTTCCGAGCAACTCGGCATTTCATGCTTATAATCACATTGTTCTAGTAGGTCCCAGGACACGACAGTCACAATGGTGTGAGTTGTGCAAGTGTATGTCAAACAGCTGTAACAAAAGGTGGCAAATTCCACTCCAACGCGGTTATGGGAAAATGCACATCGTCATTAAGTTTACCTCTTATTATTGTTAGCACATTTTATGGGAACAATAGGAATGGGACCTGACACGGAAAAAACATTGACGCGACTGTTATCAGGTCAAACCCAACTGTGCAAACGTTTGATGGTTGAAAGGTACATTTTGCTTTTGGCAAATCTGAAGCTTCCCGACATGTCGGCAACTGCTTGATCAACCAGAAATATCTGTTCAAAGTGAAGAATTCTACCCCACCCTCCCTCCCTTCACAATCAATCACAGTTTTCCAGTTGTTTGAGGCATTTGTATGAGTTGCTTGGAAATTTAATCCTCTTTTTTTCTTTTTTTTAAAAAAGCCTTTATAAGGAAGCTCCAAGGAACCTGATATGAAGGAAGTAAAAACTGCAGAATTTAGGAAGGGTTTTCTATTTAGGAAGGGTTGAATGCTAGTGCCCCTTCTAGTGTGAAATGCAGTCACATCAACAATGAGACCTTCAGGGCAGTGGATTAATGCACTAAATTGCAAAGATCATTTTGCTTGGTGACTGGAAGCCGTACAAGTTCTAGTGTGCAGTGCCAATGCGAGGCAGACATTACTTTTAAAATATGGATTTAATATTGTATTATTAATTTTTAAACAGGCAACACAGTGGATGGCCTTGGTTGGTTGAAGACTTACTGGAACAGTCGGGGACAGCCTTGAATCAACCCTCCTGGAACAGAAGCCAACAGTGGAGGTGGGGAACATCTTACTCCAGAATCTACCTCATGAATAACCGAGGGACAGTTTAATTTGTAAGAAATTAGGTGCTGATTCATCCTGAACGTGTGGCTGTGAAGAGGAAGTTCATTTGAACACCTGCTCACAGTACAAGGCCCAGTGCTTGAATGATGGCTTTTGATAAACACCATTCATCAATTTCACATTTTAGTAATTTCCTTTGAACGGGTTTTTAAAAAAAAGTTGTAAAAGTTGGTTTGCCCGTTGCACATCAGTTATGATGGGGGTGAAAGGTCCTACTTCCAATTGGGGAGGTTAGAGTAAGAATGGAGAGGAAAAAAAAGCAATGGAGTCCTGAGAATAACCCTGTGTGGCTTCTATTAACACACAATTCAGAAACTAAACTGCATGTGCCCTTAAGAGTGCAGCAGGAACAGAATGATGGGAAGGTTGGGCGATGCAGTGAGTTAGCACGGTGTTCTCTCTCCTCTGGGAGCAGGGGTTGGAATCCAGCTCAGAATAATGAGATAAAAAATTCAGTTTATGAGGATTATAAGTGAACCATGTTCAGCCTCTTAGAGGACTCACATTTCAGAGATTGGCAGCCTGACTCGGAGAGACTACCTAGTGTGACAAATTGAAAATGTTACGCTGGCTGGAGGTTTGCTTTGGGTTGAAGGGTTGTACTCTGCCTGTGTTATTATACCCAACCAGTGAGTGCTTGCTGGTGGGATTCAGGCGTCAAGAAAAAAAATGCAAATATTTCCCAGAACTCACTTTCATGACAAGAAAAATTCAAGTGAAATAAATTAAGCAAACCTGAGTACTGTGTGTGTGCCTTGCGTTAAAATCCTTGATTCCCCTGCAGGGTAAGGAAACTAGCTAGTGTTGGAAGCCGGATTACTGCACAACTGAGCCACATTAGACTCAAAGAAAATGTGTTTGACCAAAACATGTTGCTAACAGGCCTGCCCCTCCAAGGGCTATTAAAATATACTCGAGAGACGCAGGTTTGAGAATCATTTGAGGTGAGGATTAACAAGATAATGTGGAAAAATGTAACCAGCGTTCAAACCGTCTAGGTTTGCTGTGACAGACAGTTCCAGTTTCTATCAGGGCTATGTCTAATCACTGAAATGCTCTTTTGGGGGATATGATGCTGTACTGCGAAACCTACTGATTCTAATAATCCTTCAAAGACAGCAGCAGGAAATCTCTAATCACGATGGTCAAATTCGCTGCCAGAGTCATTGTATTCAAGTCCAACTAGCAGCTGTGTTAGATTGGCATGATTGAAGGAAACGTTTTGGTCCATTTGATCTCATCCTTCCAGAACACCCATCTGACTGCCCTCCCATCACAGCATCAAGATACAGAGCGGAATGAAGCCAAATACACTGTTGGTATTTCTAATAATATAGTATTTCTAATTAAATGATTCCAATCATATGTACATGTGTGATCCTGCTCTTTACTTCTCCCACCACTTCTGTATCCCTCAGGCCAGTGCTGCTGATCTCCACCTCTCAAAAAGGTAGAGAGCAGCAGGATAAGAAGCTTGACAATGCCTGGACAAAGATAATAATCCTTGAATTTAATATTGCGCCTTATCACATCTTTGAGACATCACAAAGCGCTTCACAGAATATACTGTAAAGTGAATTGACTGTATATTTTGTGGGCGAAACGCGACAGCCAATTGCGCACAGCAGTGTCCCACAAACAGCCATGGATTGAGTGATCAAATTATTATTTTTTTGAAGGACTTATTACCCCCGGAAAAGCGATCTGCCAATCAACTAGGAACCGGGTTCCTATTTACTGCTAGGTAAACAAGCTTGTGGAGAAAGGAAACTTGCCCAACATTTTGCCCTGCCCGGGAAGCGAACCCAGGTCTTTTGCTTGTGAGGCAAGTGCTCTAACCATAATAACCTTACAAATTACATAAGAACCTTACAAAAACTGACTAAAGCCTGAGGATGGATGGACGGATGTGCTTTATAGTCTTTTATGCCGTGTTCAGAAGAGAAAGGGAAATAAATTGGAAGAGGGACTGCCTCTTTCATCATCATAAGATAAAGAAACTTTTGACCACTGTCGAAACTGTCAGGTCCTTGCCATGGAGTAGGCCTGACAATAGTCAAAGTTTCTATCTTATGATGATGAAAGAGGCAATCTGTTCATCTGCATGGAAATGTCTAATGCCAAGGGTAAGAAAGCAATTATTAAATTGAAATCATGGAACCTTCGTGCGGGAGAGGACAAGGGCTGCAGAGTTCTGGATTCACGGTGCAGGGAAGCACACTGTCTATTCACTTCTGGGACATGGGCTTTAATTAAACCTCAATGCAAAGAAAGGCTGCTGTGCGAGTTGTATGAGATATTTGATTGGTCTCAGCCCAGTTCCAATTAACTTCAATGGATTTGTGATCTAAAACGGTTTATAATTTGACAACCAAAAATTCCTGTTCTCAAAAATGTAGTTTTGTTGAAAACCGGGGCGAATTTCAAATGTTTGAACTAGTTTGTATCACTTACAAACCAGAGTAAATGCTTTGTGGGTGGGAGAGGAATAAATAATTCATCCAAAATTTTATAGCAGAGAATATACACGGAAAATGAGGAATAAACCGGTAAGAGTGTGCTCATGAAGGGTAGATGGAGTGGTATCACTACAGAAGTGAATGATTCACTTTTTTTGTCTTGGAACATCAGTGCTACTTGTACTGATATGAAAAATATTCATGCATACAATCAATAATTATGGACATCCAACTTTTCTTTAAAGAAAATTTAAAAAAATGGTTTCGAATGTCCTTCACTGAGCACTTGTGATATTGAATAGCACAAATGATATTAAAAAAAGTCATATATATATATATGAATATAAGTTTTGATGTAATTTCACGGTGTGATTTATATAATACTAGTTGGCATGTTTCAGGCAGGATAGTGTGAAGGATCGAAATAAAAAAATAAACACATTTATTAGCATGATGTGTGGTTACATGTAAAAATAGCATTTCATGAATAACAGTGCAGGATTTTTAATATGCCACTGCCAGGGAGAAAACATATAAAAAATGATTACGCTTCCAGCACTACAATAATGATTTTTTGGATCATACCCAAAACCACCTTGAAGGAGGCATAGAATTACTACACAATTTCCCTTTTCACCCACCAGAATGCAAAACAAACTCAGTGAACCCCAGTGCTCAACCTGGCATTGACTTCAAAGCAATGGAAAGCTGTTTTGAGGGAATGTTTTAACTGCTTGCTATGGAACGGTTAATAATCCCGTTTAACTAACAACAGGAAGTGCAGCTCAACATGCACCAGATCATCACTAAATTGTTAACCTTCAAAGGAAAGTTCAACCCCATTAGAATCTTGTCTCACAAGTTTGATGATATTCCTGGTACCGTGTACAAGTCACACAGGAAACAAATATCAGCCATGCCCAGGAGTTCATTTCAATTTCCAGTGTGAAGGAAACCGATTTAAAAAAAACATATTTTCATTGTTTGTTGCAAACAGTATTTCATTGGAATGAAATTGGGATTATAATAAGATTCTTGCTGCAAGTCAGCATTGCTTTTGTTTGTCCTCATGGAATTTCTAGTATTTTCTTCCCCGTTGCCTCACAAATTCCACACTCCACAGCTTGATTAATAGACTTTCTGTATTTATTAGCCAGAATTGGATGAATATGGCACACCACCACTGTAAATATTCATTGTTGAAGGGTTCGCCTCGCTGGCTGCCATGCTTCCATTAGCTTTAACAAAAGCTCCATTTGTGCACTTGGCCCTGAGGAATATCAAGTGCTCGGGATTTTGTCACGATTTAAATTCAGTTCATTAAATGTGTTTGCCTTTTCTTTAAAAAGTGAAATGTTGTGTTCTAACTTGGCAGCCTCATTCAAAGGATGCATGAGGATGACTGCTGCACAAAGGGCTGGTGGCAGAGGTGATCAAGTTTCGCTCCATGTCTTATTGTTGAGTAGAATGATTGCGTCCGACTATGCCTGATAATAATACTACTAATAATACTTGCATTTGATATAGCATCTTATCACTTAGTTGAGATGTCTCAAAGCACTTCACAGGATATACTGTAAAGTGGATTGACTGTGTATTTTGTGGATGAAACACGACAGCCAATTTCTCACAGCAGTGTCCCACCAACAGTCGTGGATTGAGTGACAAACATTTTCTTTTACGCAAAGCCTAAACCATAATTCAATGCAGCGCTGATTTTACTGCTGTCAATAGCAAAGCAAGAGTGAGGTGTAAATTACAGGTCAATTTAGGTTATTGGACATTGAGATTGAAAGGCTTACTGGATGAGCATAACACTGTGGATTTTACACATCTCAACTTTCAGAAATAATTTAATAAGATCCATCACTGGGGCCTTGTAACTAAAATGAAAGCACACGGGATCCAGGATTACTTTGTAAGTTATAATAATTGGCAAGATAATAGGAAACAGAGGGTAGTTATTAACAGTAATGCTTTCAATTAGATAATTGGACAGCTGTGACTATCCGGAGTCCCTGTAGATCTTTTATGAAATCCCTGCTGCTCACATTTATTAACAATCTTGAGAAAGTTATTGCAAGAAGAATGTTCCACAGAGACCAATACTTTTGAAAAGGCTCTAAAATTACTTACCAATGAGGGAGATGAAATAGCATTTTGTACTCAGAGGAGGGAAGATTTACACATGTTTCAAATGATTCGTATTAATTTTTTTTCAATGCACATAATACAACCTAAACCACTGATAGCTGAGTGTATGAAAGCCGAGTGTATGGAAAAGAATAACAGAATTAGTGAGTAAATCAAATGTCAAGCTATGTGTTTGTTCCACAACATAAAATTGTTGAATTATCTTTCATTCTCTCTAGCTTTTAAAGAAAAGTATTGTGCAGTTAGGCTCAGTGTTATTTTGCTTGACCATGTGAAACAGGTTGAAGATGCATTTTCTGCAGTCCTGAACTTCACATAACTGGTTTAGTATTTCTTATGGCCTTCATTGGCTTGTTGAAGATTTTCACGCAAGAAATGGTAAGTTTACATACTGAAGATTATTGCGATATTGTCATACTTTGTGTTCTGTGGCACCTCTACAAATTTGATATAAATTAAAACTCGTCTAACCTTGGCATGGTGAAAAATAAATTCAGTTGTACAGCTTCCTTACACGATTTATTCCAGTGAAATCCAATCGGATGTTAGTGTTCTGTTTCTGCAGGTTATTGGTGTGCTGGGATGGCACAGCTGGCAGATATTTCTTCAAAATACATAATACAGCCTCCCCGTTCACACCCTGAAAGATCCCTTGCGTTATCTTGAGTTTGTGTTAAAATAACCAACCAGTCCCTAAAAATGTTGGTTATCCACTATGGCAGCAAAATCTGCCACAGGTGAAAAAAAAACTCTATACAAATCCGAGAGTTAAAACTGTTCAGACCACATTTCATTAATGTACTAAAAATAAGTGTGAAACACAAAAAAGATGATGCCAGGTCTTAACTATGGGTAAATGCTGGATTGCTCAGAATAGTGGAAAATAATTAAACGTATTTTGTTAAGGTGGTTTTCCTCTGGCTAAGTCTTCCAAATTGGAGCCAATTTTAAGAATTTCACATTATTTTGCTAAGTCTTCCTCAACTGTTTCAAATTCAAAACAAAGGGGTCTTATAGGCAAAGATTAGGTGGCGTTTTGGGCTACTTTTGTTGTAAGTTTCTTATCTGAACCTCTGTGAATATGTCATATTGTAGATGCACGTACATTCTTGTTCTCTGACAATAAACATGACATTTTAAAACTACTCGCTTCATGAGAGGTTTGCACTCAGTAATTGTTCTGCGAGCAGCCAATGACCCCGGTGCCTATATAGTCCACATTGATTGGAGTAATTGTATAAGTATAGCATTACATGGTTTTTTGACATATGAAGTTCAATAAAATTCAGTACACGGTTCCATCTGTGCTGGGAATTCATCAACAGTAGATGGCATTCGATCTGCGTAGTCGAGTGAGAGAGAATCCTGTCCTACAACTCGAGCACTAACAAAAAATCCTTTGAAAAAGCTTAGCTTTCAATCAAACTCAACTGCACACAATTTTTTTTTCATTTAAAATTATCAAAAGCATCTTCCTAATGTGCAGAAAATCATTACCTAGGCAGAAGAGTTCCACCGGTAAGGCTTTTTTTTAGGCTTTATTACCGAGGGAAGCACTAGAATTAATAGGATTTGATTTCTGTTAAACGTTTAAATCGGCCTTTAAGGGAAGGAGTTTCTTCCACCGTGCTTCATTCCTCAATCTCTTTTTCCCCCCCAAGGCCATTCCCCCTTCATAAAAGACTTACAAGATGGTAGTAAATTCATTCACTATTAACGTAATGAAATATGAGGCTTTAAGGGCTATGGAGCTGAGGCAGGGCAATGGGACTGAGCGAACACCTTGCTTGGAGAGCCAGTGCAGACTCAATGAGTCGAACGGCCTCCTTCTTTGCTGTAAATTTCTTGATTCTATGAAATATTCACTTAAACTAAAGCAAATAAACTTTGATAATGCTTCAGTTTACCAGTATAACTCCAAATCGCATTTAGATGAGAAAAGCAAATAAGGTCAGGTGCAAGTGGAGGCACAGAAACTGTAAAAATAGAAAGACAATTATTTAAAATAAAAATAAGTATACAGGAAAGCATCTATCTGATGCAGAATTACTCTGTTCATAGAGACTCATTAATAGACTTTATTATTTTACAATGAGAATCAAGCTAAATTTGCTATATACATAATTTACATCAAATATATTCATTCACAATTAATCATCCTTAAGCAAGGAGACATTGTGCAATTGCAACCATATACGTAGTTGTTAAGTGAAACCATATGGATGAGTGTGCTTTAAAACCACAGATACTCCTTATGTACTCTAAACATTCACTCCTAAGCACACCACCTTTAGCTCATTGTAGAAGTGGTCATAAAAACCATGCTCAATGTCACACCTCCCCCAGACCGTGCGTGGAAATTGTGCCACTGTTCAAAAAGTGACATTGCATACACTGAATGTTATGATGAAACGAGGGCAGCAAATTGTTTTTGTACGCTTGCATTCAGGAATATCCACAAAATCCACAGAAAAAGCTAGGCTCAATGGTTTCCAAGTGCATATAGGTTTGGAGCAATGCAGGCACTTGTGGAAGCTAAATCCTTTTAAAGTTTATCCAATTCAAAAGGCAGAGCAGCAACAACCCACATGAAGGCCTCACGCCCGTCAATTTCAGAATCTGATTCCAGCTGTGGCCAGATGTTCAATTCCATTCACTGAACTTGGGGGGGATGGGGATGGGGGGGGGGGGGGAAGAGTGAGAAGACCTTCAATCATCTGGTTCCAAAGCTCAGCGCTCATTACGCAAGGAGTACAATACTTGCTGTTGTGCTCTGTCTGGAGATAATTTTTTCACCCATATGTTGGGAAGATGTATGGGTGAAAACATAAAGCAACAAAAATACACCAATTGGCACAATAGGCTAATGAATCAGACAAAGGATTCAGTAAATACAAAATAAATTAAGTTAAAAACACGAGAATCAATTTGACCGATTTGACTTCACTGCAATTCCTTACAGAGAAAAGTGAATGCAAAAGTCAACAGAATGAAGCACATTTGCCCCTTAGTGATGCACGGTAGAGTTGATGCTTTTTTCTATTACAATCACAGACGAGACCATGGGATAACAGAGGCAGAGTTGATGATCGTGTTACTATAGCAGACCAGTCCAAAGATTGAAGCATGCTGTGTTGATAACAGACTCCAGATGATAGTACATGGATACAAGCTGAGGTAGGGGGCTGTCGCTGTTTTGTGGCTGTGCAGGAAGTGGCTCTCGAAACACAACCTTAAGATTCTGAAAGAGAATCACATTCAGTCCATTATTTCATGTCTATGCTTTTGTCCTCCAAAGAGCCATCCACCCTAAATCCAATTCCCTGAAAACCTCTATTATCCTTATTCTGCATGTTCTTGTCCCAATTTTTTTTGAATGCCTCAACCAATTCTGTTCAAACAGCCACCCCGAATAAATAATTTTGAACCTCTGGGAGAAGAAGTTCTTCCGAACTTCTCCTTTTACTCCTAGTAACAATCTTGAATTCACTGTTCTTGTCACCTACCAGTGGAAAAAGTTTTTCATGATTATTTTTCTCAAATGCTTTTATCTTAAACACATACATCATATCAGCACTGTATTGGAATGTCAGCCAGACAGAATTCAAATATTCAACGTGGGACTTAAACCCAGAACCTTCTGATGCAGAAGCAATAGTGCTTCCAGCTGAGCCAGTCTGACACTAATTGACGGAAGATGATCGCAGGAAGGGCGGAGAGAGAGAAGAGTAATTTAGTCAGTGTTCCTGCTCTGATCACTACCCAGTAATCTCTGCTTAAAAAAAACTATTAATATATAACTTTCAGGTAACTAGATTGACAGGTCTGGCTCAGCTGTGATATCTGGAAAGTCTGTCAAAAGTCACAAAGAGAAATAATTTAAAGTAATAATGCTTGGAGATGAACTTCTAGATATGACAACAAAGCCCTTCATACATACTATGGAAAAAAATGGTCACACTTTGTATTATACATGCATTGGGCACTCTGATCAAATCTTACCGTCTTCCCAGACTGAGAGTTAAGAAAGATGAGAACAAAGCAGTCAATAAACTTCTGATTCAGCACTGCCTGTGAAATAAAATATACCACAGTGTTAGTCATAGGCTGAAGAGGTCTACAATTTCTTTCTGCCAGTACAAGCAACCCTAAATTATGCTGAACAAAACAATTTACAGAACACATTTCAAAGCCTGCATTGGACTCTCAACATTTTTATTTTATGCCCTAGTATGTACACATAAAATAAACTTTGTTTTGAATGTGAATGTTTTGTTCAGTTGCAGTGATTGTATTAGGAATCATACACCTGAAATTGCTGCCGTGATGAGACTCACAATTGGGCTGAAGGGGTTTTGACTAAAGGTTGGGTAGACTGAGGTCATATTTCTTAAGAGCAGAGGAGGTTATTTGAAATAATGAAAGGAATTGAAAGGTTAGATAATAGACAACTCTCCCCTTTGGTAGATGGATCCATTACAAAGAGGCATAACATTAAAAATCAGAACCAAGACATATAGAACTGAGGTCAGGACGCACTTCTTCACACAGATGTAGAATACTCTGCCCCAGAAAGCTGTAGAAGCAGAATCAATACTGATGTTTAAAAGCGAGCTAGAAAGATACTTGAGTAGTAGAGGTATTAAAGTATATGGCAAAAGAGCAGGTCTTTGGAATTAAAAATTCTCCCAGTGTCTAATAAACCAGTAGAATAGGATCGATAGGTGGAATGAAATTCCAAATCATTTGGGGACTACATTTCAGTAGGAGTACTTTCTTCTACATTAAAGGAGTTTCTCGATTCCTTTTGACAACAACCCCCTCTCCTGACCGCATTTCACATTCGAAGCAGATCCGATCATTTTCATTCTTGAATTAATTAATACTGCCATCAGTTTAGGATAAAGAACAATTAGAGATTGAACTAATCTAGTGATACTACTCTTCCACTTGCAAAAGAACCTTTCAAAATACTCGGGTGTCTTTCGTGCACAGTATGTACAATGAGGATTCATTTAGAGTTTCGATTTGTTCAACACAAAATCTGAGTTCACATTTGTTTCACATCAAGCAAGCAATGGATAATCTTGGTTAAAATAAAAGCTGTGCTTTTTGGAAATAAAAGCAACATGCATGTTCTGCCACTGGTGCACTGCTAGTTGTTTTCTGTACTGGATTTTCGATATTGTATTTCATCTTACCAAATACTGGATTCCTCTGTCTGCATCTACAAAGTGTCGGCAGCTCTGGGAGAATCGGTTCAGCAAAACCTTGATCAGACTCTGATACCAGCTGGTACTCATTGATAGAAAGCAATCCTGGGAGAAAAGACAGATTCATACCACAACAAGTACTACTGCAATTGGCCAAGGGGTAAAGAGACAGTAAGAATAAACAAAGTAGGAAAGAGGATGAAAGGGAATATAGTATGAACCCAATTCCCCTACGAGAAAAATATTGAAATCATTAGATTGTGCCATTTGTTTTTTTTCTAATATCTGGCTATTTCAAACTTTTCATCGATCAGCAAATTACAGTTAGAAAAAAAAGACAGAACACTGGTTGTTGTCACAGTACTTGATACAATGGCCATATATTTTGAACTTTTTCCATGATTACAATCAATGGAAATTACAAATTATAGTCTGTGGGACTCATTTTGTAGTGCAGTGTCTATGGCTGTGCCCTTTCATCTATATTGCTGAGTGACAGGTTCAAAATCTAAGTGATCAACCTTTTTTATCTAAAGTATTTCCCTCCATGCTTCCTCTCAATACCCTACACTTCCACCCCTCTCCACCCCAAGAAGAATATCAATTTTGTTTGCCAAGTGCTAAGTATCTGATTTGGAGATCAGTAGCAAACTGCATTGCAACTGGTCTCAAAGCAGAAATGGCCTTGTATATAAACAATTCATCGAGTCCAATTATGTTTTCTCTTTGAAAGTGTAAGATCATCAACATATTGAAAATTTCACTTTGGTTCACTTAAAAAAGGAAATATTTTGTTAAATATTCCAGTAAATGTTACGTGCAATAATTTCAAAGGTGATGCAGGACCTACCACCCAGACATTGTCTTCTGATGACAGAAGGGTGTTAATTCTCTACTCATAGCTTACTAGGGAAATAGAACATATTCACTTTTAAATAGCATTGCAGAAAGCAGACAAAACAATAAAATGTGATTTGGGCCTGGAAGTAAATGTCAGAGGAGTGATCTGGGCAAATAAATACAAATATTGTAAAGCTTTAAATTCCATTCGATTAAGTCTATTTGAATACCCATTTGTACTTGCCTCACTAAATAACTAATTAACTAACAGGATTAACATGCCTTTTTAACAAATTCTCTAAATATTCTTCACCTTTTAGTCCAGGGCACTGTACAATTCATTATCATTCATTTTAATCAATGTTTTTAATCCCATAATGTACACCTGCAAAATGTTTATTGATTATTTAGTTTGGCTTCAAACACATTGGGTTGGGACTCCACTGCAATAGCTGCAGAAATGGGAGCGCCTGATTTTCCCCATTTCTCAAGCCAAATTTACAACTACAAAGGTATGCAATTTAAATTAAAAAGCTGTTTGGATCGAAGGCATTATGTTCAATGAGTGGAGATGATGATGGATTTCTACACGTGTCAGACATCTGGCAGAACAAAATGAATGGAAACGTATGGTTTCATTTCTTAGAATTTTCATCAAGTCTGAAAAAAGGCTATAAAAAATCCTGATACAAAATGTAGGGTTTGTTTTGCAAAATATGTCATGTATTTTATACAGCAGCACACTTCGCTGATAGAATTATTGTGCATAATTGTAATTCGTAATTAAGTAATCAATTGCAATTAAAGTTCCACATGTAGAACAATAGATTGGCTTGGAATAATGAGACCTACACCCTCCCCACTCCCCTCTCCCTCCCTCTTTCAAAGGGGAAACATAACTAAATTACTTCAGGAAGACAGAAAGAGATAGTACGTCCAACATAAAGAGTTCTCTTTCATCCCCCCACCGCCTGGTCCAGAGTAATTGAAAAAAAACTCCCACAAGTTGGTGTTCAGCTGCAAAGTGGAAGACCATTCATGCCAAAGAATCACTGAGCTACTCAGTTTATCACACTGATAATTATGTCAGGAGGCAGTTTTGTTCCAGTATCTCCAAGCTAATGCAGATGTCTGTAGTTCTTTGGTCAATATCCAGGCTATCTATGTTTTATGAATGGGACTGAGTTTGGAATTATTCTGCAAGTCACCTGTAACTGGAATCAGTATGCTGCCTCGATTATATGGGAGAAACGTAAATGTTACATCGCTATTTTATCAAATCCAGCAATCCAATTGGGTATCTTTGCCAATGGGTGATAATACTTTAGACTGAAACTTCTACCAAAACAACCTTGTGTTTTCCTCATTGCTTTTAGATAACAGGAACCTTTAGCGAGACAATCATTCAGAGGTACAAGTAAATGGGAAGATTCAATCTCTTACCAGCTGTGGATCAATTTCGGAGATGGATTTGCTATGCACTGCACTCAGCAACTCCTCGAGCTCTGTAAATGTTAGCTTGCTCATCTTGTATTTGTCTGATGACAGATGCTCCCCCAGAAAGAGACGTTGCCAGAGCACGTCGCGACGGCAGTGAGATTTTGCCTGTTGAACCATCGTTGCAATCTGTTCCTGGGCTGTGGCCACCTCAGAGGACAGCAGTGGGAAGAGCGGTGAAGAGTAAAACAATTCCGGTGCCATCTTAAACTGCTTCCCGTGAGAGTAGAACTCACTGGAATCACTTGCCTCATCCCACCCATCTGGGTCACTCTCTCTCCGTTCGGTTTCAGATTTCTCCGACGAGGAATCTCTGTTCAAGTCCAAAGAATCCCTGCGAGTCCGGGGAGGTTTCTTAAAGCGTCTCATATCAGCAGTCAGTCGTGGAAAGAGCTCCCTGCAGCTTGTCATTATCACATAGAAGCGTAACCTTGAAAAAAAATACATTTACCATTCAATTAACAACAAATTTGTTTTGAGTCATCTCTAGAGTAACCCAGGACACAACAAAAAACTGGCTCCTCTCAAGCAAAAGAAGCATTCACAGCTTCTCTACTTTACAAACACTTACAGCATGTTCTGCCCTCCATAAAAACATATAGGATTTCGGCCTCAGACCTAGGGAATGATGCCACAGCAAATATCCATGCACACAAATCTGTGAACATGTGAATTTTGATACTCACTAAGGCAAGCAAAACAGTATTGGGGAACTGAACACTTAGAATCTATCAGCAGTGAGGACTCCCAGGTCAGGTACAGAATAGTCAGATGATGAGCAAAGCTCTCATCTAACTCAGTACATTTATCACTTAGTGCTAGTTGGATAAGATAAGTAGTGTGAAGATTGCCAGACAGCGCTCACAATGGTAAGCAATACGTTAGCTGGTTAACCTCCAAACAAAACTCCGACATGCAATCTGGGTTACCCAAAAGCCTTGGCCAATTCCTGCCCAACACTTTCCAGAATTAGTTATGCAGGGTACGTCCCTCTAAGGAGAGTGAATACTCCATTCTAAATGCAGGACATTTCCAAGCATAGATGACATATAACTGTGGAACTCTGTCTGGTTTGGTTACTGTGAGCAAGGTGATGGGTTTCTATGTGTCAGACAGCCCCCAGGAATCAAATTTAAAGCATTAATTTCTGTAAGACTCAGTTAATACTGGGCAGGAAAGGGAAAACCATCACATATTTAAAAACTGCAGAAGAATAACCCATTTCCTAGGCCTTCATCAATGCTGCACTTCAAATTGGAAAACCCTCCTGTCCGTTTGGGGGCAACCAAGTAAAAATTGTCATTTCTGGGCTAGATATCTCTTCAGATTAATGATGTTTCCACACCCAAAGCTAAAATCTGACACAATATCCTTTGACTCTCCTGACAAAGTTGTTCTTAAGAACTGTAGGAAACTTCCTTGAAAGAGAGGAGAAGAACCAGGTTAGACCCAAGGCAACAAATGCATCTGCCAACACCATCATTGCAAATTGCAGAAGAGTTTCTTTAATAGAGAATGAACTGATGACAGGAGAAACATAAATTAAGTGTAAATCTGAAAGAAAGCCAGTGCTGCCTCGAAGCCATCGTATGGCTTCTACAGGTACTGTAGGATTAAAAACATTTAAAACAGTTTATTTGCATGTTGACCCCTCTATTGCTTTATGCGTGGGAGACGAACAACTGAGGAAGAAGATTTGTGAAGCACCTTAATCACTGCAAAATGTAGAATGTTTTGTTACAGATATCCATTCCAATATATCCGATACGAGGCCCTGTTATTTTGAGCTAAAGCCCTTGTGATATGATTTATATTTTTAAAAAATCCATATTTCAAATCGGCCATTAATATCGTTTGGATATTGATTGCGATACAAAGTAGTTAATGGAGCATAAGAACAATGTAATGAAACACAGCCATATTGAACAGCTCAATGAACCAGAAACCCGTCAGAAATGGATGCAATTACAATTTATAGACAAATTGACTAAAGGATAATTAACTACTACACAAGCAGTAGCCTTAATTCTATTTGAGATATGTCAAACCTGTCTGTACTCACTAATTAGATTTGTGGAGAACAACAGAGTAGGGAAAGATTTATGCTGAAAAAATTTGATTGAACTTGTGGAGTCTCATTGTACACAGTGTTAAGTTCTTGAAATGACAGCTGTATTTATATAGAAAAAAAACATTTCTGCATTTAAATGTCATTGCCACATGAGTAGAGCTAAGAGGTAATTTAAAATTTAGCATCAGGATTTTTTCAAATTTAATGTAGAATCAATATGGAAAAGTAACAATACCAAACACATAGGGTCCTGTCATTAGACATTTTGGATTACCTCAACCGTGGACATATGCTGAATTCCACAGTGCTTCAGATTATAAATAAACCTAGTCAGCATTACAGTGACAGGCAGAGTGAATATCAGGCACTACAATAAATAAGGGACATCCTTGACAATATTAAGACATGTTCTGTGCAGCACAAAATAACTACTTCCAACATGTTGTAGGGATGTCACTACGCCAGCAATGAAAGATGGATTCTGGCTACTTCTCAGATTTAAAAACTACAAATAATCACAGGTAGGAGAAGCACGGAGGTTTTACTGCACAAATTATTGGTATCTCTAAAAGTGCCTACCTAAATGCACTGCAGAAGTAAAACATTTTTATATTGCAGGTTATAATAATAATCCTTGTATTTGATATAGCGCCTTATCATGTCGTTGAGACATCATAGAATATATTATAAACAACAACTTGCATTTATATAGCGCCCTATACCCAGGCCAGCGTCCCAGATCGCTTGACAGTGAAAGAGCACGATGCCGAGCTGAAGTTACTTCATTCCTTCTTGTTGACAAAGATTCACGGAGCTACATGGACACTCTTGCCCCTTAACATTTTCCACGTCAGCCTTGGGGAATAACTAACTCATTATGTGGAGACAGGGCATAGTCCTTACCGCAACATGTTGTGTTCTGTTTCTGGCTGTTCCTCGAAAGGACCTGCGCTATGACACACTAACAAGGACACATCAAACTCATCATGGTGTCGGATTCCTTCAGAATCTTTGTACGATCCCGATCTTAACACAAAACACAAGGAAATGAGATTAAATTCTTATGAAGCCTTTCTATCAGTTCCAAACATGATTCAATACATCATTTTGCCCTTTACAGTACTTTTGAGATAGAACTGCGCTCAAATCATGAAACTCTCTAGCCTTTACTGTTTTCCCCTCTCATTATAAAACACTCAGTTACACCAGCCTTAGAAAGCTGCTGGACCTCTGCTCATATACATTAATCATAACATGCTCCTAATTATAACAAAGTATTACATACAAGGTCTGCATTATAAGTGTAGGGTAATAGGGTGCAGTTCTCAAGAGTACAGGGACACCAAGCACACCTATTCTCTCGGTCAAATGGAAGTGAGATTCCAATAACAAAATGGTGTGCAAATATCTTAGCTGTATAATACCTATTCCAGAGGGCTACCAGCGCATATTCATGCATTTCTGTGTTCTGCGTCCCCTTTCTGCTATCCATACTGACAGTCATTCTTGACATCCTCAGTGGCTTCATTCCATATATGCTGGCATGGTCTGTGATGTAGTTGTATAACTGGTGAGCTGTTGTCATATTTGTAGACAGGCAAATGTTTCCTTGGAAAAAAAAGACAAAAAGATTGAGAATGGAATTTCAGAAACCTAATCTCAGCAACAGGCATCAATTTGCATAATTTGTTTTGTTCATTTTAGCAATGTGTTCCACATTATCATATCTATGTGGAATCTCTCCAGCCTGCTATCAGAGTTTTTTGGGGGTTTTGGAATATTTTTTGTTTCCCCTGGTGGTTCAGTACTATATAATAATAATAATCCTTGCATTTGATATAGCACCTTATCATGTCTTCGAGATGTCTCAAAGAGCTTCACAGAATATTCTGTAAACTGAGTTGACTGTATATTTTGTGGGTGAAACACAGCAGCCAATTGCACACAGAAGTGTCCCACAAACAGTCGTGGATTGAGTGATCAATTTTTATTAGAATTTTTTTTGAAAGGATTATTTCCCCCGGAAAAGTGATCTGCCAATTAAATAACTACCAGGTTCCCACTTCATGCTAGGTAAACAAGAGGCGTGTGGAGTAAGAAAACTTGCCCAGTGTTTCACCTTGCCAGGAATCAAATCTAGGTCCTTTCGCTTGCGAGGAGAGTGCTCTAATCACTAAGCTACAGGACTCCATATGCAGCATATAAACACAAAACATTTACCCATCGAACCACCAGGTGTACAGCACATCTAAACTACATTTTTTTAAAAAAAGTGTTAACACACATTCATTTCCTTTTCTCTTCTCTTTGTCCCCAACCACCACACAGAAGTGACCAAATGACTCATTCTCTGACCATCACGAATGCTGCACTGTAACTAAACATTAGGTGGTTGGTGAGAATATCTCAGATTTACTCTTATTTCCAAATTTCCCTCCTTCTAGTAGAAAGCACCTGGTTAATGCATCTCAAAGTAAGACAATTGAGACTATACCTTTGCTATGTGATGACTCTAGACATGAAACGGTACCTTTACACTCATATTACAGCATACTGCAGTCCCAACATGATACGTCCTTTTAAATTACATTTAATACCAGTTTTGGTCCATGAATTCCAAATCAATTATACACTGAAAGCAATAGTGGGATGCAAATTTATTTCTTCCCCTTGTCCCACGAATAAATAATGCACAATTAAAATTCACTCAAGAACTGTGCTGCCTTCCTCACTCAGGGGAAAATTGTACATCTCACTACTCAATTGTCTGTTCTCTATTCATTGAAGTTGTGTAGCTATGTTTTGAATTGACTGCAGTGAAATTGTTTTCCTGTCAAAAATGAAGATGTTTAACAAATTTGCGACGACAAGCAATAAGACTCAATATTCTAACCAGAGCTTATATAACGGACTTCTCATCTTCTACAAGCCCTTTATTTTCTTGCATTTTTCAGTTTACCCTTTTTCTTTACCTTCGAAGATATGGTTCCTTCCGTATTTGGGAATGTCAGGATGGTGACAGATAAAATCCTCCAGGAAGCTGGTCAGGTGGTAGCCTTGCCTTAGTGTCATCTGACGGCCAACCAGGTACTGATGAATGATGCGCAAGTGGAAATCGTAACTGAAGGAGTGAACGTGCATCAGGTCCCGCACTTTGTCACACTCCTCGGTAAATAACATTGACAGCTGCCAGAGCAAATATTATATGTAACATGTAAAGATTGGTTATTTCGACAACGATCCTGAACAGAGAAATTACTGTGGCCATAATTACAATTATATCTCCCCAACCTAAATTGCAAAGTTGAACATGTAATTGACCATTTGTTACAATTTAAAAGTTTAAAAGTAACGAAGCATTTTATTAAATAAATGTTTGCAATATTGTCAAAATTCACATTACTTCCCAGTTCCATTGATAAAACCATGAGTTGCATCACAAACAATGTCCCTTATCTATTTAATCCAAAACATAATCTAAAGGAATATTTTATATCAAAGGGAGCATCTTTATTTTGGCAATTACATTAGAATGAAGAAGATTCAGGACTGTGAACAACGAGTTTTAATAAGGAACCAATTTGCTGTCAAAATGGTCCATTACCCTAATAATATGCAGCCCATTAGCAACCGATTATAGAATGCCCTATAATTCCAATGACCATCTGAACACAGCAGTCAGAATGGCCTTGAATGGTCAAAGATAAAGGAGTCGTAAAGTTGACAGTTTTGATAGTTCAACTCGTTAGGAGACCAATGTTGTTCCTATTGATCCAAGAAGGCTGTTCTAACATCTTGTTATGTCATGAATAGGTTTTACTGATAAGACATCTATCCAAGCAATATTGTACTGCTAATGGAATTGGTCAGTTAAAAACAATGCACAAGTGAAACTAAATCTGATAAAGTCAAGAGACATGAAAAAAGGCCACCATCTTACAACTGTTGTTGGGAGGGTTTATCCACCTCTGTACTGATTGGGACACACCCACCACTCAACCCTAGAAAACCTGCTCATAGTATATAAACTGGACCGTTCCAGGATTGGGAGAGGAATCCCTTCTTAAGTAAGTATTCAGCTCAAACCATAAAGATCATCTCTCCCTCAGCCCCCCACCGACCATGGCACCACAATGCAACACTTCAATCTTTATTGAAACAAGATTTAATCCACTTACTTTTTGAAATGTAAAAGTTGATATATTGAATAAACTGCCATAATGGGGTGAACCTTGACTAAACGTAAAGATTACACTTAGAACTTTAAGTTTCCTTTGCTTAGAAATAATCTCTTCCCATTAGCCTTTCCCGATTCGATCCAGGTAACTTCTCTATTTGTGACTGTAAAATCCTAGATTACACCCAACACTTTTTTTTAAATTCCCAACAATAAATGCAACTCCTAAGAAGTTATCCTATTCCTGTACAATACCAATATCTCATTGAAAATATTTCATTTACAAGTGATCTCAGGTATTAATTTTTTTTCAAATTACATTTTGTGCTGCTATGTGACATTCAACAGTTTTATGTGCCTCAGATATTATAAAAAATTAAAACCAGAAGAATGTATATTCCTCCAGAAAATTATAAGCCCAGTCAAGGGCAAACCCTCATAAAGACGTACAAACTTTATTTGAACAGGGTGAAAAGAGACATGAAGTACTGCACTTTCTTCTTCACTATATTGTCTTTTATTACAAATGTTTTCAGAAGTTATATAATCAACTCACCTTACTATGTGCCCAACAATCTGTTTTTTTTAAAGAAACATTTCCATAATTCCCATATTCTTACAAAAAACCCAAGCACCCTGCACAGCACACATGTCCACCCAGGGATAAGCCTAACTGCAACACAATTCCTCTAGAAAGTCTAGTTCCAACAGAAAACCCATTGAACACAATGTATGAATTTAACCAAAGTATCACTTCCCACCACCACAGAATTCACACCAAAGTATTTTAAGATCCTGCCAGTATTTCCACAGACGTCTATCTGATAGCACTGCACACAACTCCACAAAAGGCATCTGCAAACTTCAGGTACTTACGATTATAATAATAATCCTTGCATTTGATTTAGCGCCTTATCACGTCTTTGAGACTTCTCAAAGTGCTTCACAGAATATACTGTAAAGTGTAGTGACTGTATATGTTTGTGGGCAAACACAATAACCACACAGCAGTGTCCCACAAAGAGTCATGGATAGAGTGTCCAAATTTTAAAAAAAATATTTTGAAGGAATTATAAAATTATTTTTTATATAAAGCGCTATAAAATTAACCCGGTGAGCAATGAATGAAACTGTTTCGATTTTACATTTGAGAACTTAAAGTTGAACCGAATATTCTCATTGCAGCCACCTGAACGCAAGAGATTTTATAAAGATTTGCAAATGAGAGAATTTCAGAAAGTTACCATTAGAGTGTGCAGAGAGCCATTTGGAAAGCTTCCTAAATGATGAATTTCCACAAAACATAGATCAAACAGAATAGAAATGGGCCAGTGTTAAACTGCCTGCCATGGGCATGCTCATCTTACAATACATCTTAATTGTTTTTGAAAGTTAAATCTCCACATAAAAACAGGAATTGTTTATTGGTTAGAGGGAGTAGGGAAGTAAATGATTTGATTCGAAAACACTGGACTGACATATTTGGTTATATTATATTCCCTCCATTTAGTTGCATCTAAGATTCCACTGTGAACCATACTGTTCATTACTTAACCAGAGAAAACAATGAATAGAATCAGAAATAGTTCCACTCAGAGAATTAAAGGGTAAGGCGACTGTGAATGTTATATGAATTGATTAACTTCCCTATTACTTGAAGGAAATACAAACTAACCATCTTCCAGATTCATTGAACCCCCATAAATTGAAGTACATAAGAGAAGGGTTTTGGTTTACAGGATTAACAGGAGTTGAGTGGGAAGGGGGTTGGGGAGGTGGGGCGGAGGGAAGTAAATGGGGTCTCCTTTGGGCTTTCGCACATTTCTTAAACGGTATGTAACCTCCAGACAAAATTTTCCCTCTAATGAATCGATGGCCAATTCCTATTAGTATATGGAGTTTGATTGAATGAGGAAGAATAAGTGATTAGTGTGGCATTAGGCAGGGAGTTTTCTGGTATATGATCAAACCCAAAGTGCAAATAGCAGCGGAGCAGTGCAGCACAGATTAAACCTCCATGTATTGAAAAAAGCACATTATAAGAAGCAACTTATACCCATTAATACAACACATCACATTATAATGATCAGTCAGTGGCGGAGAGGGATGGAGAATGAGAACCTGAGCCAGTGTAGCAAAAGTTGAGCAAGTATGTGAAATGGGAGAAAAAGAGAGAATGTACAAGGCCCCTGGAGAGTGGGACATACCGCTGACTCTGAGACCGAACTCACTTCAGCAAGGCACTTGGTGCGAGCTTTGGACACTAGAGAGCCCTGATGGAGACAGGAATGGAGATGGGTATGGTACTCAACATAGAGACAAAGCAATTTCTATTCCAGAGAGACACTGACACACACCAAAGCTCACAACAACAAAAACACATTTGTTACTCGTCTTCTTTTAAAACTGAACAACTCAGGGTTGTTCCATTAAATCAAATTTTGCCAAAACCAGAAGCAATTATTGTTATTATTTTAATCCAAGCCTCTATTATGAAAGTCTCTTGGCCAAAGATGTACCTATAGCTTGGCAACACAACATACCCTCCTGCTCATGACTTAATGGAACAAAGATTTTAACTGCTCAGAAAACATTTATGGCTCCCATCACAGAAATGGAAAAGTGATATTTCAGTTCTCGACTTTGGAAAGCAAATTACATTTAAAAATAATCAATTAATGAGTAGAGGCATCAGATTTTTAAAAAAATATTGTATCGACTTTGAATGGTTATCTTTTAGATCCATTTTACCATGGCATATTGCTGTAACTGCATTCTGAACCTTTAATTTAAATTGAGAACTTGGTTATTATTTTACTATCAAAACTCTGTGTTACCAAAAAGAGAGACTGTTGTGTACAATCCAGCTCTTTGTGTGGCAGTGCCTCAAACAAATGGGATGAACAAAGACCAACAAGAGACCACACATTATTTACAAACATACGGACAGACAACTCTTATAGGGATTTTTTATATAAAAATATTTGAGAGCAGAAAAAGACATGCACTATTTCAAACAGAAACTCGTCAATAAAACAAAGAGACTCAAATAAGACTCGAGACCAAACATCAAAGTCTACACAACATTGGATAAACACATGGGGAGAACTGGATTGTGACCTTGCAAGATTGAATCAGTTAGATGCTGTTTTTTGGGAAGGGTAAAATCTCAATCTAGGTAACAACTATTAAAACCCAACCAATGTGCATCTCAAACATCACCGGCATTGTGTCCTGGGGCTCAACCTGGGACAGAATAGCACTTATTGTAATCTAGAGGCAAACCTGCATCCTGTTTTGCACTACCGTGTACCTTTCTTAAGTTTACAAAAGAACCATTCCCCGGATTTTACCAATGACAATCCTGAAGCGGTTGACAGGTTGTTGATACCTCCACTCGCAATCCGATGAACTAACTTCCCTGGCTGAGATTAATAACCAACTACAATATAAGGCTTTGATTGGAGAAACACAGTCAATTTTAAAGATGGCCATATTGGCAAGAGCCTGTTTCGTCTAAGCGTTTCCAATAAAATAAACTGGAAAACAACCCAACTGGATTCAAGCAACCAGAGCATACATAGGTCACAGAACTTGAATGGGATGCACAGATATATAAATCCCGATTCACAAAATGTGTTTTGGATTTAGATTGAAGTGATTCTCACAACTGAGAAGCCACTGCATTCTGCATTAACGAATGCATTAATAAGGGAAGAGGAAAACAATGAAACAAATTACTTTTCAAATCTCGCTTGCAAGTTATGATTTAGTTTTACCTCCTTTATTTTTGACCTCATAAGGTGGCACTTTCTATGCCCATAGTGATCTCCCCAATGGATTTTAAAAGATTCTCTGAATTTGCAACACAAAATGTGCTTGTACTAGGGTTTGTTGCCCACGGCAGTATATTATATCAGCCAATGTTTCTTCGTAACCAGGCTGGGTTTGAACAGAAGTCCCAAAGGTAAAATGGCAGTGAGCTAGGTTGAATGAACTTAATAGACTTTTTTTTCCCCCTCAAAGATTCTAATGTTTTTGTCAAAGTGCTTCAATTCACTACAGTACTCAGTCCCCATCAAATTCAAATTTTATGAAGTTTATACATTTTTATTCAGCAGCTGGCAAGGTATTTGATTAACATGTAGCTTTTGATGTAGGTTTTGAATGAAGACATTAAATAATATATAAATCTCACAATAGAAATACTCTAACACTATTTTTTTAAAGCTATCATTTGTTAAGAATTATGCTGGGTGGTCTTTTATTTTAGATATTTTATGTTAATAATAAGGATTAATTCAATATTTAGTGCGATCATCAAATATGAAGCCTCTTTCTTCTTCCGCTTCTCAAATAGGCAAAGTTACCTGAGAATTGACAGACTGTCCCATTGGAATCCGGGAGCACTCGAGGGCGTACTGTTTCACACAGAAGTAACAGCCCTAGAAATTAGAGACATCAGAAATTTAAGACGTTGAATGCAAGAACTCACAAACTGATGGTTTGGTCTTCAATTTCAATAATACAAGGAGGACACTTGTGATTTTGGTGACCTTCTCAAGTACGTATTCTATAAATAGCACAAGCATGAGTGTATAATTTATCTTGCCACTTCAGTCAGCTATGCCCACAGCCAGGTGAGTTAGGATACAAGCAAACTCTTTGTTTTTGACCTTGTAATCTAAACGCAAGGAAATTCTACTAAAATACAACTAGAACTTAATTTATTCAGAAAATTTATGATCATTATAGAGTTTTGCTTTTCTTTTTGTTTTTTTTGCTAAATATTTAAGCTATTGCAGCTTGGTGTTTCAAAGGAGCATTTTCAGCAAATGGAGCAAGACCCTTACAGTTTTGCAGTCTTCACTGTTGTAATCAATGCATCTGCCTTCAACCTAAATATTCCACAACTGTACATGGTGGGATGGATAATTATTTCTCCTCTCCCAAATCCAACCAATGAAATATTCTGAGACTGGGAGTAATTAATAAACTAATTGGCACATCCCAATTTAAATTTAATTAAAGCTGCAATTTAGTCTTGGCATCTCCGAGTCTGCTGAGAGGGGTTGTCCACAGCCACTGAATGTATTGAGCAAGTCTATTGTGCTGTCTTGCTACAATCACTGGTCTTATGAATGCAGGCACTGACCTCGAATGAAAACACTGGTGTACCCTAAATCGAGCAAGAGCTGGGGTGGCAAGGATTTTGTGACAATATGATCAAATGGAAGCTGAGAAAAAAAACCTGAGCTGTGAAAGTGAAGAGCTTAGGCAAACGTTGAACGCTGTGGTGCCCCATCAACATCCTGTATTCCTGAGGAACTATTTGAGATAAATGACAGCACCAGATCCTGGCTGTGGTTTTGGAGCAACAAGCTATGGTGATGATGACCATGTGAGACATAATAGACAAGCAACAGGAACAAGAATATAAACAGATCACCTCAGAGCCAGAAACAGTAAATCCTGCAGATAGCTTTTTTAAGCAAAAATAAAAAGAAACCTTGTATCAGACCAACTCATTTGGCACAAGAGCTAATTGGAGAGCTAAATTAAATATTTTGCCGAGTCTCAGATTTATTCTAAGATAACTTTTATACTTCCAGGCCAGGAATCACTTTGCAGTTCCAAGACTCCTACTCTGTACTCTGTCATTCAATGAAGATGATCCGGTTTGTGATAGGCAGAGCCGATATCCCAACTCTATTACCAGCGAGGGGATTGCTGCAGTTATTACAGTGAAACAGTGGGTCAAAAATAGATGTGATGCGACAGAGGTCAGAAGCAGTCATAGGTGTGTGGGTGTACGTAGATGTATTATAAACACCATGGAAAGCAAGTCTAGCAACCACAGTTCCTAATTTAGCAAAAATATCCTAAAGGGATTTTGGCCTTATCATTTATCCACGATTGGACATCTAGACAAGCATGCAGAGAATAGCAAATTTGAAAACATTTAATTCAGCAGGTTGGCACATAAGGTTTATTTTGAGGGTACCTTGATTGATGCTGCAATATTCGCTCAATTATCTTAACCTCACAGGTGTCCCTTACATACCTGGAAATCACTCCAACTTTCCTATTCCTCCAATATTTCCTAAATAGCCTGGATCTTTGGAAGTTGTATTCACTTCCATTATCCTAATTTAGCCATATCTCTGTGATTCCTATCACATCATAATTAACAGGTACCTCTAGTTCCACCATTTTATTTTGAATGTGTCTAACATGCACCTAGTTTTATTCTTTACCCCCTTAATCTTCTTGGCTGGTTGCCCGGTCTTTCTAGCTACAGCTTTCTGGAATCCTTGCACTCTTGATTTAGATTTTCCCCTATTTTTCATCTGTTTTCAGCACATAGCTAAAATACTGCTGAAACCAGAACAAGGAAAGACACTCATGCCATCTACTGACAAGAGCTAATCTTATCATCACGAGTTGAATTCATTCAGTATCTCGCAGGACCCGACATAATTTAAATATCAGATCAATGAATATGAAATAGGTTTGAGAATTTTTTTAAAAAAATCTGAAACACCAGTGAAATAGTTTAACATAACCAGCTGACATTTCAATGTGAGGGAGAATTCTTCCGGGATTAATTGATGTCAATATTGCTTGATATCATCTCCCATGGAGAGGGGCCCTGTGATCCATGTTGATATTATCATGCTGAGTCAGCCTCAGGAGCCCCCAGCACCACAGCATCATTCCTACTGAAGGTTACAAGCTTTTTGTGTTTTTTCTATTCTTCTCCATGATACTCGTTCCTCTGCTTACACTTGTACTGTGGTGCTATAGTCTGAGGTTGGTGAATTTATACATAACATCACTTAGGTGCATTTTGCTATGTGAAGTTATACAAATTTTATCAGTGGTGCACTAGTCTGGATAACATACTGCAGCATTAACCCTTGCAGTTTAGTGCCATATCATCTGTGATGCTAGAACCCACGCAATGCAACAGTACTGTATAAATATCTTGAATTTTGGTGAGCAGCACACATAAGCTATTGTGTTGGAAAATTATTGGGACAGCTTTCATTCTTCTGAAGCCATTAAAAAGAGATCTTCGAGACAGGCTGTGGCAAAACAGTATGGTTCAGTCTTTTGTTTGAGAGAATGAAATGAATGTCCTGATCTTTCTCTTCATGTAATGCAAATAGTAGACACGACTCCAACACAAGTAAAATAACTCAAGATGTACAGCCTGAGATGCGGTTACATATTTATATGTGGAATAGCAGAGTTCTGATTAAAAATACATATAAAATATGCTTAACGACATATTAATAAGGTCATGCAATGAATAAAATAAACAAACTTCAATCAGCAGATTATATCGACTTATGGTGCTGGTCTAAGATAATTGACCCAGTACCCAAACTCATGTCTCATATGGTCAGATATTTAATGCATTATTCTTTGTAATAGCATTGATCATTGTTTATTGTACGCTTCTGTAACACAATATCCCGACTCCCACATGGAATAAAATAGATCACTAAAGTCAAGATGTATGAGGCTCCCTCCCCAGAGAGACTGGTGTAGGCAGAGCCAGTCATTCTTACCTGGAAAGCAAGTTCCATGAGTACAATTCCACCTGGCAGAGCCCTCTGTAGGTGATAAGTCATTACACTGGAGCTCTCCATACTCTGTAAAACAAACACAGACATCAACTCATTAGGATCTTGGGAATACAATATCCCATGTCTTTCCCATGCCCCTGAGGTGAGGAAATACTCAGGTTTGCACAACTTTGGCTTAATTTAAGATGTCTTGAAGACGTGATAAGGCGCAATATCAAAATGCAAGGATTATTAATTCATGGGCTGGCACTTACTTCTGCATTGGCATAAGCAGTGCCCCTTCCCCCACTTGTAATGAAATGAGAGCTGCTCATCATGCCAAACACTAGCTGCTGTGCTGAGATCTATAATGAAGTGTGACTCACTTACTGAAATAGCTGACTGTAGATAGCTGTAAAACATCACTCACCTCTTAATGCGCACTGCATTATTATACTGCCAGGCCCGACTGGAAGGCCAAAATTATTGTTTGTATGCCTTCTGTAGCTTTCTATGCACCTTCAAATTTTCTGTCACAGCTTCAAAAGCACATCTGTGTAGTTGCTTAATTATACTTCATATTATTTAGCTTTAGAAAAAGCACACGCATAAAACAATTTCTTGCACTTGATACAGCGCCTGAAACATCAAAATGTTTCAAAGCGCTTCACAGATTTCTTTTCCATGAAGTGTAGTAACTGTATTTGTAGCGAACACAATAGCCAGTTTTGTGCAGCAATGTCCCACAAACAGGCATGAAACAAATGACCAATTTTATATTGGGGGATTGTTGACCAAGACACCAGCAGAAACTTCCTTCTCTTTTCGAATAGTATCATTGGTCATTTATGTCCACCTGATCAGGCAGATGCTTTCATTATTCATTAAATAAATTTATGCAATTGTGTTAACATTACAACTTATTATATAACTTACATGCTGGGATGGCCTAATTGTTTGGAAATAAGATCCCAAATGACAATAAAACATGAATCAAATAACTGAAGTTATTGTGTATGGCATTTAAAAAGAATATAATTTCTTGGTTGAGTTAGAAAAGCTGACAGTCATGAAGCAATTCCAACATGGCAAGTACTTATTTTTTGCTTTGAAGCTTTGAGCTAAGCTCTGCCATGTCACTCACCTTTGGACTGTCATCACTTTTTTGCTTGGAGATGGATGTCATAGGTCGAGTGTCTGTGGTCTGGGACCCCACAGGCCGTGTTCGAGCCAAACTAAAAGGAAACAAAGATGGTTTATGCAAAGGATTCCCCGCTACAATGGTCATTTGGATCATTAGTAATGGAATTCCACTGTTAGGATTAACAACACTAGTTGAATGCTACAGCATGAATAATTGATGCATCAATGCTGCCAGTAGAATCCATTAAGTGCCTGGTCTAGTAATCTACAAGTAGTAATACCACAAGCAAACATGTTATTAGGGGAAGAGATACACTGGCCAGGAGAAGCTTGCTGGATTTTAACACAGCTAAGCGTAAAGCGTGAATATCTTATACAATGATTAGCACTCCTGACAGCCTGCTCCAGACTACCAATACTTTGTAATAAAGCACCTCACTGTTTTCAAATTAGCTTATTGATTTAGTTTTCTCCTTGTCAGCCTTGTTTTCTGAACTTGTGTATTTTAGTCCAGCCAGCTAAATTTATGATTAGTAAGAAAAATGTAAGGTTGTAAACCTTAAGTTTTAATTTCAGGACAAATCTTCAGCCTGCCCACTTGTTGGGAAGTACAATGTTATAGTCCATTCCTATGGTGGATTGTTGTTATTCTATTGGATTTCTTTACTTAGGAATCTCATTTGAATTCCCATTTTAGACCCCATGATATTAGCAGCCTTATTCTCTCATTTGTGGGACTTGCTCAGAGAAAAGCTGAGATAATGCTCTATTACACTGAAGCTTTTTTTTGTCTCCTTACCTCCTTGTAGGAGAAGGTGGACGGACTTGCACCAGAATAAAGCCCATGCTCTGCAAGTATTGGATGTATTGCTGCATGAATGCATTTGAGATTTCTCCCAGCCACTGCTCCTCCTTCAGTTTGGATGGCATTGTCTCCACAGAATCACAACTGTGACTACGGTCTCTCCCTGAAGCTGCCGAATCACTTGAACGATGACGTTTCTGTTTTGTGGGGTATAAAGGTTTCATGAGAAAATATGCAGATCAGAAAACATCATACACCAACTGTCCTATTAAACGAATATGCTCTGCTACAATTTAAAGAGTTGATGGAGTCAATAAAGGTCTACCAACATTAAAGTTTCACTAGCGGTCGTTGTACTGCAATAACATGTTGTATTGAGACAAGCCGACCAGATCTCAGATTATTTAACGACTTTCAAGACATACAGTAAAAGTGTCCAGGTCAAAGATTAACCAAAAGAGGCTTTTGTACAGAAAACAAGGGAAGATGTTATGATTGTAATCAGCAGATTACAATAAAATATCCCACTCAAATGCTCAAATAGTACTTTTATTCAGAATCATTTTGCAGTGATTGAAACGTGGACACTTCTGATAACTCTGTGATATTGGCATTACACACACCACACATGCAGTGTGCATCTGTCACCTGAAGGAATTTAAGATCAGATCCTGGCATCATCTTAGGACAAAGTGACAACAGTTAGAACAAAGGTAAATCTTGGCAGCAGCTTTGACATTCAAAAATAATAAATTGTGGTCAAAGTCTAGAAGTAAATATTGGCAAATTTGTAAAAAAAAAAAGGACTTTTAAGCATTTGGTCATTGATCAGTGAAGCAATGAACAGCTAAATACCTACTAATAATGTTTCCTCGATGTTTAGTAACAAAACTGAACTGCTAATAATAAAAAATCTGCAATAACAGAAAGCTCATAAGCACTAAAGGATTGAGGGATAGGAGGAAAGGACTGATTCATATGACCACTGAGGCAATCTTAGAAAGAACCAGAAGGCAAGGCTTTGTTCTATTTGAATGACAGATGCTCATTTGCACGCATAAGTACACTGTTTCATGGTTCATGGAACAATTAGGTAAATGCCATTCAAGGTCTTCTTCATTACTGAAGGTACAAAAAAGCTTTTGTGGTCCTCTCGAAGAGTTAATGATGTAAACTGAATTAAATAGATACAATTCTCTTGGTTGTAGTGTGCCAGGATTTGCTTTCATCTATTAATGGATGGGACGTATGGATTGGCAGATGTACTGTCCCTCTCTGAAATGCTTGCGGGTCACAACAGTTTGCTTCAATGAACCACTGATTCCTAACAGATGCCAGCTTGTTCTTAGGTAAGAGCCAACTGACCTCTTCTTTATAATTAGGTCCGGATGTCCTGACAATGTCATTTTTTAAAAAAACTGTAAAACCAAATGCCTCTGCATTCTGCGCCTTCACCAATCCTACAACCACCCCCATCCCCTGCACTCTCTTCCTCCAAGTGTCCTTTCGTATGCCAGTCCCTCTCCGAGTTTCTTACTTGCCAGTTTCTCCCCTTCTCTCAATTCCCTTCCCCTCTTGTGAGTCTCACTGTACTCATGTTTCCCTCATTAGATTATACAGATTGGTCATAGTACAGTTGTTCTAGCTGCTTCCATTTCACGTCCTCCCAACGTGAAAGGTGCTTTACAAATGTAATCGTTGTTGTTGTTTGACATGTCTTGTTTAGACTGCACTTACTTTTCCCTCTGATCCAACTTGTTGCTCTGCTTGGATCTGTTGTCTGAAGATGGGATCAAACAGAAGTGGAGTTGCACAATAGTGGACAAGACGAGAAGACTGTTTAAGGGTATCCAGGTCACCAGTCTAAACCAGAGATCATGTTCATTGGTTATTACTATACATCCAGAACTTATTTCAATGAAAAACATTGAATCAACATTTTTGGCACACGTGAATAAAAAGCACCGTACGACAGCATTAGTGCCTTTTCCCCCTGCACACGGGCTCATAGAAGTTGATCGTTTTAACAACCCAGAGCAAATTTAAGCCTGGATTTCATCCCAAAGCTTGTGTTTTATTGTATTCAACTGCATATTCAACATTTATAGTTGCAGTAGAGAGGTCAGCACGACCTTCCATGGCTTGTTCTAGATCATTACTTACTGTTATGGGCATATTGGACTGAGCAGAGCGCTGTTGCCACGTCACAAATAGGTTCTCAATTTTCATCTGCTTCTCCATCTCTGAAAATAAATCCAACAAATCACATTTGACTTTCTGGATAAAAATATGGGTAGACATGAAGGTGCTACGTACAGTCTCTTAAAAAGTGCAACTATGGACGCATGCTTTCAGAAAACCAAGTGCTGACACAAGACTATATGAAAAAGCTGTGCATTTTATTCCCTTCACATTAAGTTTCAAGTGCTTAATGTGCTTTTCGGCTCTGATTTGACAGAGGTCCTTTAAATCCAGCCAGTTTCCTGAGCCAGTTTCCAAGGTAAATGATTTCAGCGTTAGCTTGCTGACCTATTTCCATAAGATGAAAGCTTCAAATACACTTGGATACAAAGTACCATACATTGCTGTAGTATTTCCAAGGTCTGCCCCACATTGTCCTTGGTATTTGCACCTTGACGACATCAGGGCTCGAATAACTGCACCAACAATTTATGCTCATGAACAAGTCTTATCTATCTGGCAATTGAAAAGTGTTTTTAATGTAAAGCCAATTTCCTCCTCTTCCGATTTATTATTCTTTGTGACATTTTTTAAGAGGTGAATTCCTGTTTTACTTTGTTCTGAAGAATGTCACCAGGGAACAAGTGAGTGAAAAAAACAATCTGCTAAAAAACAGCAATCTGCTAAATAACCTGGTATAAGAGGCTATCTTACTCTTAGCTTTCGCAATATATAGAATCTGTGGAATTTATCGTAGAAAATAAGTTCAATTGAACTAATACATCTAGTTGAATAAACTGATTTTTTTCTAGTTGGCTCACCTCTCCGCTCCAGGTTTTTGATTTCCAGGAACTGTGTGCCATGACGGGAGACTGGATCTGACAGGCCCACATCATGTGACTGGCGCATGGATTTCGGCACAGTGATGTCTCGCAGCGCTTCATCAAATGGGACAATCTCCGGGGGGAAATGAAGTGGAGGAAGACTTCTGTTTGACGAGCTCAGTCGTGCCTGCTCTTTATTTGGTGGTGGGGTTGGGCTCTTGATCAGTGAATCAGCGTCCAACGTGGAGTGAAGGAATGGATTTGGTTCCTGCAAATATACAAATGCAAAGGGATGAAATGAGAACAGTTTCTAAACAGCGTTGGACTGAAACGTTCTGTTATATCTTAGCAGAAGTTACTCATCTACATGGACAGTTATTTGTTTTATTGTTTAGCGAGCTTTGTAAGACAAAGAGATGATCTTGCTTGTATTTGAAAAGAGAAGGGTGTTTTCATGGCTGCTTGTGGGACATTTCTGTGTCTAAATTGTCTGCTATGTTCACCTACAAATACAATCAATTCATTTCACAGTAATTTTTTTGTGAAGCACTTTGAGACGTCCTCCTGTCATGATTTCTCAGTATTAATAATATTATCGATTGCCAATATCAAAATGTCTTGAAGTGCTTTGCAGGTAATGACTCTGAAATCCAATGACCGTAGCAGTCAAGTTGCATATAGCAAGACTCCACAAAGAAGTGAATGACCAATTTATCTGAAAATTGCTCTCAATCCATGGCACTGGGGGCTTTTTCCTTTTCTGGAAAAAAAGCTTTAAAAATTAAAAATGTATTAAGGTCGTCATATAAGAGATAATGCCGTGGATTAGCAAGGTCACAGTCCTGGTTCTGTAACTGTTCAATCCTCACTGACATCTTGACAACAGGTGGTGATCGAGGCAAGAGTTTTGCCTATTTACCTGTAAACGTTCAGAGACCGTCCCTAATGTCTGCTAACAGCATTGAACAGCTGGTTGCCACGACAAGTCACTGTTGCATTGATTAATCAATGCTAGGGACTGTCTTTGCATCACAAACATTCAATGGCCAACAGCTGTCACGAGCACACTCAGTCTCTGTGCCGCCCCTTCAAGGCAAGCACTTCCAGAGCTCTGAACAATTTTACAAAGCAACATAGTTCCTTTGTATAAAACATATTATCACATTACTATCAAAAATCCCATGCTTTAGCAGGCAGGCCATCTGCCTGGGCACATTATGGAGTTGGAAATTTACTGCAACTAAATATTATAGCTTTGGTGCAAAATAAGTCAGAGCCTTGGTGCGAAAAATGAAATGACTGTTTTTTCAACTCTTTTATGTGTAGGTACATTTTGTTGAAAATTTAACTGCGATTGATCAATTTGCCACACTGCTTGATGTGCTCTTAATTTTAGGTTGCCACATGAAAGATCTTTCTGATCTTCCATTACTCTTCAGGATTAAAGTTTATTGGGGCACTTTTGATCACTGATTGTTATTACCATTAAAGTGAAGCCAACTCTTTGACGGCCAAATTCTATCAGGCAGTCCAAATTCGATATAATTCTGTCGCTAGTTTAATTCATCAGCTCATTTCAAACAAAATCAGATGGTCATCGAACTGTGCATACATTAAACAGATGTACACATCATGTACATATTCTGCATATTTTGGTATAGTCAATGTACCACATTCTATTTTATTAGTCTTGCACAATAACCTCTAATCTTTGCCCAGAATGGATGCTGTCTTGAAAAAGCAATTATTGTAGTTTACCAAAGAGAGTATTAGTGAGACTTTAAAAGGGGAGAAGTAATTCCAAAAAATACCTTGTACATAAAAATAGAATTTGCATTTTTTACAGAGCCTTACCATGTTAAAACATCTCAAAGTACTTCAAAATCAAATACTATCGAGTCAAATGATCTGTTTAAAGCTAACATTTTCTAAGGCTGCAGTTCAATTTTAGATCATGGAAGATATATACATAATGATACGGACATCCATTACCTGTTTGGAATCATCGTATACAGGTGTATCAGCAAAGAGATAGTGATGGAATAGTCCCATCTTTTGGCTGAGGAGACAGTGTACCACATGTGAACGAGCATTCTGCCACTGAATAAGGCGAGTAAGTCCTCGGTTTAATGACGCTCCTAGATCCACTGACCAGTTATAGGTGTACAAGGTTAGCTGGAAAATAAAGACACCGTAAATAAAGCGACAGTGAAAGCAAAAAAAACTAAAAATATGTAAGATACAGAGACCAATATTAAAAATTGGAAAGAAAGGTATACCGGTGTCTAAAAAAAAATTGATTCTTATAAAAAAGTAATTTTGTAATTATTTACAGTAATGCAAAACTCTTGTGGCAAGTAAGAGACTTAAGTCTCCCGTAGTGTGCTTTTTGGGTACCTTCTTGTCGATGATATCAATTATGAGGAATCGCTGTCGTGGGACGACACCTTTGCTGCTAATCCCTGGGGTTGAAGGATCACTGAACTCCATGGCCTCAAATCTCTGAAACCCCTTGTGAGCTTTACATTTTTGGAAAGAAAAAGGAACACTATTAGGGCACGCAACACTGTGAGATGTTTCACTGGGTTTTTAAAACACACTCTCAAATAATTAGCATTGAGATCATGTCAGTTTAGAATCACCTTCACGCCCCTCAAATTGTAAGGAAAGAAATACAAGCAACACAGTTTGTTACGAAGGAAGCAAATTAAGCACTCGGGTCATTTCTGTTACGTGTATACGCAAGTACATGTGCAAATGATATCCAACCCATTTGATTTTTTTCCCAACACAATTCAGTTCCAAACTGAAACACATTCAGAAACAAGCTGATGAATTTCAGTAATAATCAAATTATCATCAGAGAACAAAATATAAAAGGAACCAAAAATCACTTCTTAGTTTAGAGTTCAGAATATATATACACACACACACCCACATCTTCCACCAAGGTTGTGCAACAGTTTGAATATCAGAATCTCTCAGTGTGTTGAGTCGAGATTTTAAACAATACAGCACAATTGCTGTTTTTGGTTACTTGCGTTCTGTGGAGGTAGATGGATTACTTTGCTCTTTTGGTAGATGCCATTGGTGAATAATTTGCAGATTTTTCACTTCCGTGGTGTAATATTATTGAAGGAATAAATCAAAAGATTGCATAACAATTACAACCATGTGATCCAATATCAATGATCTGCAATATGTGAATGGTTGGACAAATCAGTGACAACTTCTATCCTCACACAAGATCATCTTCAGCTGGGAAAGGTCAGGCAAGACTTGATCTCGAATACCACGATCCCAGATTAGTTCTCACACCTAGCACTACAGAATTCCAAAATGCCTATTCACTCTCCTTGCTTGTAAACTGAGGGAGTCAAAACTATTGCAAAATATTTCCTTGGAAACTTTATGAAGAGCATTCTGATATCTTTTGCACAACTCTCACCCACCACCATAATCACTATAAGAACCACGTGATGAGACTTACGTTTCACACTATTTAACAAAGATGCATTTTCATCACCATCAATGTTCACTGTAGGCAAATAAAATATGAGCAGGCAAATCGTGGCACAGCAAATTGTGACATAAAAAGTTAAGCTACTAAAAATAAGCACTCTGTACTGACTCACCAAGAAACCAAGGTTTCTATGCAACGCACATAATGTTACTTATCAGGAATATCAAATATTATAAGATTTCACCTGTAAATTAGTTCATTTAAGAACATTTTTTCTTATGAATCAATCTTGAATATTACAGAGTGGCCTATTGAAAAAATAGACTGAATAATAATTGTTTTTTTTCCAAATTTGACCAATTTTTTTTCTGTGCACGAAAATAGGTCATATACATTGCAATGTCATTGTAAATATGATGAATTCCAGTTTTGAGTCTGGCAGATATTGTAGATGTATAAGGCCAAGAATCCTTAAAATTTATAAGATTTGATATCGCAAACATTTTACCACTCTCCGTTCCTATTAGAGATAAAATACCTTGATCCTTTGGTGTCAGCTAGATTAAAACCCATATTGCAAGATTCAACATAAGTTTGATATAGTGAGTTAATATTCCTGGTTACGCTCCTTTTAAGTTGTTAAAAATCATTTTATGGTCAGCATTGGCCATAAATTTCCTGCCTCTCACAGGCACACTGATTGTCTAATTGTCTGTGTTTACCCTTCTGGATGACAACAAGAAGCACTGATCATCTTAATCACCACGGAAAATGGTAACATCTGAATGCCCCTGAATTTGGTCTATTGCTAAACGCTTGCAAAGATAATAATAATCCTTGCATTTGACAATGGCGTCTCAATGACATGATAATCAATGTTGTATCAATTTGGATTTTCAGTTTGCTACCATACTGAAGCTGTGGAAGAGGTCAAACCAGTTGATATTTATGACGTATACAAACCTTGTTCAGTACTGTAACGCCACTGATGGAAATTGCGCCCAATCAGAATGAATTGCCTGGCAGAACCAGGACGAGTACTGGAGTGCTGGCTGAGCAAGTACGGCAGGAAAGTGGGACCATGTGGAGAGCTGAGATACAGGAGAAAAAAAAGGGTATAATTTACATTGGGGAAATGAATCATTTGTGGAAATAGACCACCTTTTTCACAAGAAAGCTATCAAAAAGCTAAGACTACAGAAACAAGTTTACCAAAGGTTATAGAAACAAATTTACACCCTACATATATGAAAACAGCATTAAATGCCAAATATTCTTTGGCGTTGGGAAATTATTTCTAATAGGACTTTAGAGGATGATTTTTTTTGAATATACTGACAAACAGTTTTGAAACACAAAAGCATAATCAAAGAGCCACAAGAATGATCACACTTGTGTCTGATTGTATCACCAGTGCTGTATAAGTTGGAAAACATTGCTGTTACATGCCACCTAAGCAGCACATATAACTACCTAGGTCTGGACCTAGGCTATATTTCATTTTAAATCATTTTGGAAATAGAAAATCTTGTGCTATTCCAGAATTACAAGCAATAAACTGGGCTTGTTTCAAAACCTACTGCTTGACTCGAGTCAAATCTGAAAAATTACCATAACAGTTAAACTGCATTTGATAACAGTTAAAACTGCATTTGATATCCCTCCCTTCCCTCCCCTCACCCTGACCATTTCCCCCCAATGCTCGGGTCCTGACCCAACTGTACAGCGCCTTGGGACGTCCTCCCGACGTGAAAGGCGCTCTATAAATGGAATCTTGTTGTTGTTGTTGATATCGCACCTTTCAAGTTGTCCATCCCAAAATACCTCCCAATCCCACAGAAGTGAAAGGACAACGTCCCACTGAAAAGCAATATTCAGTTTGCATGCTTCACTGCTCACAAAGGCACACCAACTAACCTGATTTTCTCAAAAATCTTGACCATTGTGTCGATAGCAAGACTGCTGACCAAATTTTCAATCTCTGTGAGTATGGAGCTGAGTAGAAACCGGGAGCCGATATCAACAGAGCATTGCTGTACTGAAGGACATCCTATATTGCAAGGAGAACAGAATAAGACAGAACCATCAAGCAACGATCACTAAGAAGAGAATGATGGAGGTGAGCAGGAGGATGAAGCAATAGTGGAGCATATTGGAACTGGTTGGATGTTGGTACACATTTGCTGTGGGCTCATATAATGATCCTAGGCAATACCAAAGGGTGGAAGGAAGGCCTTCGTTCATTGAGTGCTCAACGGCTCATGGCATTTTGCTTTAGAGGTTGGGATACCAGGAAACCTTTATAAAAATAAGGATCCATCTTGCACAAACTTGAAAAATAAGAGCCCGCTAAGAGTGGATTGATTTTTTATTAAGTGAGACTTACGGACTGATTGTAAAGACAGAAAAGTCCTGTGGCTAAGCAGCTTCTTTACATTATTGCAGGATTTTCCAAAGAAATTTGATACAGAGATCTGAGAATGAAACCGAAAACTACAAAGAAACTTGACTTTGCCTGAGTATTGTGAAACCTAAAGACAAAGATAATGTTAGTGGGTAATGTTCCATCCCTAGAATATACTGATAGATATTTATACTCACTTAAAAATACCAGAAAATTCTGGGGTTAAATGCAGATTCTGAAACCTGTATATGCACTCTAATTGGAAGTCCAATGTAAATAACTAAAAACACATTAAAATAAATCCATATTTTTCTCTGTATACAGCTTGTAGCCTGCACTTCAGGATATCATTAAGAAACAGTTGATTGACGTTCCCATAGAATCTATTGCCCACTTAAACCAACAAGTATGAAATAATGAAAACTACGGTCACACTCTGGGAGGGCTTCAAATGTAGACGTTATATAATAATAATAATAATAATAATCTTTGCATTTGACATAGCGCTTTTCACATCTTCTCGACGTCTCAAAACGCTTCACAGAATAGACTGTAAATAATAATCCTAATAATAATCCTTGCATTTGATATAGCGCTTTTCACGTCGGGAGGACGTCCCAAAGCGCTTCACAGAACACACTGTAAAGTGAATTGGCTGCATATTTGTGGGCAAAACGAGGCAGCCAATTGCACACAGCAGCGTCCCACAAACAGTCATAGATTAAAAATGACCAATTTATTATTGTTTTTTGTTTTGGAGGGATTATTATTAGGCATGTGGAGTAAGGAAACTTGCCCAAGGTTTCGCCCTGTCTGGAATTGAACCCAGGTTGTCTCGCTTGCAAGGTGAGTGCTCTAACCACTGAGCTACAGGACTCTGTTGCATTCCACATGTAAATAACTCCAATTCTATCACATTGTTTGCTTCATAGTAATACCGGGAATTCAAGCACTTTATGTCCAAATACAGCAAATCTTTGTTCCAGTCAGAATTCTACACTCACCCAGTCTATCCATGAAGGCCATCCACTGTTGACATGTGCCGTGGAAGAGCTGATGAAGAGAGCCCAAGTCTCCTTCTTCCAACTGGCCAGTGCGCCTCCTGCAGAGATGGAACAAAAGTTAAATCACGGGCTATTACTTGACTACTTTTGATCATGCTTACGGTCACCTCCCCACTCCCTCTCCCCCTGTCCCGGAGTCAGACTCCGCCACTGTCAAGCACTCCGGGACGCTGCCCCACGTAAAGGGCACAATATAAATGCTAGTTGTTGTTTTTGTAGTACTTGCAACTTATTCACCTAACTGTTAAGTACTAATTTGCCACTTTCAAGAACAGTTGGCAGAGGTTCAATTTATGCTGATCACTAAAAAACCCCACCTCTTTTTGCTATTTCCCTCTATTTTTTAATCATCAGTTGAAATACAATTCTGTATACTTGGATAGTTGCATCATTGCCGGTACTTAATATACAAAATCTCAATAAGCCCCCACTTTCCATATCATATAAAAGTTAATAGAAATTGTGCGCAAACTATTACACTAATTAATAGTACCCAACCTATTATTGAATCCCGGTCAGCCCAACAGGTTGAAGGTATTATATCCACAATAGATTAAAAAAAGTCATGCGTTTTAAAGCCATGATACATCTAAAGAATTGTGAGAGCTTTGTAACCCCAGCCCATCAGTTTTGCTGCACAGTCTGTCACCTTTCTGTGACTTCTCTCTACACATTCACCCATTTGTAATGCCACATATCTGCATTATACATGTACACTCCGATTTAGATTCCACTCAAGTTTCAAAGTGCACGTCCTGAAGCAGACCACATTTGTGTGGTTAGAATAAAGCAGCTGATGAAATAATCACCAAGTCCAATACAATGTCCACATCAAATAAAAATCACAAATAAAAGGAACCTTCTGGTTGCTGCCTGCCTTTGTGACTGCTCCAGTTCTGTTGCAGATACTCGCTCAGCACTTGAGGGTTGCTTCAAATGTTCTGTTTTGTGCCTGCGACGAATCCGGCTGTCATCAGACTTTTCCAGGACAATGTCATCAGTGGTCTTGGGAGAGGCGATGTCTGAAAAATCAGTCTTACTCTGGAACAACAAGGATCAAGAATCACATTTCTAACCAGCCCTGATGCAAGTTGAAGGATGATTGAATAAAACCAAATTGATACTGGAAGATGTGATCAGTGATTAATACTAGATGTGAAAGTGTTAAGATACTTGTGGCTATACATAATTTATACACATCTCTAAGGAAGCTGTCGAAAGCCCGTTAAAGTTACTCCACTGGCTCTGTGTGAAAAGGTATCACTTGAAGGAGCACTAACCAATAAAGTAGGTTTGAATGTTGGATTTAGCCGAGTTAGTTAATCTCAGCCAGACCTGTATTTGAGGTGCTAGAATTAAAATCAATGACCACTCGGTGAGAGAGGGTAAAAAAATCCATGCCAGAATTCCTGCCCCTGAGTGCTATTCAATGATGTTATTCCACTAAGTTTCTATGCAGAAAAGGTTATGATAAATCCCCCCACCCATAGTCAACTAACTCATCATCAACCATGGACTAGACTTACACATCAAGAATGAGTGCCTGAAAGGATCACTTCACGTATTCTTTTCCTTCTCACTCCACCTCTCCTCTGGACAGGTGTACCCCTTAACATCACTAACTTGAATCATTTAAAACACTTTTACAAAATGGTTTTACCTGAAGAGATAGATTTTCTACAGCATTTATATACTTACCAGCAAGTCCCAGAAACTACGACGGCTTGTTTTGCTTGTTGGAGTGGTGGAATCTGGATTACTTGTGGTGGAGGCTGATATGGGTACATATGGGTGAAAGGGCACTGGGCTGCTTTTACTTTCAATAATACTAGCAGAGAAGCTGATCGTTTCCCTAATCTCTGACCCTGGCTTGCTGGCTCGACCTGCCCGGTCACCCAAACAACGAAAAAAGGTTTAAAGAGAAAATCAGAAATTAATTTAAAAGATCAAACATTTCAGATATCTTACAGTGCATTGATGTTAATAGCAGAATGAACAATCAATGTCCCTCAACCCCATCACAACAAGCAATGGCTTAGACAACAAGACTTCCTACACACCAAAGACAATACCGGTCACAACACTTTTTGTCCCTTTACCCCACCAATTCATAACAAGTGTGTACTTACATTCCCCTTCTCACAAAGTTACCCACTCAAAGCCTCCCGCTAATAGCACCATTATCACAGCAGGCATCAGAGCACTCACCACTACAATCTTCCCTCAATTCACCCAATCATTCCCTCTTACATCTCTCTCCGTACATTCTCTGATCTTCATCCTCTTCACAAGCGTTTAAACTACCCCTTACCCCATGAAGATTTCCAGTTCCGCAAAATGTCCTGGAGCTTATTTTATTGCTGTATACTGCTGTAATTTTTAAACTCTTACCACTGCTGAAGTCAGTCTCTGATGCGAGCATGACTGGGCAGTAGGACTCCACACAGAGCGGGCACTGGAGCACTCGAAATTCCATGACGGCATCACAAAGAGCGTGGCGGAGAGCATTGCGAAGTTTGTCAGTGAGCTGCAGCAGGCTGATGTTTCCCTGTTCCCAGATATCAAACCGTACAAGGGTGTTTGTATCTGTGGAGGTAAGCACAATGAAAGACTCACCAACTGAGAAATACATGTATTTAGACAGTCTGGAAGTATTTGTATACAGGGTCTGAGGGTCTGTGACATTCACTTGTATATACGTATGGGCTTATGTTATCTGGTCACAGTCCACACCTAACACATGCATTCCTGGGTCAGTATGAAGGAGCTAAACTCAAATCGCATTAAAACAAACAAGCAAATTCACTTACCACAGTGTAGAGGGGTTGCGATAGTTTGATATGTTACAGCTATTTTATAATATAGATTGGACACCATTTGTAGTACAACTGTACAGTTGGATACCTTCATGAGAACAGGAATAATTGGGGATTGTTCTATGAAACAATTAGGTTTGATTTTTTGCTGTAAGGCACCAGAACAGATTTATCTACTTCACAACACTTACCTGGTAGTTTACCTTCAGAGTTCCTTTCATATCTGGAAACACTGGTCAACTTCCTGAAGTCTGTCTCCTGGATGAGATCCATGGCAAGACATAGTTTTGAAGAGTCTGTTCGTTCCCGCTGTGTCATTTGCAAAGGGTTTCCCTGCTGATCCACAATGGACAGGGCAATGCAGGCAATGCCTGGGTAAATACAGATCAAACAAACAGATTACACCAGTTGCGTACACCAGAGCATTGCTAGCAACACAAAAAAAAGTTAACAAAATTAACCAAGCCAAATATCTCTTCGCCAGAGGTGAGGTTCCCAGTTTATTCAATTTGTTTCTGCTCCACCTTGAAGAAAGATATACAGAGAGTCTCCATTTGATCCACAGAACAGATTGATCAAAACAAATACAATATTTGGATAACTGCATTAGGCTACTGTATTTGGCCTCATGGCAAATTACCTCCCACTCTAATTCCACATGGAGTAGACACTGAGGCACTAAATGCACAAAATACAGCTTCTCTATAATCCTAATCTCTAGCCCCGTATGTGATCAGAGAAAGATTAATGCTGGGCTTCAGAGTGAGGGGGATGTATAATACATACAGAATATAAAACAATCAAACCACAGATCTCTCTTTTTTTTGAATAGGATGTGGGGATGGTAAGGATATCATCATGTTCAGTCATCACCTGATATGAAGAACCACTGGACCTGTGCGAATCTTCATTTACAACACAACACGTAACTTAAGTTTGCGAACAAGAATAGAGATTGGAGTTGTGATGTGGCTCCTCAGTGATCAGGTCATTTTAAGTAAGTGCTATTGATTATTTTTAAACACAAATTAATGCATAACAACGCAAGCCATATCGAGATTACATGTAGCTCCTTAACTGCCAAATCTGGATCATATTCCACTAAAGTCGGCTACACATTGCATGCTAGTTCCCCAACTAGTGGATCAGTGTAAATGGCATTCATATCTGTGTCTGAGAGCACAGGTATTTTACACAGTACTGAAAGCAGAACACACCTTAAAACGCAAGGCAATACGGAGCTTGATGCAATCAAAAGGTGCTGTCAATTAAATTGTCTCCGTTTCCATCCAAAATATCATACAAGTTACTTCCTTCTCCTACAGGGGGCTGAGTATGCTGATCTCCTGTAACCTGAATAACAGCCTGTTTATGATTTGGATTGCATCAACTCTAGAAGTAACTAAAGGAATTACATCTCGCTGTACCTGATAAACCCCTTCTGTATCCTTGTTGTGCATGAGCCATTATAAATGCTGGCGTTATGGCACCATTGCTCTCACAGATGCTCATCGTCATGCTTGTGGGTGACATTGTGTGGAATGACTCATTAGTGGAAATTGCTTGAGATATTTTGAAACAATGGCACAACAGCTGACAGACAACAGGGCCTCCAACAATGAGATCAAACGTTTATTGCTGTACCAATAAATTAGAGGAACAGCCAAGTAAGAAAGCTACCACGAGGGTGGAGCAAGACGTGTAACAGATTTACCATTCAATATGCCATTCCTGGATGAATCGGAAATATTTAACTTTCAGCAATTCATTCCTTTTGATTATTCACGTGTGTCTACCAAATATGGACGGTTTAAAACATATTCATTTAAGCGGGACGTGAACTGAATCCAGAATACATCATTACTACCTGCTGGAACTTTTCCCTGCTCTCACAGAAAGCTTCAGAGATGGCCACTCTGTGCTGAAATTCAATTACCTACTTCCCTGGGAACCATACCTATTGCAAGGCTCTAAAGGGCTGTGATGAAACTTGCTTCTTCCCGTCAGACCTCTGCATTAACATACAAATGGGGTGGAATTGTGTGATTTATCGTCTGTGCCGAAAATGATTTCTAATTTCATTCATTCAGAAGCAATGATATTTTCAAGTGGAATCTGGCATTTGATCCCTTAACTAAACCAACAGACTCCTCTAGAAAGTTTCCTGACTATTGAAATAGATGAGCTGTTATGTGAGACAATAGTCTGCAATTATTATTTCCGATTTTTGGAGGAATATCACAAGCATAATAATCCCCTTACAAAAATGCTAAGGCTGAAATGAACCAAAATTATCCACAACTTGAGTGGAGGGAGAGAAAGAGAACAGGCTTACAAGAACGGTCCCTGCCACAGATTATTGTAAAAACAATTACAAGCTGCTGTACAGATTTGCTGCTAACACTTGCTTCTTTTTTGCCCTTAAATTGATATAGCTTAACTCAGCAAGATGAGTGCTGAAGAAAGCATCTCCACTCCAGATGTCCAGCATCAAAATCTAGAACACCCAGATAAATATAATGTGATCTAAATGCAGATTGGAATGTTCTTTATGCTACGATAATATGCCTTGACTCCAACCTCAAAATGTACCTCTTACTGCACAGGTATTTTTTTCCCCCTTTATTTCACACACCAACTTACTTGTGATCTCTCCGTATGAGATGACCAATTTAGTGCTAAATTCTGCGAAAAATGTATTGTGGGTAGATACAGTGAATCAAATCCCACCATTTCTATAATTTAACCTGATTGACAATGATTTCTAGACTATATTGGTTGCCTCACATTTACAAACCCAAATTGATCAACTCAGTTGTGTAAAATAGGGTCTATGCAGATCAACAATGGAGACGAGAGTTTGGGTTTAGAAAAGAAGGCATGTTTAAGTAAATAGTAGTGAGAAGAGGGCACACTCAAAGGAGTGATAGAGTCAGTGTGAACCTCAATTATCAGGATGTTCAGGTGGATGTTAAAGATCCCATGGCACTATTCGAAGAGAAGTGAGTTTCTCTCGGTGTCCTGGCCAACAAATCCCCCAAATAAAATTGGTCATTCAATCATTCAATCCACAACTGTTTGTGGGACTCTGCTGTGTGCAATTGGCTGCCTCATTTCGCCCACAAAATACACAGTCATTCCACTTTACAGTCCATCTGTGAAGCGCTTTGAGATGTCTCGATGACATGATAATGCACTATATCAAATGTTAGGATTTTTATTACTACTATGTACAGGATCAAAATAGCCCCAAAATGTCAAACAATCTAAAGTTAACATGCAGCAGAAAGCAACAGCAGAACATGCATTGATATAATAAATCAACACACCTCCCCAGCAGCATCTATAAAATAAGCTAGCTCTCAAATCAAATGGTGCCACATTGTACAAACTCAGCACAGGCTGCCAAATCACAATAGGAAATTAAATTGTAGTGGAAGGGGGAGAAAGAGGATCAAAAATGAACCCAAAAAAATGCATAGGGGGGGCAGGAAGACTTCTATTAGCAGCACCACCAGTGCAACTACAAATAAGCAATACCTTGAAAGTGGGAGGGTGGAAATAGATGCTGCACAAGATCCACCATGGTACCTACATTGATGAAAAAAAATTCACAGCTAGCTTATATACCCAAAACACCTGCTTCAATACCATTCAATATCAGTGGAAGGTTTCCGTGCCAGCTGAAATGGCTCTACACTTTTTTTTTGGGGGGGGGGGGTTTCATTGTAAACATTTAAAATATGCTGCTGGTGGCATTATAGTGCATTAGCATGGGAGAGAGCTGGATTTGGGAAGGAAGGAATGCTAGCAGATAGGCGAGACAGGCCTTTCTCTGCAGTAAAGGGCTAGATTCACATCCCATTGCATCACTGCTACGTTTTTCCCTTCTCCGCTGTACAACACTGCCCACTCTCTTTCCCACTCCTGTGCCCTGACACCTTGTTCTCTCATTTCCATCCCTCCTCCAACATATCACAATTGTTTGTATTCTACGGAACTAATACTTAAGATGTTACTTTCCTCAATTCCTGCTCTTACATTGTTTAGAACGTGTTCTGCTTGGTGAGCCTACCAAGTAAAGCTGTGGCTAACTTGCGCTCTGAAAGCAAGCACTACCCTTTCTAGTGCAAAACATATCTTTAGCACAACTTCCCCATATCTCCTCTCTAACTGAAGATTTGCTTGACAATTGCAAACTTTACAAATCTTGGAAAACACTGTATAAAAGCACAGGTGGGAAAACAGAAAAAAGTTTCTAGTATCCCAATTTTCAAAAACATTAAAGATAAACTGCTCGATAGGTGCAAGAACTTTGATGTGCTGATCACAAACAAAGAAAAATGCTGCAACTGAACAAAGCGAAGTATATGGCTGCACGTCCGGGGGAGGCGTGTGGGCGGGTTACGATTTAGAGGAACAGCATCCTTAGTTGTGCCTTTTACTGTACAGATGAAAGACTATTCTGTTTGTATTTGGAGACTTACTGTTGAAGAAAGTTCAACTTGGCTGCCAGTGTCGATCAAAATGCTCCTATCGTGTATGCGTGGGTACACTCACACGCACACACACACAAACGCACAAACACACACAAACACACTGACACACAAACACACTTGACACACATACTGCAATCACAGCTTTGCATTACCTTTCCCACCAGTGCCTTGACCACCCGGTTTATTATACAGATAGATGTCTGCATCAGATACATTTTTGCCACGAGTGTAATGCTGCAGAAAGAAAAAATAATTGAATAAGTTTTGTACAAGGCGCGCTCTATTCGTCACCAGGACATATTTGAAACTTCCCATCACAACATTCTTTGATTTTCAAGTTACCTATAAAATATTTAAAGTGTAACAATCAGCTGAATCAGTTCAGCATAGTTTATTACAAGATTGCCATTTTTTATACTGGAATAAATTGGTGACTTTAAGATGGACACAAACAAAACAGGCACGAAAAGCCAGACATAAAATAAACAGCTACAGAAAATCTACACCTCACAATGCCAAGAAGTCAGATATTCAGGTAAACGTTAGAGCCAGACACCCAGCACAGCACAACATTATTTTGTGTGCATTTGTAGCAGAACAATTGCTATATTTTGTGCTCAAAGTGACTTTTTTTGTGACCTGCAGTCTCTCACTCTACCTGAAAATGATGCTCCACATTGCTGTCTGTATATTTTGGTGTATGGAGGAAGATCAAGAGATTCTGACGCAGGTAGTATGCAACGGCATGCAGCCAAGGTAGACAGCAGTGTGGAATTGTGAACTGCACTACTTCTGTTGGAGGCATACCAGGTGGCTGAATAAACTGGAAGACAAAAGTTAATTTTCAAAATGTAAGTGGCTAACAATCCACCATTGCAGTTGATTTAATTGACCAGTTTTCATTGTTCGAATCATGCCTCAAAAACATTCTGCAACATTTGTACGACTAGTTATTGGTTACAAATTCTAGGAATGTGCTGCATTATGTTACTGCCATCATCAGTTACAGCTATGGCAATTTAGAGTCCCTTTAGTCACTCAAAGAAGAGTCTCAGGTATACAAATTGAATGTACATTTGGCGTACATATGGAGGATATGTAACCTGTACAAGGAAATTTGAAGGCGGGTGGGGGGCGAGGAGTGATGGGAAAAAAAATTAGTTTCATTTGATAAAGTTGTAAATGAAATGTAAAATGCCCACTACAAAAGTGAAGGTGAGTTTTTTTTAAAAAATCTTACAAACGTTTCAGAATAGTTAAGCAAATAAAAGATTCTGCCAACGAGAAAAAGTTCTTTGCTCACCTTTAACTAACGACTACTGCCACCCAGTGGATTTGTTTTGTAGCATTACACTGTAAACTCCTGATATCACGACCCTGGCTTAAATTGTCACTACCACTTATCATGTCATCATGGTGTCAATATCCCAGCCGCATTTATTTATGTATATAAACATAGGCCTAATTCGTCACTCCGGATAACTCGTCACTGAGCCCTTTTCCCTTGGAGCGAAGAGTTACCACGAGTTTATTGTATTTACAGGATTTAGCTAGATTCCATCAAGACTAGAACTTAAATGATGCTATTTATATGCAACAAATTAGTACTTCAATGATACCTCTACGTCAGCGGGAGTGAGTTTGCAGTTCCTGACCAGCATGACTGTGATGATATCAAGAGTGGCCTCATCCAATCGCCTTCGCAGAACCTTTACCAGTTCATCTGTAATTTCTGGACCTGGAGAGAAAGCAGAAATGGATTGTAATAATAATAATCCTCGCCTTTGATATAGCGCTTTTCACGTCTTCTAGACGTCTCAAAGCGCTTCACAGAATATGCTGTAAAGTGAATTGACTGTATATTTGTGGGCTAAACGCAGCAGTCAATTGCGCACAGCAATGTCCCACAAACAGTCGTGGATTGAAAATGATCAATTTATTATTGTTTTTGGAGGGATTATTATTAGGTGTGTGGAGTAAGGAAACTTGCCCAAAGTTTCGCCCTGCCTGGAACTGAACCCAGGTGTCTCGCTTGCAAGGCGTGTGCTCTAACCACTGAGCTACAGGATTACTAAATAATCTGCAAATTGAGGACCATTACTATCTTTAAAAAAACAAGATAAAAGTGACCAGAGTCCCCAGCAAGTGAATATTAATACATCAAAGACATCATCACAACAATGCATTGGAGAAGTGGTTGCATTTAAGGACAAATGTATAATCTGTGTAAATTTAGGTTCATCACTAATGACTGATCAGTCCTGTGGATAACTAAATGGGATAGCAATGTAGGTCCAGCCTTTGAGCTGATTAATGCAAGTGGAATTTTAGAGTGATGAATTTCAGAGCTATTTCACAGGAGATTTTTACCAAAGATGTTTCCCAAAATTATAAATCACAAGCTACAATTATATTTTGGAAGCTCGTCTTTTATTATCATCTTCCTGGTGTTTGCTTTACTTGAAGTCTACAGTGATTTCACTCCTTGAGTTTGTGTTGGGGACACCCTCTCCACTTACCTGCCTGTCCAACACCGTGTACCATCAGCAGAATGTGTTTATCTACTTGCCCGACAGGTCGTGATGACTCCGTGTTCCGGGAGGACAAGGGATCTATGGAGGGTTTGTTGGCCTTTAATTAAACAAAAAGCAACAAGAGGGTGAGGGGAACCTCAGATAATGAAATATTCTAATTTATAGCAATTCTAAGGTATTAATACAACTGTCCTGTTAACACCAAGATCTGTATAATTTGTTTCCCTCTCTAGGACCAATTGTCATGAAATTATTCATGAATAATGCACCACTCTATATGATCAGTCCCACTTTCACGATAGCCAATTCATAGCCACAGGCTGGATTCGGCTTACTGAATCAAGGTTCATTTCAGGCTCTGCTGATCCCAATGTGTGGGGTGAACTATTGCATTGTGGTTGTTTCCTTGGAATTATTTAACTGCCGAAACTTGTGCTCATATGCTGATTGTATCTGACCACTCTGACATTTCCGATTCCAAAATCTCGTATGTTTCAATTACATAGGTCACAGATAACTTGTATAATCGAAGTACGTGTCAAAAGTTATTATTCAATCACTGCTGTGTCCTTCCTGATAGAAACTTTTTTTTAAATACAAAAATCTTAAATACATATTTGGAACACAAACTATATATTTTAAGCCAGGCTACAATAACAAATACTTCCCAGTACAACATTTTAAATTGCACTTCTGAAGCCTACTGATGGTTACCTCATGTGATAAGCAAACTGTCAACTCTATGGACACAAAAAATATGTTGCAGAGAAAAGCCTCCAGTCACTTACCTGCTCTCCAGTGCCCAACTCGATCATTCATAGCTCTTTATACTAATTTCTTTGCTGGAATGTGTATAGGTACCAATTGGGTACAACTACTGGACAATTTGGTAAAGAAATACTCAGTTCAGGTACACAAGAGGCAATTGTTGCAGCAAGCAAGCAAATTACTGAATTATGCTGACTGCTATAGTGATAAAGTGTATTAGACACTGAAAAACGTGTGAGAGAAGAAATAAGGAAGAGTAGACCACTGAGACATGACTGTAAGACAGGCCCTTACCCCCAGTTCGTCCACAAATATGGGCTCCTGGCTGCGTGTTAGAGCCAGTGAACGAGAGGAGAGCATTGGTTGGCCCTCTCTGTCCATGTCTGCTGTATTTCCAGTGCATGTTGTTTCAGAAAGTCTGTAACAGTGAACAATGATGGGGTTGGTAGCAATTACAGATGATTTATCAATATTAAATATGATGGTATAGTTACATAATGCGACATCAAGAACATTTTGACTAATGTTGTATTACAAAATAGTGCACATTTTAATAAAATCCTTGCACTGGATATAGCGCTTTTCACGTCATCGAGCTGTCTCAAAGCGCTTCACAAGATATACTATAAAGTGGATTAAGTGGATTTTGTGAGTGAACTGCAGTAGCCAGTTGTGCACAGCAATGTCCCACAATAGCCATGGAGTTGTATTTTTGTTTATTTGGAGGATTGTTGTCCACCTGGAGAAACTCCTGTCTCTTTTTGAATAGTGCCATGGGATCTTTAACGTCCACCTGAACCTTGGTTTAACGTCACATCCAAAGGACGGCAACTTCAACAATGCAACACCCCCCACAGGACCGAGTGTCATCTTAGACTATGTGATTCCAAGTCCTGACTTGGCTTGAACCCACAACCTGCTGACTCAGAGGTGAGAGTGCTACCACTGTGCCAGGCTGACATACATTTCTATTATCGTATAATATACAGATGCTGCATTAGTTCCCTGCATGAGCAAACAACATAAATCACTACAACACTTCAGGCTTAATCATACGATATACAAATAACCATCTATTACTGTCTGCCTGAAAATGGAAGACATCAAACAAAGCAGAGAGAAATGAACCAAAATGAAATACCACCTCCCCAAGGAATACACCTGTACAGATTTGATATAATAGCACAGGCTAAATCATTTAAAGACCACACGCTTTGGAAGCTTGTCTCTTATTATGTAATCATTTAATCCCCTTAATGTGTCACAACTTCATAACAATGTGGAAGAATTGTTACTTCCCTATCACTGATTTAAATTATAAAACGATCACTTTAAATTTATCAAGTGGTAAACTTGAATCCATTCAGAATGGATGTTTCCAACTGCATTCATTTTTTTTAAAACCATATTTATTTGCAACTGCCAGCAAAACGGTGGACTGGAAACTGAATGAAAATGAAATACACACTCGACAGTAAAAGGTCACATATGAACGATTTCAAAGAAGGAATTTCGAGTTCATTACTGTGATAACATGCTCAATTTTTGCTCTCAATTTACATTATCTGGGATGACTGTACAATAATCGTCTCAGACACCAAATAATCTCCGTAGAATGCATTTAGATATACGTATAAAGCCATATGCAACAATGTATTGTAATTATTCTGAAATACATTACAGAGTACATTACACATATATTGCAATGCATAATGACTATCATTTCATGGTAAACACTCAAATGCAATGAATGAGTCACTACTAGTAATTCATCAGTGTAGGCATTATTATGCTTGACAGACCACACTGCCCACTGACATATGCAATCACAGCTTCTGCAAGCAAAAAAAAATGATAAACACTATAGAAATTATTTCTAAAGAATGCTTTGGGACACATTTTAAAAGCTGTAATACCATCTCGCTTTTCTTTTCGTAGCCTAGTATATCAACCAAATAAATTAACGCAGCACAGTTATGTTGTAACTTTTTATAAATGAACCTTTTTGGTGGATATTTGATGAAGGTTGTTGATCTTATGAAAACGCTTTCTTCCAGTGTACAGTATTAGCTATAAAGCAGTCAAAGTCAGGTATAGCAGAGACAGTTGCAGATTGAAAACTCACAATATTGCCCAACCAAAACTCTAGAAGGCAACTGCACCAGGAAGTTTTCCAAACACTCACAAAGTATAGAGTCAATTCACTTTACAGTATATTCTGTGAAGCGCTATGAGACGTCTTGAAGATGTGATAAGGCACTATATCAAATGCAAGGATTATATTATGTTTATACCAACCATTACTTTGTCCTCTCTGACTGTGACTATCCTTTTTAAGCAACTTAAGAACAAATAATAAATGTTCAGAAATGTACACTGATATTCTTACCGGAGGTAAAACACAGATTTCGTGGCCCTTTCCTGATACACAAACATATTCTTCCTGTTCACAACCGAGAAGGCATTTAGGACAGATCTCAGGGCCTGAATAGCTGGGAAACAAAGAGACAGGTGAAAGGTTAAATGGAAAATTTGGAATTCACGTCTACCCTTCCAGAACCAAATTTCTATCATTTAAACATGCTATTGAACAAGTCAAAGCATTTAGTAACCTATAGTGATTTATATCATGCACTGCAATGTAAAAATATAGAAGCTCATGTGTAATACAATACAATATTACATTTCGATAGAGCCTTTCACGTCGGGAGAACGTCCCAAGGCACTGGGATAACAACCTGGAAGACCCTTGTTCACAGACCGGTGGAATATATAAGCTAGTACAACAAGGGATAACTACCTCTTGAAACACCCATGTTGGGTCCCATCTTGAGTCGAGGATGGATGTGTATGATGGTCTTCCACACCACTTCACATGCAAAATGGCCTGGTATAAACTGCATCGTGGCCGCCAAGTAATCCCTCGGCTGGTAGCTGTCATCTGCAGAATAATCTGCGAGTGAAATTGGAGACAAAATGAGGAAACGAAAATAACTTAAAAAGCTCCGGTATATAACAAACTTTAGTTTATGCACAGTGAACATTTTATAGAATGCATCAACGTGATTAAACTCAATCTACATGCCACGGGAATGGCAATGCAAAGATGAACAAATTTACCACCTAAAATGGATCACTGTATCCAAGGCCAGAGGTCATTATCCATGAACCTGATTTAAGTTTTACAAACTGAAGCAATGAAAGCAGTTGCCTGTCCTCTTTCTCAATCACAGAAAGGTATCAGATTCTTAAACAATTAAAGTAAAAAAGAAAAATTAAAAGATTTTAAAAGTGTACAGCAGTTCAGTCTTTATCTTTCCTATTGACTGGCATTGACCACATCACTGAGATGTCCTAGATTGTGAAGATAAGTCCTTGAAATGACTGAATAGTTACACCTACCATCGTTAGTAATAGTCCTCTGGCGGTAGGAAGTGTAGGGTGTTTCATTCTTCCAGATATCCTCCTCACTCTCAGCTACCAGCAGCGAATTGCATACATGGCTGTCATGCAGGTCTTGAAGCAGCAAACGCTGTGAAAGTGGGGGCCGGAGAGTAAATAAACAGGAAAGAGATGATTACTGACAGGCATATGGGCTGCTGCAGACTAACCCAATGTACAATCCAAACAGTACACTTCCTATTGGTATTGATGCTATGTTCAGCCAACAGGTTCAGACTTGTGATGGGAAAGCAAACACAATGAATGGACAAAGGGCATATTGCACTTGCTGTCTGATAACAAACTGTCTTGTGGTATGAAGCATACCTGATTAACTACACGGCAGATCTCGCCAATTTTTTTAATGACTGTTCGATAGAGACACAAGTATTCTGGTTCTTCTTCTTCTTCAGCTACAAATTCATTCTTTGCTCCAATAAGATTCCTAGAGACACAGTAAGATGCAAAGTTGTAAGATACTGAGCTTCACCATTCATCCTAACCACATCCAATTATCAGAACAGATCATATATTACCTATATATATACATATGTATGTGTGTGTGTGATCAGGGTGAAACATTGGGCAAGTTTCCTTACTCCACACACACGCCTCTGTTTACCTAACAGTAAGTAGGAACCTGGTTGTTATATATTATACACACACACACACAAAGAGAGGGATTTAGTAAGTGTTTTTAAAAAATGATAAGACAGACAGAATTTGGCAGAGCTATGTTTATACCACACATTTTGTATAATAGTGTTTAGCTCTACACTTATACTGACCGTGTGTGAGAATAAATTTCAACCCGGTCCTGGTGAATTTTAATGATCAACCAAAATTCAGGCATCAGAGGGCACTTGGGGTCTTGCTCATTCATTGTGGCTCCTTCACACTCGGAGTCACTGCTGCCGCCATCATAACCTGTTTACGGAACAGAAAATAGGATCAAAAGCCATTCTCCCTCGACATTCAGGATCATTGCCTGAATTCCTTCAAAAGCTAAGAAAAGCATGTTTTGAGCCCATCCTCCCCTTCCGTGACTATATTGATAATCTTGGCATTTAAGATGATGCTCGATCACATTGATACCTCTCAAAGCACTTCATAGTAATTTATTTAATTGCTGTTAAGTGTAGTGGCTGTGTATTTGTAGGTGAAAATGGCAGCCAATGTGAGCACAGCAATATCTCACAAATAGCCAGAGGATGAATTTAACTGGAGGATTATATCCAGGACACTGGGAAAAACTCCATCATCTTTTTAAATAGTGTCATTGGTTCTTTAACGTCCATCTGAGCAGGTGGACAAGACCTTAGTTTTCATCCAAATAACGACACTTCCAAAATTGCAGCCCACTCCAACATGACACTTAAGTGTCAACCCCTAGACCATGGCTAAGACTTGCTCAGTAATTTATACATACAGGCACTGTATTAAATGGCATTTCAAAAATTCTCGTGTGTAGCCATTTTTGTTGACACGTCATTTTAGACACACTTCAATTATTAATCATTTTAATTTTAATAAAATGTACATGGATCCACAGTAAAGAAAATCTAGATAAAAGTATTGTTTCTCACCTAAAAGATCAGAATCTAGGCTGCCTTGACTGGAAACCACACTTTGCACTCGACTTGGTCTGTACTTGAAACTGCCTGAAGGCAGAGAGAAAATTCAGGAGTATTACACATCACAGATGAAGAGAATGAGTACAGGAGCTGCAAATAGCAAGACATCACAGACCATCTGTAAACTTGGAACCGAATTCCTTGTTTTCTATTAATCAAGGAAAAGACCAAAGGTGCCAGTTTTTCCAGTGAAAGGCAGATTCCAATCAATGATCCATCACATGGTCTGCCAGTGAACTGCCAAACTTGTCCAACAAAGGCCCAACTGATGGGTAAGACTAATAATCCTTGCATTTGATCTAGCATCTTATCCCTTCTCAAATGCTTCACAGGATATCCTGTGAAGTGGATTGACTGTTTATTTTGTGGGTGAAACGCGGCAGCCAGTTGCGCTCATGTATGTTCCACAAACAGTCATGGAGTGAGTGACCATTTTTATGTGGGGAATTGCTGGCCAGCACACCGGGAGAAACACAGTACCATGGGATCTTTAACATCCACCTGAACAGGCAGATGGGACCTTGGTTTACATCTCATTTGAAGGATGGCACCTCCGACAACAACAATTTGCACTTATATAGTGCCTTCCACGCAGACTAGCGTCTTCGACAACGTATCATCCTCAGCACTGCACTGGAGCGTCTGCTTAGATGAGGCAATTCCAATACCCAACCTGGAGTTTGTACCCACAACTTTCTGACTCAAGAGATGAGCATGCTACCACTGAGCCAGGCTGACACAATCGTGAACTCAAACTCATGAGCTAGATGGGAGTGAATTCCTCAACTGACAACTGTCTCAGTTATGTGACATTGGAAAAAGGATCCTTTCCCGTTGACTCCAGTCTCTTCTCTTCCCTCCAATGAGCAAAAGGCAATATTTGGAATTCAAACTTGTCAATTAGTCAAGAGGCCAATAGTCAAGAGCTATTATAGCTGTCAAGTCACTGCTTCTCACTTTAATGATGTAGTTAAATGAAAATAAATGCTTACTTGTATTGCAAGGTATACTGGACTGCACAGACTCTGAGAGACTCAAAGGAGCAGAGGAGGTTTGTGATGGTGGATTTGCCGTGTGCAATTTCTCTGGCCCTGGGCTCAATTGTAACTGAGGTGTGTTAGTTTGTGATCGCTCAGACTTGATTACTGTAAATACACGTTCCAGTGGATCTACTTGGGCGGTAGGGGCATAGCTTTTTCCATCGACACTCTCCTCGACCGGTTCCATTGGTGCAAGACCTGTTCCATTTGCCAATACACCTCTCCCTATTTTCTCCAAGGCTGGTTTCATTTCATCTTGTGCAATCTGTGAAAGATATAATGGAGGGATTTATCCACCACTGTACTTTCATTATTAATTCCATAACTAACATTATCAATTTAAACAAATGAACAAAGACATAATTTTTATATTGTGTCCAGGACACTATAGGCATACTGTTCTAGATAGGAAAGTACAACCAAAACAATGGTGGTTCAAGCCAATTTCATGCATTTTCCATCTGCTCTTTTTGCCATCATTCCTCAACTTTCCCAACAGCATTTAACGATCAGGAGACAAAGAATTAAAATGTGAGCAGGCCTCTCCTGAGTCAGAAGTCAAAAGGTTCATGAGAGGAAGGAAAACACAACACATCAATAAAATGTATTTCAGCACTGGTTAAACATTTTGTAACCATGTAATCATGTTGCTCTCCCCCACTTATACACAGAGCTCAGTTACCTGGGATTTCTCTTCATTTTGCTCTCCTTCATTCCCTAATGACGTCACAGTCGCTTCACAAGTGCTAATTTGTTTGTTGCCACTTTCTTGACGTTGACGGCAGATCAGAGCTACTTCGGCATCCGCACTCTCATCGGATTGGGCAGCCACGGTCACAAACTCAGTTTCCAGTCTGTCCTGCACCAGCTTCGTGGATAGTTTCTGTGCTGTTTCTATTCTATGGGCATGCAGGCGGCTCACAGACACATAGTAGAAGTTATCTTCTTCATCATTCAGGAGATACCCTGGAAGATTCATTCGCTTGAACTCCTTCAAATAGAAAGAAAAAACAAGTCGCCTTCAGAACAAAATCACAAGGCAATTGATCAGTTCTCCATCTATCCACTTTTGTCTCTGATCTGATATCAATGACTCTGTTACTAAGACAATGAGCACATCGATTTTGATCAACTTAAATGCGATAGTGTTATTTACTGAAGCAGTCGGACCAACCAGAAACTTGAACAATGGACTAAGAATTGTCAAACAATTTTAATAGAAGTAAGAGAACTGAATAATGAGCATAATACATACGAGTCCAAATTCTCAGTTATTCTAGATTTGTTGCTTGTAAAACAGTACCTAAACCTAAGCCCATTTACATTCGTTGCTGCTTAGATCGATGTTTCTCACCTCTTTAAATTTCTCCAGCGACTGGTCTGGACCGAAAACAAACTGTAAAGGAACAACTTCACTATGGCATCGTGGCCTGCCCTTTGACCTGTACACGTGGTCAGAAATTTTCGTAAGAGTGGCCAAAGTAATATTTGTTGAATGGCGCAGGGCAGAAACAATCTCATCTTCCAGGAGCCAGTGAATCTAAGGAACAGGCAGCAAAAATTAGGAGAATGGAGATGCTGATTAAGAACAGAGGTTAGTTTAGAACATACCAAGTCTGCTACTTCCTTGTAACATACAGTGAAATAAAACTTCATGTTAAAAAATCATATGAATAAACCATTATACTACACTCTGTGGCAAAACGGATTGGAACACCAAACCTTAATAAGCAGGTTTAAAAAGCATGCCTGCTGCAATTTTGATGGCTTATTTTCTTTTTGTTTGAAACCTGGAAAAGTCAGGGACTTACAGGTGGAGCTGATCAATTATGTTTTAAAAGGGTTCATTACAAAAAAAAATAATCTTTACAGACTTCGAAGAGCTTCTGCCATGTGTGTTAAATCTAGAACCAATTTAAATTAGTCGCTCATTGTTACAACAGCTGAGAGATGAGAGAAACCATTCAGTTGATGGTAACCTGGCAGGATTTTGAGCATCAAACTTTAAAGATCATTACTATCATGATTTTGTTTAAATAAAAGAGTAGTTGGGTAGAAACCTATGAGGACATTCAGTACAGATTTTGACAACAACAAAATTACATTTGTATAGAAATAAAATGGAAGAGACTGAAACCCTATTAAATTGCTCATAATTTGATGGTTGCACAATAATCAAACAATCCTGTACATATGTGTACCTATCTTGTACACCTTTCACCCCCTTCTAAATGCATTTATTTGAAGCCAAATAGGTTGTTACTACACCTTGAACAGACAAAGACTAGGGATCAAGCAAAGTATTTAACACAATGACTCTTATTTCAGTACATTACCTCATCCATTGTAGCCAGGACAGCCTGTTTGTGCAGAGTAGGCAGTTTGGACAGTGGATCAGATAGTGCTTCTGAAATCCTAAAATATACAATACAAACCTTCAGGGAAAGGGGACAAGACACCACTTCAACAAATTAGAAATAAGAATAACAAAATAGATTAATCTTAATAGAGAACAATCCTGTACATATGTGTACCTTGTATCTTGTACACCTTTCACTCCCTTCGTAATGCATTTATTTTAAGTCAAATAGGTTGTTATTAACATAGTCATTCTAAATATCACTGCTTCAGAGAAGGGTAAGGTATATGGGAGAAAAATACCAATTGTTTAATTTGATAAAGTCACCTTTCCCAGTTTGGGTTTTGTCTTCATCAGTCTTTATCTTAAATGTAAATCACATCACATGTGAGCAACTATTTTTGGGGATTGGGGCTGTTGAAGGTGGGGAAAAAACAATAGCTATAACAGTGACAGTGCTGTGGTAGTGTCTTTTGTTACAACTTCTAAAGAACATATTGCACAACAGGGTCAGCTAGCATTTTTGAAAGCACACAGAATTCAATCTGCTAACTTCCTTTTGTTTTAAAACAAGATGTATGCAAGCATCTTTTCTGCTGGTGCAGTTGAAAACGAGAGATTCTTAAACAGGCTTGCTTTTAGAGTACTCTATGTAATTGTAATAATATTGAAGGCCTCATTAGGTTTATATTATTGCCAAAGGAGCTCCGCTAATGACCCACCACCACATTAATCTGTTTATTCGTTCGTAGATTAACAGTAAATCATGCAAATCCCTGATAAGATTTCCTGAACTGTGCACCTCTGTTTTGGATTACTCACTAAGTAACACCTGCAACCAAATAATTCATGTTAAAATGAGCCGTTGGCACACAGTACCTCTCATCTGTAGTTGAGGCAATGCGATCCAGATTCTGCATGATGTCATCGTCGGAGCGGTATGATGACGGTTGTCCAGGCGACCGATTCATAGAGGTGCTACTGTCAGAGGTGTATCTAGAGAGGGTGGGAAAATTTGTCAGGTGTAAGCCACAATAGCTTAAGCGGAGATTTCAGTATTGACTGCCCTAGAGACTTGAGACATTGACCTACCTGTGATGTGTTATTTGAGAGGTCATATCCTCAATCTCTAAAGGAAGAGTCAGTACAAATATGTCCAGAGTGATAACCAGGTCATTTAGATCAACAGATCTGACGGGATAATTCTGCAGGCAGCCAATAATTTCACCTAAAAAAAAAGTTATTTTTTTTATTTCAGTTCACTTGGTCTTGAGATTGTGTAGCAAACACACTAGATGATGGCACTCAATAGCAGTAAAACAGGCAACTCATTCTCTGACAGAGAAGCAAAATTCTGCCAGCCTGCAAATTGATTCAAACTCATCCGCCGGAAACATCATGCAATATATGGAAACAAATGTTTTAAACAAGAAAACTTATAAAAAGAATCTCATCCAGCTTTTTCAGTTGGAATTTTCACTTACCAAGACATGTGGGTAGTGACTCCACTGGTATAGACTCCACTGGCAGGGACCCATGGGGTTTCTTCCCACTGAGTGAGCAGGTAAGGTGGATAAATAGTGGCGGCATTTCCTGATCAGCAAAGTCTTGTTCATTTAAAGAATCTCCCCCAAGAACACTGAATGAATCATCATCCCTGTTCACAGTGTTAGTATCGGAGAGAGAGTCTGCATCCAGGCAATCCTTGTCAGATAGTTTTTCCCGATATTCTACTTCTAGATCTGGATCGCTCTCAGTCACAACACAGCATCCAGACGTATTGCCTATTGGGTTTCAGGAATAAAAGTTATAATCATTTTAATATCGGAAGGAAGCTTACCCAATAAAGAGTTCAAAAGCTTAAAAATTCAAAAGATAATGAAATGATTTTGTATTAGTTCAATGTTTGAGAAGCTAGCTTTAGTTTTCAGTTACCAAACACTCAGGCAATCTTAATAAAACACTTGGGAGGGGGTGGGGGAAAACTAGATGGCATTATTCAGAAACTATTCTTTAAACGTAATCCAAGCCAGTCCAACAAAGTGAAGTCTTTCTGATTCTTCAAAAGTCCAAAGAAAGATAGATAGTTACATAAACATACAGTGTGTTTATATACACTCTTTGGTTTGGTAACAGTCAAGCTCTCAGTCTTTGCTTTGTTGGGAAATCAAAGTAAATCAACATTTCTTTCAAGTTTGTTTTCTCCAATGAATTATATTCGTTATAACTTGGACTGAGTCTATAATCATCTCACAATTGATCTTATAAACCAACTTTTTCTGTTATTAAAGTTTGTGGCCATCACCGTGGCTTTACAAAAAGGTTCTAATTATTGAATCCATTTGACATCAAATGTGTTGGAGAAAAAAAGCATGCATTTTGAAGAGAGGACAGTAACATTTTTTCAGGAAAGGCAGGATCTATCATAAATCAAATTCTGACATGTCACATTAGTTGAGAAATCACAAAATGTAAAAGATATACATAAAACCCACTAAACCTTAACATATGAATGGATTAATATTTCTTGTGCTAACTTTCAAAATCCAACCAACGGTTGCAAATTATACAACACCAAGTAGCAAAGATTCCTTACCCTCTTCTCCTGTAACCTCCAACTCGGATAGATCATTGTCTTCATTCCGTTTTCGTTCTCCTTCTTCTTGAAGAATTTCTTCCTATCGATTGCAGAAATAATTTTGAAAGAAAGTTCACGCTGGTTGACAGCATCACAAATCCCCTTTTGAAAGAGGCCTAATTTCCACAGTATATTGTTAGTTTACCCATAATCTCAAGGTGCATCTGCAGGGTGCAAATATATTGGCACATGGCCGAAAGTGTGCATGGAATCATTATGCTATAACATGAATCGCATATGGCAGCATATGCTTTGGAGATTGCTGCAAACTTACCTCTTTCTTAGCTGAAGTTGGACAGTAGAAGAAATAGTAGGGGTTTGAAGGCACGGTCTTGAAATATTGTCGACAAATCTCCAGAAACTTGTCCTAAATAAACAGGTTTCAAACAAAGCACTGAATCCAGGTGTATATTTTCACCCACAAAATATAGTCAATTCACTTTACAGTATATTCTGTGAAGCGCTCCGAGATGCCGTCCAGCGTGAAGGGCGCTATATAAATTCAAGTTGTTGTTGTTCTTATATTAAAAAATGACCCCAACTTAGAAATGTAGGTTATTTTACAGACTTACTACAATGAACGCTTATAATTTTAAGGAGCCCATTAAAAAAATGCTGCATATTAGATCCTCTACATTTGAATGGTGCATTTCATCATCTGCAATATATTCTGCTCCCACATGATGCACTGTACGACCATCATCTTTTAACACAATTGTTGTTTACAATCATTTTCCTAACTAGGCAGTATATGCAATACCTGAATGATTTTGTGAAGGTTAGGGTAAACCTCACACTGCTGGCTGGACTGCAGAAGTGAGAGATGGAATTCCGGATAGTTTTTCTTCACTTTTACTTCTTCCTGAATCACTGGAGATGCCACACTCTTCAAATCATGCTCGCCAAAGTCTTCAGTTTCTATGCTGGTAGCACAACAAGAACACTTTCAGAAGACCAGGAATGACAACACTGATATTTAACAATAATGGGGACTAAGGGAAAAGTTGTCTTTTGATGGTGGACTGGAGAGAATAGAGAAAATATTATACAGTGCACTGATACCATTGATTTGCTCTCAGGAGTAAAAGTATATGAAACAGGTAGCCCAGGCTAAGCCCAGTATCAATTGCACCCAAAAATCATGTTTATGTTACAATGTGCACAAACCACATTGCTCACTCTCTAATCTACCTCACCTTCTTAGCTTGAAATGCATGCTAAGACATTTTCTGTTCCCTCTTGGTCTCTCACCTTGAAGTGGAAGCTAGAATGCCCCTCTGAACCCTCTCATTCTCACGATCTGCTCCTCTAATGACAAATGTAGTTGGGTTAGACTCATGATCGTTCCAAAGTTGCAGGTCATGACTCTCACGGAATGAACGAATATGTCCACACAGTGTCTGCAGGAAATTGGTGATGTCAATCTCCTGCAGCGACTCCTCACAGTAGTCCATGGCTGTTAAGAGGTCCTGGGAGCTGATATAATAAGATTGCTGCAAACTCCTAAACACACCTTTAAAAGAAAAACACATCTTAAAAAAAGCGAGATTCAAAACAAACTTTTCCCACTTTACACAGACGGGGAAAAATTACACCTGGATCTAGATTTATTTGATTTACATAGCAGTCTGAGCATCCAGAATTTGGCAAATTGTTGAATTCGGTCTGAAGTTAAGTCCATTTTCTGTAGTTGTTAAAAGAATTGGAGAGAATTGGCTCAAAACTAAGACTGTATTTTTAAGATCTGCCAAATTCTAGTCACTCTAAAATAAGAGTACAACAATAATACAAACATGCATTTATATAGCAGCTAAATCTAAACCCAGGTGCAACTTCCCCCCAGAAATATACAACCCCCTGAAGCTGATCAGTTTATCTCTTTTACTTAAAATGAATCTAACCTTCTATAAATAAACTTCATACAAATAAGGTCATGTATGAGTAGGCTGGGAATTTCAGAATATTTCATGACAACTGGATTCAAGTGTTAGGATTCTTTGAGATGAGGTACATGAGTCCTCCAACTTATCAGACTGTTCTCAAAGACAGATCAACTTTCCAACTCTTCTAAATACAAGCAAAGACACTCACTTATACTTATATAAGCCAATAAATATGAAAGAATATAAAGCTAATATTGGGAGGTGCAAAATCGGGCACAAACATTAAATCACAAATGGCAAATGTTCACTGGACAAATTATTGAACATTTAATTTCTCCCCATGGACCTCCACTAACTGTTATCACTGATTAGGTTTTACGCTATACTCTTGCAGTGAGCCTGTTAATCACTGTCACCATGTACCTTTTGCATAACACTGGTGGTAATGTTCCTGCAGCAAGCTGCAATAATTGGAAAGCTCTTTGTTCTTATGGTGACGGGATATTGGATCGATCCAGGGGGAGTTTGCTGGCCGTTCATGAGAGAGTGACCTAAAACCAAAAGCACCAGAAGAGATATCAGCATATACTGTAAGTAGCAAGCCAGCAAATGTTAATGCTCCAGTCCATTATGATATGGATCCAATTCAGTCCCCATCACCAAAGCACTGATCCTGGAACCAACGAGCATGGTTTTAAACCAAGGAAATCAGGAAAAGTTGAAATAAAATGAAGCAATACAACTCTATAAAGCAACAAAACTATTGTAACAACAAGAAAAAGAATTGTAACTCATTATTAATAGCCAATAGATGTCACATATGCATAACTACTTCTACTGGGATGAGCATCAGCACGCAAACCTGCTATTTAATGGGTGTAAAATGTGACTTAAATTTAGAAACCCTTAAGTATTAAATAGAAATTACCCATGTGTACTCGACAGATTCCCTCCGATTATATTTTGTAAAAAGCCAGAATTTGAGTCAAAATTGTGCGGGATTCAGCATTGAGAACACTCTCAGGAGTTCACGTCTGGCATTTCCAGGTAATTACTGTTGAATTTGTTAGGAACTAATAAATGTAAACCACATATTAGATATTCCCTCTTTATACTTTGAAAAAGATAATAGTTTCATCAGCTGGATTCCTAATCCCATTCTTTGGTTGATCTTGGACTTTTAAAAAAGATGATCACTGAACACGTCTGGCAACAGTAATATCAAGCCACCCCAAAGACAATAATAATACTTGCATTTAATATAGCGCCTTATCACGTCATCGAGACGTCTCAAAGCACTTCACAGAATATCCTGTAAAGTGCAGTGACTGTGTATTTTGTGCGCAAAACAAAAGGGAATGTTCAATACCAGTTATTCTCCCATTAATAACATCTGCATAAGGAGATGATAAAAGCAGCATCTCTGCCATTTGTTGCATATACAGAACCAAGAAAGGTGAAATGGAAATCCATTTTGTACTAAGCCCCAGGGAGCTCAGCAAAAATGGATAGAAGAGTCACTGCAATCCACGCTCAAGCACCACCCAACAAGCAGATGGTAGAGCAACACTGACAAAGACTGAGAACCAAGCTTCCTCCCCACCTTTTCTTTAACCTGAGCATGGTGCCTGAGAGATCAGTGCAGAATAAATGAGAAAATAAAACTGAGCGCAGCTGCATATAAATATTGTGTTGGTTATAATAGGGCAGTTGCATGCAAGTCATCACTCAATAGTAAATACCCAAATTTAAAGCAGGAATGAATCCCTTAACCCAAACTGTTAAGCAGGCCCAGCAAGCAGCCAGTGCAAATCAAGGCTTGAGCTGATGGCTTTGCTACCTGTTTTTCAAATCCGGACACATTTCCCAGGAAACATTGTCTTGAAATCTACTTGTTCAAAAGGGGGGAAAAAAATACACATTCCAGTCAGTACCTCCTGAGGCAAATGCACACACGAACGCATGCACACACACACACACAAACAGAGCTGAATTTGCATTATCTGCAAAAAGGAAAACCTTCTTACAAGTTATAAGCTCATAACCTAATCAGTAACCAGGAAGGAAGAGAACTCTACTCACACAAAAATATATAACTCAATGTATAATTCCATCACATCCCAGGGGCCAAGCACACATATCCCTCTGCCCGAGCTCTTTCAGTGAACGTTTTTATTTACTTTTCAAGCGATTAAATGTGCTCCTCCCTGAATTAGCTTGTTAGTCCAGGTAGATTTAAGCATTCCAAGAAGAATCTATGTAATTAGATTCTAGGTTTCAAATAGCTTATGTGTCATATAAATGGAAAATTCTCATATGAAGTTTCTCCACATATTTTGTGCTAAAGTGAATCAGTTCATTAACACTGTATATACACTGTATATTTATAAGTAAATAATCTATCAGATGGATGAGTAGATTGTCGTGCGCTTTAAATGTGTTTTTGTAATTAGTCTATATCCGTGTCATCTCTCTGAACTGAGTGTATACGCAAACAAGGATAGAACGGTTTCCCACCTGAAATACAAGTCCCGAGTAGGTCGATCAGCACAAGGATTCACAAGCTGCTCTCTCAACGAGTCCAGAGAACAATTATATACGTAAACCGGACAGTGAAGACGGTTGACATCAGAGGGGTCGATCTGAGATGTCCTTTGGCTGAATGTGATGTGAAAATCTTTCTTTGGAGGTAAACTGAACTCCACTCGTTCCTTTATCATTTCTGAAGGAACACAAACAGGTTTTGTAGGCAATTGGTGACAAAAAAGCATTTGTGGAGGGCATTCTTTAAAAAGACTAACATGTACCAAAAGGATACACTCAGATTACAACAATTAGAATGGTTGAAATAATACTCCTTACAGACACTTTAACAGTTACATCAAAACACTGGGCTCACACCATACCTTGGAGGAAGAAGCCTAGGAAAGCAATTGGTACCCAAACAATCCCAGCATCAAAGTATCTTCAGCAGATGAAGAGAGAAAAAAACTTTGTGCTTCAGGAAAAAAATGCTAAGGAAATGGGTCGTTTAGTCGAATTCGTAGAGTCATTCTACCATTGGATTTCAATCCAGGTCCAGTTTGATAAAATAAAGGCCTCCTATTTCTACTGCCTATTATTAGTCCGGGAAGTTTGAACTATTGTACAAGGTTAATAAATGTCTTGCATTCAAGAAAAAAAAGCTGCAGATGAGAGTAGTCCATACCTGCACTGAGTTGGAGTTTCCCATTTTCAAGGTCAGCTAGAGACGTTTCACTATCTGCCAGAGTTGGTGACAGTGGGGTGGGTCTGGGGGAATGATTTTCGAGTCCTGGGGAATGCAATGATGGCACGAAACTTCCTCGAGTGCCACAATTCTTCAAAGTTTGACCAACATCACTTTCAATTACTTCTCCAACAGTAGACACATCAGATTTCTGTTCGGCTGACGCTGCACTGAATGATCTGGCGCACTCGCTCAACACTGACTCTGTTAGTTCTACTTGGAGAACCTCCTCCCCTGGTCTATCATGCTTTGCACTTCTGTCAATTGGAGGAACCATCAGTTGTTGCACATCTAACGGAAAAGAAGAAAGGCCACATGCAATATCCTTAAAAACAAATAATGTGTAGTTGGAAGCACTTTCAATGTAAAACTGCTTTCCACCGACTCCCAAAACTATACAAGCAAATAAATGTTGAAAAATTGCCATTTTGAGACTCCAGACTCAGTAAAGAGCCATCAGCAATTTTCAAATGAAAAGAAGTTATTAATAATTACAACCAGAGGGTCGCACCTGCCACATTTGTACTTGGATAAGCCTGGCAGAGAGGAGTTTCAGGCAGCAAAGTGACTTAAATCACCATCCTATATGGAAGGATATTTTAGAAACAACAACTTGCATTCATATGCCATCATTTACGTAAAGAAGGACATAAAGAAAATCTTGAAACACTGCAGGTATGATTTAGAAATGAGAATTCTCATACATCGTTTACCTGCAAAAGTAGCTGGCAGGAAAGTGAGAAAGATTTGCTGTGAATTCATCGACTTGGCATAACATCTCCACTGTGGCACGCTCTCACTCTCGGGTGGGATTACAGTCTCCTCAGTCATCTCAGCATTACCTACACTCTAACCAAACAAAGTTAAAAACTGACTTGCATGTTTGTTAATAATAATAATAATAATTTGGTCACTCAGTCCACGACTGTTTGTGGGATACTGTTGTGCGCAATTAGCAGCCGCATTTTGCTCACAAAATATACAGTCAATTCACTTTACAGTATATTCTGTGAAGCGCTTTGAGACGCCTCAAAGACGTGATAAGGCTCTGTATCAAATGCAAGAATTATTATATTATTATTGTTAAAGAACATCAGAAATGAGGTAAATTCAATCTACTGCTAGTCCTTCACTTGGTCACCACAGATTTAGGGAGTACAAATATCCAATATCTGTACTAATGTCACTCAACTATGTCCGCTCAGCAATGAGAATCTCTTTGACCCTTTCACACAATTTGAATCCCATTTACTTGCAAGGTGCTGGTTGACCCCATGACTTCTTTGTTGCTCCCAAGAGTATGTAAGGACATCATGGTATCTGGTCTCTCCGGCTTCTTGGTCACTTTCACTGGCTCTTCTACAAGAGAAAAGAAAAACCACACTCAACACAGATATCGTTTTGCTGACTGTTTTATAGAACAAAATACCAGTTTTAGGAACCAATAAGGAAAGATAAACGTGGAACTGAATTAAATCAAAAGGTCGCAAATAAGAATTTTCCATGACCAGGACAGCGCATCAAGCATTTAATATTAATAATAACAAACATTTACAACGACTCCAAAACCCATTTTTGGCTCCTCTAAATTATAGTGGCCTAGAGCCATGCACGCAGGAGAAAAAGGTTTCTTTGGTTAGCCAACAACAAATCATAATGATATTAAATAAAATGTAAGGAATAGAGATTTACCTTTTTTATTGTGCAGAAATGCACAAGTTTAGGTGAAGGAGCAAGAGGATTTAAAAAAAATTCTAAAACAGGTCATGCAAACTGATCGAAGTTCTAATAATTCAATCCGTTACTGAGAGGCAGTTACCTCCGTTAAGACTTTGTTCTTTTTTACCTTTTACAACTGGTAGTACGAAAGGGATAGGGTGGCCATCCCGATCACGCTGCACAATTTGTTCCATCAAAGTTAGATGATCAGAATCAGCTAATGACAATTCCCGGTCACTGAGGTCCTGTTGTAGACAGCTGTGGAAGAGGTTTAATAAAATCTCATTGGGTAAAGAGGAAGTTTCGTCTGTACTCCCGTCATCCTCTGCTGGAAAAATGAAACAAAGAGTGGACAATAAGACTCACAATAATCTACAAGGTAAACCATTTTCTTAATATATTACAGTTGGGGCCGAAATTAACGTGTAGCCAGATATGGACACACATCTGCAGAGCAACTATACTGGTAATGCTTGCACCTTAAACAATGCGTTTATTACATATTTAGGGTCAGGAGTTTATAACTGTATTAATGTTACTTTGGAAAAGAATAATTTCGCTATTGGATAGTTTTTTTTTGAAAAGTGAATAAGTAACCATGTGAATCTCTCATATGGACTATAAAATGCCAGGATATCAAATTCTAACTGTATCTTGGATTACCCTGTAAAATAGTGTGTCTGACATTATTCTGAATATAATTACACTCTACTAAGCAGCATTTCCCATCTAATTACACTCCATCTACACTATGGATATTGTGGCGTCCTAATTTCAGAAACAGAACATGACTGAAGCCTTACCTTTACTAAAAGTGTGGAAAAACAGCTCGATTTGCTGGCACTTTGGTAAAAGCTTCATCAGATCGAACTGGAAAGGTATCATTCGGATGAAATCATTGTCCCCATCATAATCTCCTGTTTGAATTGAATCAAAAAAGGACAATTATCAAACTGGGTGAGGTAGAGGAAGTATTTGAGTAAAAGAAAAGAATGCAGTCTGGTTGTGATAGTTTAACCTTTTCATAGTCACTCTCAGTTTCCATATCCTTTGACCCATACCTTCTGTGCTCCTTGGTCCCCAGATTGGCAAGATGTAGTCTTTATTCTGACAAAGTTGGTTTAAATGTTCAAAAGCCAACATGGTAGATATACAGACATGGTCTCGTGGATACATCTATGGACAGACATCATGAAAAACAAGTTGCATTTGCTAGAATACCATAAATAACCAACTTCTTGCAGAGCAACTTAACAAAAAAGAAAAAGCATTTCCTTTCACTGAAAATAAATAGTGCTTTAGTCTGCAATGTACTTAAGAATTCAATTAATATATAGCTTATAGCATTTCCCATGTTTACCCGCAGCAACTCCAAGAACACTCCTGGAGGTAATAAGCAATTTATGCCTCAGAATGTGGGTCTCAACACATTTCCCTCTACATGCAGCTTCTAACCTGTATACAAAACACAGGGGTCAGCTTTTAAGTGCTGTGTACTATATTTGCAGGTAGATTTTCTATTTCATAATCCTTACATGTGAAAATGGCCCTAATGATCAGGTAAAATACGTGACTTACTGCTTTTGGGATGTCTAAATATGACAATCCATTCAAATGTTTCCGACTTTCAGCAGAGGTGACCACATGGCCACACTGAGGCTCCACCCAGCATTCAGTCACCAAGTTCAACTCAGTATCAAGTTCGATTGCCTCCACTTCTGTGTCATTGTCGTCGTCCGTGGAGAAACTGTGAAACAATGCAGATATGAGCACTTATCTGTATGCCTATATAGAGGAATGAGTGGAATGTGAGGGAAGAAAGAGAATGAGGTATAGAATCAAGAAATAAACAGCAACTACTGGCTGAATTTATGTGAATTCAGTGCAAAATGACAAGATTTTAGCTCCAATAGGATATATATAGCTAAACACTTGTAAGGCTTCGGGATATCTGTGGAAAACCACTGTTTATGTCACAGGTGATTTTATCAGCGATTGTACAGGCGGGACCCGGGTAGAGTTCTTTAGACTCCAATATCTGCTCTCTTTGGGAAAGTGCATATTGTTGAGGAGGTGAAAGAGGCAGGCAGTAAAAAGTGCAACAAGGATATGTGAAGTCCTCATTCTAATTAAATAGCCACAATAATATTCAAAAAGATAAAACATCAGTATTTTAAAAATCAGTTCGCCTAATTTACTAGCCAGATGCCTTAATAAATCGACGCTCAAAGGCGTTCTGCAAAGATGATGGGACAGTGGTACCTATGGGAGCTTTACCTGTCTTTAGTGGATGTAGAGTGAGGTGGGAAGATGATATACTGGACTAGGCATGTATGGATCTCCTCATCTTCATCGCAATTTCCCTGTATCCAACAAACCAGCATAAGTGAAAAACCCCAACAAAACATGAAACAAGCCAGAAATAAAACAAATACAAATAAACAACAATAAGACAGAATTCAGTTTCAAAAGTAGTTTTGAAACATAGATTTCATGCTGACAGATTTTGAGTGATAGCCATTTTGGAATCATGTCCTATGACTAATCAGAACCAAAAACTAAACAATTATCAAACGAGATTTCAACAAAGAGCAACTGCATTACCCAGCACTCCGAGGAGCCTCTGGATCCTACCTTTATGGGGAGCTCGATAACCATAGTGACAATGCCATCTCCAGTAGCTGCAAAATGGAACCCTTCTGACAGACGAACTCTACGGAAAAGACCAGAGGAGACAAAGAGTTAGGATGTGGACTACAAACAGGTCCGTGACAAAAAACAAGTGGCATTAATCAAATGTTATCATGTAGGTGAATGAAAAATCACATTAATTACTTGTAGATTTTATTGTGAGATTTGTGTTTAGATACAGAACGTATTTCAAAAGTTTTCTTTAACTTCAGATTGCAATTCTACTGAGCTGGGAGATTCTCAGTTGAATCTGGCACCCTTTCAAAGCACCTGCATCCTTTTATAAAACTAGATGCGACAATTGGTTTCTAAGTAGATAAATTCATGGTTACATTTCTCCATACACTAAATAAGTACTAATTTCCTTACTCTGTGAGAGTAGACAATATCTGTGCCACTGAAGTGATGGGCACTGATGGACCCAGACTGGACTGCACAGACCATACCCAGCGCTGATGGTAGAAGTAACGAGAAAGGGAAGCGAGGGTAGAGGAGGCTGTGCGATTGGCTGTCATGGTAGTGGATCCTGGCATAGATGCTGAATGTCCAAAACTCTCCAGGTTCAAGATAAAGGGAATTCGATAGTCTGAGGGGAGCTTCTCATACCTAGAGACCAAAGAGAAATAGCAGGTCAGTGGGTAATGACAATGTTTGAAAATCTTGTCTTAATGAGCTTTCATACACTGATTTCTCTGTTCAGCTTCTATGCTGAGGGTGGAAAACAATACAGACCCAAAGGACCAAAAACAATACAAATCCCAGAGGCAAGGATATCATGGGTATTATAATGCTTAAAAAAATTATAGTCCTCCTAATATTATACATGTTGTACATTGAGCCTTGTTCTGCTCTCTAAATAGAATGGTTGCATCTGAATACAGAACTGTTGTTCTGCAGGAAATGAATTTCCATTGCAACAAGCAAATTTTTTAAAAAAAGTTAGTGATTATTTTTAGTTTTGCAGATGTGATTACTTCTCCTTTCTTTCCCCTCCCCTACAGTTACAATAGGTCATGGCCTTGTATCAAACCCACATATTTTGGTATTGAAACAATGCTATGCAGTTACACTGACTCATGTCTGCAGTAGAAAAGTTTGTGACTTCACAGCAAGTTTCCCCATTTATGTTCACAGACCAATACCTAATGAGCAGCTTTTCCAATGGTTTTTTCAGTATAACAACACAAGGACGGTCAGAGAGAGCCAGTTGTGTGGTAGGAAGCGGGGGAGACTTTGAAGGGGAGCCATTTCCCAGGAGTTTCCTCTTGATTTTTGGCGTTGCTTCTTTGCTCTGTACCCGCTGTGGAAAACGTAGTGAGAGAATCTGATCTCGCAGCCCGTCCACAATCTAGTCAACACAACCACAAAGTTGTTATTACAAAGTTGCATCAGTGTTATTGTTTGAGAAATGAATGCCACTCATACCTCAACTATCCGTAATCATTCTCAGTACTTTATTCCTGCCGAAATTTCCTCTGCCGCTTCCAGTTATTTCTACTCTTAATTAGCCTCACATTAAACTTTATATTCTTCATTAACATTAGTTTGAAGGATACTTGTTCTAGCTTTTTTAAGTTGACAATTCTAGTAACCTTCCCTCAAGCACTAGGGGATTTATAAATTTCAATACCACAGTAATATTAAGTTATCATCAGCATTAACAAACCCAAGGGGTTTCCAGAGCCTAAACCAATAACACAGCTCTTTGCTCCTAAAATCCATACCTTATTTCTTGCCTGTGCTTGTGTTCCAATAGGAAATCCCAAACGAAGGACCATGCATGGAGCTTTGGAAATAATCCGTACAAGGTAAAAAGAGGAAGGAGGTTGATCCAGACCACTGAAAATGGATACACAAATATTTGATCGCACTGCATGGTACACATCTATGTAGCTCGAAGTACCAAAACAACGTTTCAGCATTTCACTGGACGCATCCCTCAAAAACAGTTTTTATAGAAGATTGTTTAATTTCTCTTAATCTCTCCTCCTCTAGTCATTCACAAAATATACAGTCACTTCACTTTACAGTATATTCTGTGAAGCACTTTGAGATGTCTTGAAGATGTGATAAGGCGCTATATCAAATGCAAGGATTATTATTATTATATACTCATTACCCCCATTCCCCTCAATTGCCACACCAGTCTCTTAATACCAGGAATTACTCCAAAGGAACAAATAAAAGCAAATTCGACAACTCAGACAACAATTTTGTAATTAGTTGCATCACAAATCTCACGGCATTTAGCAAGCAGGGGTGTTTATAGTTATTTCATTTCACAACTTATTGCTATGTCAAATAAACTGAGTGTCGGTAGGTTTTTTTGTGCACCGATAATTCGAGGACACAATAAGATACTCCACCTTGCAGTAACTTTAAACTTTACTCCAAAGATAAAACAATCAAAGACTTGGCTCACTAGGTTCCAAACTGGATAAAAACTAAATAAAAATGAATTCTTACTTGTAAAGGAGTTTAACATAGGAATATCCTTCGACTAACACAAAGCTGCTCCAGTCTCGTAGGAGAGAAGTTAATGCAGAAAGAGAGATGCGACACTGGATGGTACTGTATCGGCCATTACTCCCTGTTGTGTGGATGTGCTTTGGCAATGGACTACAGAAGAGTGAGATATAAAAAAATATTACTTGTAAGTATCAATGAGTCCACACAGAATCATTCGGCGAAACAGATGCAACACTGGTTGTTATGGGGTTCATATGAAAAACCCGGATAAAAGGTGCAAGGTTAGTGGAAACCAGATGGAGAGAAACTTACATGTCATGTTCCAGCAGGATGCCAATGCGATGCATGTGAAGCCACCGCTGCCAGAAGCTGGCGTCCATGGAGAGAACAGGCTTCCAGTAAGAGGAAAACTGTGATTGGCTGGAGTCCTTGGATCCACTGTGCTGCAGTGAGAGCACCTAAACACAATACACACTTAGCAGAATCTGTTACAATGTGCGACAAGTTCCCATACTCAAATGCAAGAATTATTATTATATTATATTCCTCCTCCACAACCAGTTCGTCTCACTCAAGGGGCCATTTCTTGAGGACTGCTAGTAGGCTTTTAATCGTGAGGGCTACATGACTAGCCTTAATTGGTATCCATACCTGCCTGCTTCCAGCAGGGATCAGTGGATAGTAATCAAAGACTGAAAAGTATAAATAACTTCCCAGCTCTTGGATGCCAAGGACTATTATAGCACCCACTATGGCTCTGCTTAAGTCCAATTAATTCAGCATAGATGAGTAATACAATGAAAGGCATTTCTGCTCCAAGCAGCACACACCCACACCACATGGTGCACTTACCCAACAACTGTGTGGACATTTTAAACATTTGATTTGTTTCCTCCTTTCAGATCCCCAATACCATTCTTGGGCTAATATCCCATAATAGATATGCAAGTGTCAAGACTGAACATTACCGGTGTGGTAGATCCTGGAGGAATGTAGAACAGTGGGACACCATTCTTTGTGCTCTCTGGTATAGTGTAGTGTTCAGGAATAGTGTTGAAGGATTTGAGATGAACCAGCATCTGATCCGTCTGATTGATACTAAGCAAAAGTACAAGCGAACAATCATTATTTTCTCTCCACAGATGAGATATTACTCTCCCTTCTATGGTAGAGAAACATCCAGACTTCTTCTTTACTAAGCCCTTACCTTTGCAGAGTGTTCCAAAAACGGCGGATAACTGTCGTTCGATATGGACTCGTTATTGGTTTCCTCATCGTACAGCTAATATCATGGAGCATGTCATAGCTGCCCTCCATGGTCACCTCCACCCAGGTCATGCGTTTGCCTGGATCCAGCGGCCACGAGGCTACCACCAAGTATTCGATTCTCATGTTGTGTTTCCACAGCAACATCAGCTTCACTTCCAACTGGGCACCTCCTAAAATCAAACAAGAATTAGAATTAATAGCACGGCACACAAAATTTGGTTTACAAATTTGTTCTTGCAATTCACTAAACATCATGTTGTCTAACCCACCTTAGCCATTAGGGAGGCACCATGTAGTGGCATAGAGAAAAAAATGGATTAATGTATAAGTCAACACAGGCTGCTCTTGCATGACTGCTCATGGCAGGTTATATTGGGTATTGGTACTCAGCATTTATTTGATTTCTGTCATCAAGTGCGGGAAACAAAAAAGGGGGAAGGATGGAAAGTAAATAAAATAGTAAACCCTCCAAATTAAAAGTATTTATATCAAAAGAATACTTCATATAAATTTTCTTTGCATGCGTTTACAAAAGACTGGCCAGTTATAATTTGATCTGACCCATCAAAGACACAATCACCTTCACTGCGCTCTGAGGAACAGAGGACCAAGAAAACATAACTTTGGGTCTACTATCAAATGTGTGACACGCATTCATGGGTTGCAAAATCAAGGCCTACTCTGGAGAAGGTGTAACCTGCCTGGAACTACAGCTGTGCTCATCTGACCACCAAGTCTCACTGTAGCCCCCTTGACTCAATGCCACTCCACAAAGCTGACCCTCATTGCATCTCCATTTCTTTGTACCTTTAGTGAAGTTAACTTCTTTGACAGTGTAGCCTTCACGCAGTCGAACAGATACCACACTGATCAGGTCTGCATGCACTTCTTTCTCAGTGTGCTTCTTTCGTCTCATAGCTAATGCAGGATTGCTGCTGGCGGATACCAGGTGCTCATTGAACACTTTGTGCTGCGAAGCTAGATTTAGAGTAAAATAAGCAGAAGTAAAACTGGAATACAAGGGTCAAAAATGTTTTAGTGTAAAAAATAAGTAAATCAACAGAGCTACTCCTTGTAAGTAGTAAGGTATTTACCACAGTAATACTCTGGGTTCATAGGCTCTCCAGGTCTCAAGAAACTGTACAGCAGAAATGCCTTGTGGTACGCATTCATACTGAGACAACCTTCAGTGATTTCAGGGTATGTAGACATGTAGGATCCAAATGTTGCCATTGCAATAAACTTCATCAGCTCCAAATTTGGTACATAACCAAAGCTGCAGTCATACGAGTACACACCTCCAACCTGCAGGAAATAGATGGGTAGGTAATTACAGAAGCATTATAGAGATAAAGTGATTGTTTCTGAGGCATAAAAATCGGTTTGGAAATGCAACCGCACCTGTATGAAGGAACAGGCGATTGTGCCACAGCGCAGTTGGTTTAGTAACGTTTCACACACTGCAACATCTGGTACACTTGTCACACCATCAGTGATGATAATTATACCTGAAAGAGAAATAAACTCATTCTTTGGGAACATAACAACGAAAGCTCACAACCTCTGTATCAATGGTGTAGCTTCCATGTTCTTTTTATAACAATATTCTTGTGCCACTTTTTTTCTTCCATTCTATCCTGAATGTGGTGTATCCACTGTAGAACACAGTTCTACAAGCTTCAGCTACTCTCAAGTACCTCACCATGTTGTGAGGCAAGACAATGAGTGATTGACACACATGACCCATACACACAAAAACAGTGTAGTAAGAGCTATAAATCAATAGGACATCCCACAAGCTGCTATTCCACAGAGAATCAATTGATCTGTTAAGATAGGAAGTTTCAATAATCAATCTGCAATACTTAAAGTAACAAGACAGGCTTATACCTGGATACCAAGAAAAAGGATTTAAAACTCAGATTGGAGTTGTGCAATCATCGGCAAACCCTACCTGCACTGGAATTGGATGGAAGTAACTGAAGTGCCAGGATGCCATTGCGGATCATGTTGACAAGCCCCATATCAGACGTTACCATGGAAAAAGTCATTTTTCGTGAAGGTTGTTCATAGTAGACATCATTTGCATCCCCTTGGGATAAAACAGATCTGTCGGACTGTGATCAAGAGATAACCGGTGGAAAACAGAGATTAGCAACTAGAAAAACGAAACTAAGAAATTCTAACCATCCAAGAATCCCTTTCCCCTCTCCTCACACACACACACACACACACTGGTTAGGATATGCTTAAGCATGGTGATGGGTTTCTGCGTAGGTTAGACATCTGGCTGGTGAAACAAATTTCTACTTCTATTTCTACACCAGCCTCTCTGAGAATTAAATCAGTGTCTAATTATAATTTTAAACCAATACTCTGTGGGGATCTGTTTTGAGAGGTTGAAATCCATTCGCCTGCCAACTGTTACAACAGCAGAAATCAAACTTGATTCTCTTAGTCTCAACAGAGACACGCTTCACAAATATTAGGTTTGTGTGGATTAAGTCAATTTTAACAAGATATAGACTAGTCCATTAGATGCGGGCTGCTTGGTGACAGGGTTATGAGTCTGATCCCTTGGGTTTGGATTGCTCCATTATATAGATTAGTGTTTTTTTAAATAAGATCCTTACCTGTACTTTGGGATTGTAGTGTTGCTGAAGAACCTCAGCCACATTGTTTTCAAATGCTCTTAGCTGCAGATAAATGTTCTGAAGGAAGGTCTCCAGGTTAATTTGATCCAGCAGACAACCTTGTACAAGAACCTACGGCATACACAGGCACTCGTGAGAATCAAAGGACAGTTACCTACTGAAAGAAACCAGCAGGCACATACATACTTGAAGAACAACAGTAGATTTAACTGCAACCTAAAGACAGCGCAATTGTTTGAACAATGAAGTACTTATCTTTAAGTGATCTAGAGAGTGCTTGGTTCCTACTTCTTACACCTAGCGCCTTGAGATGTCCTCCCGACGTGAAAGGCGCTATATACAAATGTAATTTTGTATTGTATCTAGCTTCAGAATGAAGCATTCCCAATTTTTAAAATAGGTAACCGTACAACTTGTCCACCTAGACTACCTTTTTGTTAGGGCTTCAGATTGCAGTATTCAGGATACTTCTATACTACCAACTGGAGACACTTCTATACTACCACTTGCCTTGGACTACTGCAGACTTGCTATGGTTTGTCGGCGCTGTTTCATCTCACAGTCAATTCAAAACCACAGGTTTTGCTTACTTACCTTCGTATTCCTCCACCCCACCGGCCACACACGAGACATGGTGTTAATTTTAGCAACATCAAAAATCTTAGTGGACCTTTCAGAATATTCCAAATCAAATTAATGACTGGATGTTACATATAACGCGTGCTAGATGAAGGTAGTTTCAATAAGACTTGTACATGATAATAATGTTAGTTAACTCTAAATTCTTGACATCAGCATGGAGCTCACCTGATGAGTTTGCAATCCAATGATGGACGAGTAAGCAAGAATAGTAATGAAGATTTCTGGCTGAAACATTACATCTGTACCCGGTATTTTGAAGGGTCGTGATAACTCCATGAGACACCTTGAAAGTGCATGAAACACTTCATCGAAAATCAATTCTCCTGTGGAATCATCCTACAAAAAGCATCCACTTTTTATTTTTTTTTAACAAATAAATGAAAGTTTGAAAAATAGTTAGAAGAGGGCAATCCTAATTTCCCAATTCCTACTGCAGTTAAAATTAGCTATTGTGCCACTCCAGGTCCTGCCGATGAGCCCGGCTGGCTGGTCTGTCATCAACAGTGCCTTGGAGTACTGTGGAGCTGTCTGCCTCAGGGGGAACTAAGCTATTGAGAAGCCGATTTATATTCATCACTTCCCGTGCTTTACCATTTCCATCTGATCAGTGGATCAATTCTATCAAAGTAGTGCATTCCTTTGAATTACTCATAATCATAGTAGTCAAAAGGAAGAGGTACCTCTATTGCTCTGCTAATTGTTATCCCTTGTTAAATTCAAACCAGCCTGTGAGCAGACACTTTGGATCTTAATCAAAATCATGATCAAAAATAGTGCATTGAGCACAGCAATCCCCTCCATTCACCAGTCATTCATTACACAGAGGAAACATTTTGTTTAAAAAAAGGCAATTCCGGGTTACTTTAACCAGTAGCTCAATTTGGTAAGTAAGGGCAACTGATAGACATCAGTAGGTGCAAAGCATTCAGCTTTAAACATTAAAAATTATGGATGAACAAACAATACACTTCCCTTTTATTCACTCCCCTAGATAATAATTACTCACCACAATTCCTGTAGATGGACTGAGGTCCAGCTCAATAACAAAGCGGTATCGCCGTGCAAGAAATGTAATGTAAGAAGAGGGCACAAGCTGGTAGGTGTGAATGCCAACAGTCTCATCTGACTGCCAGCCTTTTGGGAGGATACTGAGAATATCCAGCTCATTGTCAGATGTGATCTGCGAGAATAGTTAAGAAACAAGAGGGAAAATAATTGATGCAATTCATTTTTGGGGGTCAATGGGGTGTCTGACACAAAGAAACCCATCACTATGCACAAGAGCATCCCAACCAGACAGAGTTCGACACATGCATGGAAATTTCTCTACGGCTGGAATGGAGGGTACATCTTGCCAAATAGGGGGCATGTCCAAGCATTGAGCAAGTACATATCCAGCTTTTACTGCAATGTTCCAATTGTAGGTGAACCCATTGACACTTAGTACCCAAAAAATCATCTAAAAATGTTTACTTAGTTGAGGCAGCACATGATTGCCAGAGTGGAAGGGGAAAAACCCTCTGTATGTAGACAGGGAAAGGAAGTATTAGGAGATTCTAAACTAATGAGTAATCAGACTGAACCCTACCACATAAAGATATAAGATTGCTGTTTCAATCACAAAACAATGAGAAGTAGTTCCAGAGTACATGCACAATACACATTTATTTGCACCACGAGATCCTTGGGAGCGACCTGTGAGAACAGCATGAGAAAAATTAGCGGATAGATAGAGAGAAGGAAAGAAGAAAAGGCAAAGAGGAGACAAGTTATGATGAATTGTAGCCATCCCACACCCCATTTCTCCCCCTTTCACTCACCAGCTCAGACTGTGGCGTTGGTCGAATGTATTGGTTGAGCTTGCTGAGAAACCAAGCTAATCTCACATTGCGCGAAATCCGATATTCTTTCTTCATAAGCAGGAAAACCTGTCCTGCTTCCTCCACCTGATTAAGGAATGTATATTCAAGTTTAAATGGGAGTCCTGTAGCTCAGTGGTTAGAACACTCGCCTCTCAAGTGAGAGACCTGAGTTTGATTCCCAGCAAGGCAAAACATTGGGCAAGTTTCCTTACTCCACACACCTAATAATAATCCCTCAGGAAAAAAATATTAAATTGGTTACTTCAATCCACAATTGTTTGTGGGACACTGCTGTGCACAATTGGCTGCCACGTTTCACCCACAAATATAGAGTCAATTCACTTTACAGTATTCTGTGAAGCGCTTTGAGACGTGAAAGGCTCTCTATAAATGTAATTTTGTTGTTGTCTAGAAGACGTGAAAAGCACTATATCAAATCCAAGCATTATCATTATTAGTATTAAATGAGTGTATTGGTCTTAAAGTAGTGTTATCTATTCGAACATGACATGCGGATAACTAAATTTAATAAAAACGTAAAAAATACTGACAAGATTACCCCTCAACCTGCAACATTTTGTTAAGTGTTAAAAATGCACTTTAGGCTTCTCAACATCAAGCCCTCTGCTGGATTGCTGCTCAAAACAGTTAATCTGCGCCAAAGTATACAGAAGTAACAAGCAATTCAGCAAAGTAACAAGTGGCACATACACAATCAAAACCCTGGTCAGAGGACATTGTTTGTTGCTGTGGGCACCATTATAAGAATATGCATAGTCTGCATTTCTGTTTGTTTATTTACTTAACCTGTTACAGTTAACTAATACCAATTAATTTCCTATTTCAACCTGTATTTATCTCTGTCTCAATTACTGTTTATAGTTTTGTACAATACTTACAAAAGGTTTACTTATTGCACATAACATACATATGTTTGCCTACAATATATAATCACTATATTTTAGAGTAAATCCTGTGAAACACTTCAAAACAAAATCACTGTATCAAATGCAGAATTATTAAAATGCAGTACTGTGTTTACGTTACTTCCTCTGTATTTCGTTTATTCAATTACATTTTCACTATTCAGTTACAGTTTCACTATTCATTTCCTGCATGCCATTCCCAGCTGTATTTATCTCAGACTGTTATGCAGTTTAATATACAACAACAAGATTACATTTGTACAGGGCCGTCAAGAGGACGTCCCAAAGTGCTGCGACGTCCCAAAGACAGAGAGTTTACATGGCAAACAGGGTGATAGTTCACACTGTGTACTGCAGTTCAGTGTACAGTGCAATACTGCTCAGTGTGTTTACAATCACAGTGAACAGTGTGATATTGCTCAGTGTTTACAGCCAGAGTGTAGTGTGATATTGCTCACTGTGTTTACAGTCACACAATAGTGTGATATTGCTCAGTGTTGACAGTCACAGTGTACAGTGTGATATTGCTCAGTGTGTTGACAGTCACAGTGTACAGTGGTGGTGACAGTCACAGTGTACAGTGGTGTTGACAGTCACAGTGTACAGTGGTGTGTTGACAGTCACAGTGTACAGTGATGTTGCTCAGTGTGTTGACAGTCACAGTGTACAGTGGTGGTGACAGTCACAGTGTACAGTGGTGTTGACAGTCACAGTGTACAGTGGTGTTGACAGTCACAGTGTACAGTGGTGTTGACAGTCACAGTGTACAGTGGTGGTGACAGTCACAGTGTACAGTGGTGTTGACAGTCACAGTGTACAGTGGTGTTGACAGTCACAGTGTACAGTGGTGGTGACAGTCACAGTGTACAGTGGTGTTGACAGTCACAGTGTACAGTGGTGTTGACAGTCACAGTGTACAGTGGTGGTGACAGTCACAGTGTACAGTGGTGGTGACAGTCACAGTGTACAGTGGTGGTGACAGTCACAGTGTACAGTGGTGGTGACAGTCACAGTGTACAGTGGTGGTGACAGTCACAGTGTACAGTGGTGTTGACAGTCACAGTGTACAGTGGTGGTGACAGTCACAGTGTACAGTGGTGTTGACAGTCACAGTGTACAGTGGTGTTGACAGTCACAGTGTACAGTGGTGGTGACAGTCACAGTGTACAGTGGTGTCAGTCCCAGTGTCAGTGGTGACAGTCACAGTGTACAGTGGTGGTGACAGTCACAGTGTACAGTGGTGGTGACAGTCCCACTCCGCTCCCTCGGGCGATGCTCACTGTTCGCTGTCTGTGTGACCCGCGGATCCCCTCCATTTCCCAACGGCCCCATTTACCTCAGTGTCTCTGTCGCCGGTGTTCATGGCTGAGAACCCCCCGGGGGGGGGGGGGGGGGTGGGGGGAGGGGGTGAGGGACGGGGTCGGTCAGTCAGTCAGTCAGAGCCGCCGCCGCCGCCGCCGCTCCGCGCCCATCGCTCGTGGTGGGCGGAAGCCCAGCGCCGCCCCGTGACCCGGAAACAGTGACGGCGCCGCTCGACCCCTTGACCTTTGCCCCGGAACCGCCGTCCGCCGCTGAGATGCAGGTACCGGGGGTCCGTTACCGGGGGAGTGGGGGGTATCGGGGAGACCCGGGTCTGGCACAACACCCTGTGGGGGGGGGGGAGAGTAACAGTCAACCGCCCCCGGGGGTGGGAGGTGGGGTCGGGCCGCTCGTTTCCCCCCCGCGGGTCGGGGGTGTCCGGGCACCGGGTGTTATCCCCGTCTCGTGACTCTCGCCCCCGTCAGAGGTGACATTCGGCCGCCGTGTCCCGGGCCCCGTCTCCTCGTCACTCACTCACTCACTCACTCACCGGAGTGCGCGAGGCTGTGCTCGGCATCGTCAGCGCCTCACAGCGAATGGCGGCTGTTCGTGACACCTCCTGTTTCCCCCCCCACCCCCACCGAGGAGTGGGAGAGGAGGGAGGGAGGGAGGCAGTGTGGGGGGGTCTTGAGATTCCCCCCCACCCCACCCCACACACCCCGGGTTTCTGATCAGAAATCCTGGCCTTGAAGCCGGAGTTGAGTGAGTGAGTCGGTCCTCTCTGTCTCTGTCCCTCGACATCCACTGTGGCTGCAGCTCTCAAAAGATTTCCTCCTGTCCCCCCCCCACCCCCCCCCCCCCCCCACACACCCACCCCCCCCACACCCACACACACACACACCCCCACACCCCCCCCCCACACACACACCCCCACACACCCCCCCCCCACACACACACCCCACACCCCCCCCCACACACACACACCACACCCCCCCACACCCCACACACCCACACACACCCACACCCCCACACACCCCCCCCCCCCCACACACACCCACACCTCGACGCCCACTGACAGACAAGTGCTGATTCGAAGCAGATAAACGCTTTCCTCTCTCTTTTTCTCTCTCTCTCTCTTTTAACCCCCCCCCCCCCACACATAAAGGATCCCCTGACTGAGATTGACTCACTGAGCACCGGGTATCAGCTGTGCCTTTCACGGGGAATTGTACGCCAGGATTTTTAATAACAAGTAATAATAATAATAATAATAATCCTTGTATTTGACGGAGCGTCTTCGAGACGTCTCAAAGCGCTTCGCGGAACAGACTGTAAAGTGAATGGACTGTAGATTTTGTGGGACCGCTAAAATATTTACTGTAAAAGTTTGATGTGAATCTTTCGCAGCCACGGGAAGAAAAGCAGTTGGAGGCATCCGTTGACACTATTATTAGCCGTGTTGCTGATCTGAAAAGCTCACTGGCAAGCTTCATCCACAAGTTGGAAAATGAATACGAGAGATTGAACTGGTAAACAGCTGATATTTTTGTTTTCTATCCTCATGCTGGTGTTTGCCTGTTTGCTCGTCTATATGTGGATCAGTATATGTATTTCAACATCAGTAGGAACAATCCTACGTCAGCTGCTTTTGATAGAAATACTGTGTCTCAAAGCCCTGCTGCAATCTAGCTCTACGCATGATGTTTGTCCACCTGGGACTGCATGTACAAGGAACCCGGGTACAATGAAGTCAAACGGGTTGGCAAAGAGAATGTAACATGATGTTCATTCACGGAGAAAGTTACAGCTAGATTCACACACAACTGTTCAAGATATATGCTCAGTTGCTGAAACTATGTTGGTTGATTCTGGGCCAACTGGTTTTATACGTTTTAAGCACTTACAATACAAAATCACATTTGTAAAGCGCCTTTCACGTCGGGAGGACGTCCCAAGGCGCTGAACAAAAATACTAAAGTGTATGCTGGTACTTTGGTAATAAAGCTACCCGAATGTCAGGATCAACTATGAAATAAAGCATTACAATTAACCTCTGATCTTAGAAGTTCAGGATGCTAAGAATGCAGTAAAGTGGCTTTACTTTCTCACACAGAGATCCCTCACCTAAAGTGAAAATATTAACCCTCCATAAATCTTGCACAGCCAGGTTTTTTTTTAAATTGAATAGAATTAAAGTCAAGCTGTGATTTGGCACGGTTTCTGCCAACTGCTTCAGGCTCATTTGAAACATTTGGGTGTCATCAACTAAATTTAAGCCCTCTGAGGTGTCTTGACAACGTGATAAGGTGCTATACCAAATTCAAGGATTATTATAGATGTTATGTTTTAAAGTTCTCTCAAGTTATATGCAAACTTGTGTTGTATGTTTCAAGGCCCTCAGTGTTGGATAACTTTGCCTTGGTATCAGGGCAGTTGAACACTTTGAACAAGCTCCTGAGGAATGAAAAAACACCACTCTTAAGGAACCAGGTCATCATTCCATTGCTGCTTTGTCCAGATCGTGATGATGAATTGATGGTACGTTCTAAGTCTATTTCTTAGTAAAAGCCGGAACTTTCTCAAACCTTGTTTCTCATTTTATATTAACGTAATCGTTCATAAAATATGGCCTTTTGTGAGTTGAACGGACTCCAGGGGCCGGAGGGATTACATTTTTATCCTGGTTTACAAGAAACAAAACAACATGGTTTTAGAACAGGCTAGTAATTCTAGGAGGAAGAAATACAACTTTCATTTATATAGCACTGCTCACATCAGGGGCCCTGTCCCAGTATATGTGTAATATTGGCAATGACTTGACTCCATTGAGATCCAATGGCAGATGTCTATTCTATATGATTGACTGGGGAGTGGTGGGAGTTGAAAATCTTGGTTATTCATTTATCATTTCTATATGTTCTATCTGGAGACTACCAAAGAATACACTTAAAACACAGATAAGAGTTTACAGGACAGGTAACATTTTAGAGGGAAGTGTTTTTTTTACAATAAAAAAAATCTAAAAAGGAAAATCCAGAATTACCGGGATGATAACCTGAAATGCTTTCAATTCCGTAGGCAATTGTAATTTTGATGAGCTTCAATGGGCCAAACGGCATCTTTCTATCCATTTCTTTCACAGGTTCCCATTTGCTGTTTTATTTCCATAGAAACTAACAGAGGGTCGCGTTCCTGTTTTCAGTCATGAAGTGGTACCAGATCACCTTCGGACTAAACCAGATCCAGAGGTGGAAGAGCAGGAGAAGCAGTTGAGTGCAGACGCAGCACGGTTGGCACCTGATGTGGCCCAGGTATGACTTCAGTTGGTTGGTTGAGATTTTATTGGGTCTGTGGGTGAGCAAAACGATCATGTAGTATGTGTTTGGCTGATTATGAATGGCAGCCAGCACCTGAAATATATTCAGAACAGAGGTCACCATTTCCAACATCAGATTGCTCGGTAAAATTACAATAATATTTACATTTAGTTATCAATCATGTCGACTTTGACCACTGGAATAATTTGTCATCAAAAATGCAAATCCTTGGAGCAGATGAGCAATTTCACAATCTAAATGAGTCAAAACAAACCTAAAACTCAATCCTCGACTGTTTGTGGGACACTGCTGTGCACAATTGGCTGTCGCGTTTCGCCCACAAAGTATAGTCAACTCACTTTATAGTATATTCTGTGAAGCGTTTTCTGACGTCTCGAGGGAAGCATAAAGTGCTATATCAAATGCAAGGCTTATTACTATAAAATACTATTTTACAGTAATATTAACTTGATTGGAAATTATCAAAGGAGTCTGCTGCTGAGGTAGTTTTTAATGTCCTGATTTTGATTGTATTATTTCTCCTCCTGACTGCCCAATGCAGAAACAGATTCAATCACTGAACAAAATGTGTGGAATTTTACTGGATAAACTCAACAACACTCGAGAGGAGCGCGAGTCTGAGAGCGGAGGTATGCATCGGGTGGTTTACTGTAATGTGGGAAGTTTAAAAAGAGAATGATTTTGAAAACAAATGCTCTGGATCTAGAGATGCATGCAACGTTAAGCTAGTCGATTAATAAATGTCAACCACGTAGTTCTATGACTGGATTTTAATACGCAAATTATTTTACTTGTGAATATTTACAGAATCACAAGATCTCTATACAAACCAAACAATTTCATGGTTCATTGTTGGCTTATGTAAATAAGGGGCAATCCACGTTGGCCGTTCACCACTTCAGCTTGACCTCATCTATGTTTTTTATTACTATTTATATCTTTCCGCACTGCTTTGTTAACAATCAAATATCTAGTTGCAGCTACATCTCTTTTGCTGCAAGTGTAACAATATTACTGGAGTAGACAGAAATAGAATTTCAATAATTCAACTCATTTTTCTCCTAGCTTTGCGTCAAAGCAAACAGACGTTTAACCCTGCAGACACCAATGCCCTAGTGGCCGCAGTTGGGTTTGGAAGGGGATTGTCCAAACCGATAAGGCCACAAGGGCCTGGTGGGCCAGTACCACCAGGTCAGACCTTACCAGGAGCTGGACTTCCAGGGGGACCAAGTATGGCTCAGGTATCGATGCAGAGTGGGCCAAACCAACAGCAGGGAATGGCAGCCCAGGTGCCCCCACAAGGCCAGCCAGGTATGTACAGAATGTCTGTCTCACATTTTCTGTTTGACACATTGAAACCTGCAAATTTTCAGAAACTATTTCAAACTTAAATCAGATCTGGATTCCCGGATTCTCCTGACTAACCCGTGGGCTACATCGTACTGCACTGCCATCTTTGTGATATTCTCTCATTCCTTCCCAGGTAAGATACCTAGCACCATAAAAACCAACATAAAATCCGCATCAATGCACCCATATCAGAGATGAGCCACAGGTTTGAACAGCAAGTTGAAACCTCAAGGTAGCTGGAGTTACAACTGGAAACCGAATCACTTACCGAGAGTGACATGCTGCCTGCAGGTTGCGTCCAGATCATTTAATTCATTTCAGTTGATGTGTACAGCACAATTGTAAAACACAAACCTTGAAAAGATATACAATACCTTTTATTGAGGAAATGTCTACTTTTATAATGTCCCATGCAAATCAAATCAAAATTGCATAAATCCCAGCAGTTCTCAAGTGTAGTTTTTTTGTTTTTTTACTTTTGACTATACTACTGTCATCTTTTCACAAATTAAGTGGTTGACTTTTTACTGATTGGCAGTGCATCAGGTCAAATATTTTACATTTCATTTTGTTCAGGTTACACACTGCTGAGTCTCCACTTAAGTGAACCAGATAATGAGCATTTCAAGGTCCCAGGTCAAGTGAATATGGGGCTAAATTCTTACTCAGCTCTCTGTTCATTTTTTTTATAAATGCTGTATCATTTATAATGGTCGCCTTTATTCTAACTGTAAAGTATGTAACTGTCAACTCCTTAATAAAGTACTATTTTGATCAAACAATAGAATTGGAGAACTCTTTACAATCTGATGCAAGGTACATGTGATACATTAGCAAATGATCACAGAAAGTCCCTGCTGCATTAGTGAACACCACATATTCAGAGATCACCTGGGCATGCACCAAAGATTGAAATCAGGGCAAAGAGTTAAATGATTCTATGCCTCCTAGAAAAAAACAACTTATGGCAGAATGGAGTTGAAAGGAAATTATTTTGAGGAAGAAATGAGAAAAGGAACAAATGTATGCTTCTAATAAAAACTAATGTACATGAATTTAGTGCGAGGCAAAGCAAACAGAATACACTACACAGATTCTAATATTAAAATCACTGTCTTAACACATCATGCAAGACTTAAGATAGCTGCAAATGTTTCGAGAACACGTTTTTAAAACCAGCTTGCTAACTTCAAGTCAAGTAATGAACCTTTGCTTAAAGTGGTGAATGACAAAGTTTGCAAGACAGACGAGAGCCCAAGCTTTCATGTGTTCAATGTGTTTTTATTTCAGCACAGAGAGAATTCCTATTCAAACTTTCACTTTGATATCATAATCCCAAATATGGTTTCCAGAGTTATTTTCTTCATTGCCTTTCCTCAAGATATCTGTCCCAACTGCAACAAGGAAAATTAGATAATGCAAAGAATTAAAGATATACCATTACTGCTCTCAGTGTCAATGTCAGACGGCTTGTCATTGCCCACATTCTCATGAAGTTTAATAAACTTGAGGGTACTATTTTGGCAATTATACTCCAGGGCTAGTTCACATAATGCTGATCTCCATACACAGTTCCAGGGAAACCAAAAGCAGCCTGAGTTCCAGTTTGTTACCTCCCCAGCCTGACCCCTGGGCAAGGGGAGGGAAGAAAATCAGATCAGCAATTTAAATTTTCTAATGGAATGAAGGATGAAGCATGGTGACTTGCCTACAGAGTGACTAATTGTTACTGCAGCTACATCTAGATTTCAGGTAGGTTTTGCTCCCCAGGGAATGCCAAATAGATCTCACTACTCAGATTGAACATTATCTGTCAACTACCTTCCCTTGTTGATATGGCAAGAATAGAAATACTCATGGGACTCAATCACCTCGGGTAACCGGCAAGTGCTAGGCCCCAAAACACTAACGAGTTCTCTCACTCCCTGGTATGGGCCATCAAACTTTCTAATACAACTTCCCTCGTTTCTATAGTTCACAAGGGGCTGAACGCAGATCTGCAACACTGATTATATTAAGTAAAAATATGAATTCCTAAAATGCCTAATTTAGAATTAGCAAAGTTACACTTAGTGCTGGAAGCTGAAACTTTTTAAATTAGATATAAATCCTCAAAAGAAAAACTTGGCTTTGTAAGCCATCTAAGGGCTATTTCAAGTGTGAATAAAACAGCAGTTTTAAATTGCTCGGTATGAATTGTGATTAAAGTTGACAACAGCATGGGGTTTAATTCTTTGCAGGTTTTTTTGGAAGTGTTTTAAGGCAACTATGGTACAAGCTTATTTCCTTATGAATTTAAGGTAATGGTTACAGCAGAGATGGACTTTCAGCCACTCAGAAAATGGCAAGTCAACACCCAGCTTCACAGCCCAGACTTGTGTGCCACCAGCTTTTTGTTTTTCCAGTCAGGCGGAGTGGGATCTTTTGCACATCACATTTTTACCTTTGCTTTATCTTTGTATTCAATGTCAATTAGAGAAGTGCAATGATTTCCAAACAAAATCCAGAATCGATTAATCACAAACCATTTGTTACTCAATCCTTAAAACTATTATTCAACAGCCGTTTTCCAGGTTCCCTTCCAACACAGTGCCAGTGATTAAATCGACAAGAAACTCTTTAGTCAAGTATAAAAGTGAAATCGCTGCACCCTCCCTCTTAAAGTTTCAAAAAACAAAAATACAATAATTGGTTTTATTACAAATGTTACTTTTTTTTTTACTTCATCTTCATTTTTCCATTCATCACCTCCCCATTTTCCACCACGTGCCTGCCATTTTCTACCCCTAGTTTGCCGTTCTTTGCAGCTGCTTTTCGTTTTTCCGGTGTGTTTTTAGGCAGCCTTTTACCCTTGGTGTAGGCCTGATACCAGAAGTTGGAGAAGAGAATAAAGAAGAATGTTCCATACATCCACACAAGGTGGATGAAGAGAGGGAACTGGTAATCACAGTGAGACATGAAGTAGTATTGTGTGACATGCAGGGAGACGAGGATGAACTGGACCTGAAAGAGGAAAAATGAAAATCGTTTGAAGTGATCACATGGAGCGCTTCACAAAAAAACCTGTCTGGGCTTCACTTAACTCTTGCGCAACATGTGGAAAACATACATGTGAAAAGGTCATGAGGCCCAACATGCTTGAACGCCCTTCTATCCAGAATCTCTCTCTCAAGGCTTCATGTTGTCTCTTGAACCTACTGTTCATTTCAATCGTCTTTCATGCAGATTAGACTTTGTACAAGATAATTCTCCTATTTATTCGTTATTGATCGTGTCAAACTTGCCACCTGGTGTTTTAGTCATCATAGTGAATAATTGGCTGGATTCAATTATACATCCCAACGTTTGCATCATTCAGTTAAGTGAACATGGGTCCACTTCAGAACTAGTTGAATATTGAATTGTCACCTGAGACTGCACTAGGATTTATAGGACATATAATATGGAATTTAACCGTTCAATTGGGCTGCCAGCCTCAACAAATTGCTATGTGGAGTCCTGTAGCTCAGTGGTTAGAGCACTCGCTTTGCAAGCAAGAGACCTGAGTTCAATTCCAGGCAGAGCGAAACCTTGGGCAGGTTTCCTTACTCCACACAGAGCCTAATAATAATCCCTCCAAAACAAAAAACAATAAAAAATTGGTCATCTTCAATCTACGACTGTTTGTGGAACATTGCTGTGCGCAATTGGGTGCCGCGTTCGCCCACAAATATACAGTCAATTCACTTTACAGTCTATTCTGTGAAGCGCTTTGGGCCGTTTGGAAGACGTGAAAAGCGCTATATCAAATGCACGGATTATTATTATTATTATGATGTGCAGAATCAATGATTGAAATCATGTTAATCTTTCCATTTCTCTCTTCTCAGTTGGCATGGGCTCCTTCCACGCTGCCAGAGTCAATATTCTGTTTTTTCAGTTTCTATGAATGAGAGAGAGAAGATTCCTCCTTTCCTCAAACTATATATGCATCAACAACTTGCATTTATATAGCACCTTTCATGCTGGACGGAGCCTTCACACCCTCAACCCAGACTGAGACAACATCATCCCTGCTGTTCTCCCCTTCAACCCTACATGCGGCATAAACACCCGATCAAGACATGTACACTAAAGCTTCATTAAAGTGGAACAGGGAGATCGTAATACTACATCATGAAAGTGACCCCACACCCCCCCCACACACAACCACCACCAGATCTTAGAAAAATGTACTAACAAGTTGGATTGCTGTCATATATTTTTTCCACCAGAGGTACTTCTGAAATGCTGGGCCAGCTGCAGACAGTCCATAATAGAAGTACATGATAACATGGACAACAGAGTTGATCATAGCGTGAAAGGACCCCATGCCACCTGAGAAGAGAGAAATGGAAAGATTAATATGACTTCAATCAGATTAATACTAATCCTTGCATTTAATATCGCACATTCACATCGTCAAATCATCAAAGCGCTTTACAGAATCATTTTTAATTGTGAAGTGTAGTAACTATGTAGGCAAACATGGCAGCCGAACTGCAGTTGATACAGCGCCTTATCATGTTGTGAAGATGTCTCAAAGCACTTCACAGGATATACTGTCAAGTGAATTGACTGTATTTTGTGGTGAATCATCAATTATATGTAGAGGATTGTTAACCAAAACACTGGAAGAAACTCCTTTCTCTTTATGAATAGTGTCATGGGATCTTTAACATCCACCTGAACAGGCCAATGGGACCTTGGTTTAGCATCTCATCTGAAGAACTACAACAATCCAGTGCTCCTCCAGCACTACACTGGAATGTCAGCCAAGTGCTCAGAACTTCTCCATGGGACTTGAATCCACAACCTTCTGACTAAAGGCAAGAACTACTACCAACTGTACCAAGCTGTCACCTTCAATCATCAGAAGGCATTATGTTCAGAAGTTAGTCTCACCCTGCAGGGAAAGTTGCAGAGTAGCCAATGGTGGGTCATTAACAGTGGTTACTCTCCCGCAAATAGCCTAGCTGAAGAAGTTCTATTAATTTGCAGATTCAGTCCCTTGCACATTTTACACTGAAATGCAACTGGAAGGTTTTAGTACTAAGGGCAGATTTTCTGTATGTTGAACAGGTCCACGTTCGAGCTGATTTATGTAGAACGATGGGCCTAGATATTTCTGTGAATCAGCTATTAGCATCCACACACATCATGTAAGTTCCAATGAAAGCACCCAATTAAAAAAACACGCAGCCCAATTTCTTTATACCTGGTCCAAACTTGATACCCCACCACCAGGTCCAGGGCATAACCGAATGGTGGAAGATGTGGAGGAAGGTGATCTGACTGTTCTTCTTTCGCAAGACAAAGAAAACCTTCAAACACAAAACAAGATGTAAAGAGATCACTTCCAGCTTTGCAGTGTTCTGTACACAGTAAAACAGAACAATCTTAATGAAATAGAACAGAATCACATTAATACATTATTCGTGTTGCACACTGTAGCAAACTACTTATTTCGACGATCGTATTGTTACTGTGTGAATCCTTCCTAAAAGATACAATATTTTCTCTGGAAGAAAACTAACAGCAAAAATTACACACTGGAAAGACATGCCAGTGCACTGGACAGTAAGGGTTTTTTGACACCTGACTTTGACAAAAACTAAGCTTTTTTTTAAAAAAAAGTTCCCAGGTTCAAATCCTGGTCAGTGCTATAAAGTTAGTCTCCCAGCTGAGGGGATTGAATGAGTCTCAGGTATTGATAATTTGAGACTCCTCCTTGATCTACTCATATGCAAATCCTGGACATGGATAATCAACTTCAGCTGCAATGCTCTCGGTCAGAACCACCTGCCAACACTTTCAAAGCTCACACTTGAAGGAGGTGTACCTCAGCATTGGAGAAAAAAGAGTCAAATGCCTTTAAAACAAGAGGGAAGAAAATTGGTGGGCGTAATTACCAAGGAATTAGACCATTTAAACCAGATCGAAGAAAATTTCTGCCCAATCAAAATATCAGTGTAAAAAAAAACGAGATACTCACAGTGTCTAGCAATTCAATGAATTTGGAGAACAGAAACAGCCATGCTACTCGCACCATCTGAGAGAGAAAAAAACAGGACACTAGTATTAGAGCTTGAGACACACTTGGCAGAGCTAGACAGAACCTGATTACACTTGACCAGATTAAAAATTCATAATAATAATAATAATCTTGCATTTGATATAGTGCCTTATCACGTCATTGAAACGTCTCAAAGCGCTTCACAGAATATACTGTAAAAAAGTGGAGTGACTATTTTGTGGGCGAAACCGGGCAGCCAATTGTGCACAGCAGTGTCCCGCAAACAGTCGTGGATTGAGCGACCACATTATTATTTCTTTTTTTGAAGGGATTCAGGTGGGATCTGAAGAATAAAATGGACTGATTCTCAACACATTTCGGTTTCAACAGAATGAGTTTTAAGACTTGTTTAAAAATGGGAATGTGCACAGATGATGCAGAGCTGGAAACACAACTGGAGATGGCACTGTTGTCCCCGTACTGCATGTTAACAGTAAATATCAGCCCTGAACGAAACTGAATATGATCTCTCCACTGTCCAGAGAACCAACCCCAGTAACTATTATGCCGTAAAATTCACACAGAACCACAGATGAACATAAGATACCAGGTTTATGACGCTGCTGTGAGAGGCATACAATAAACGATAATTTAGGGATTTCAGAAACATGTCTTGCTCCATCCAGGTGAAGGCACCGAGTTTAAAATATAAAGGTATGCAGTGAAGTTTAAAATACAATGGTACAAAATGTAGGAGTATTTCCTACTCCTAAACAGTAGGAGGCTAAATTCCAAAAATAATTTGGATATTAAAGGAAGGTGACTGACTATCCCAGGAAAAGACAACATTGAATATTCCGGATTGAGCTACCAAACAAAAGGAAATATTCAACACTGGAGGCCTCCTACAGACCACCCAGGAAAGATAAGGAGAACATCTTTGTGAAGAGATAATGCTTTGAGCTCATCCCTAGGACCCCAGCAAGAGAATCTCACATCAAGTCTGAGTTATTCATCCCAGTCAAGTCAGCTCTGGAAGACTCTCACTCAATCCCTCCTCTGCTTGCCCTCTCTCTCCCATTTTTTAAGTCCCGCCTGAAAGCCTTCCTTTTCGACCGTGCTTACAGTCACCCCACCCCGGCTCGGAGTAAGGCTCCATTACTGTTAAGTGCTCTGAGACGCTACCTTGGGTGAAGGGCACTATACAAGTTGTTGTTCTTGCAATTAATCAGATCATACAAAACCAAACAGGTGACAGAACCCCAATGCAGATTAAAAAAAAACATTTGTACTATTTGGCAAACACCACCGACATTCAGGACAAAAAGTATTTAAGGTCAAAGAAAGAAAAAAAAATACCTTCGAAATGAGAAAACGCCCAATTTGGGAAATAAAGTACTGTTGAAAAATACAAACTAAGCAATTGCAGGGTAATGAATGTGTTAAACTAATTATAAAAGCACATCAAAAGATTTGCTACATGAACAGGCAGATCATAATAACTGTCCCACACAAATGTGGGAGCAATGACCTCACAAGCAACACGTTTCAGAAAGGGAAGAACATCCCTGATAAACCAGTCTGGCGTCTCTGGCACACCCTCTGCTTTATTTTATCAGAAAGTTTTTGGCAAAGTCCATACAAAAGTCTTCAAACTGAAAGTCCTTTCACCCAAATAAAGGTACAGTAATATCAGGTTGGAGAAGAACGCAAGACCCAAAAGGTCAGTACATGGACCTAATTGCTTTCTAATCCAATTAAGTAAACCCAAACTAACTATTGGCTGGTCAGATTTGCTAAACAGTGGTAGCTGTAAAGACAGAGGATATGGCAAAACATTTCAGGTCAGTTTTTCAAGTGTGTAGACACAGAGCATCAGATCTTACATTGACTGCTAGAATTCCTGGAAAATGTAGTTATGAATGACTAACAGGAGAGAATGAATAACTGATGAGAACAGAGTCCAAATCTATTAGTCAGAGAGAACCTAACCGAGAAATTGCACAGAGAATCAATAAAGTTAGAACACTAATGATTGAAGCTAGTTAATGGACTGGAAGAACATTAACTGTGGCATTGAAGAGTACGACATTAACCTTTTTACTTTGAATAGTAGGGTTTAGCCTTATGAAAACCAATTTTTGATATACTTGGGACAACCTCTGCCCCCATCAAGCTTCTTTCCAGATAGAAAGTTGATTAAATTGCTACTCCTACACATCTGAGTGGAAATAAAACAAATTATACTCATTTTAATTTAAAGTTTAATGCACTAATTAAGTTTACAGTACAATTCTACAAAATTACATTTGTATAGCGCCTTTCATGTCGAGAGGATGGATGTGCCTTGGAAAATCTTTATTTAAAACCACTACTGATTTTTACCAATTAAAAAGTAGAATTTGCAAGGATATGTTGGGGGGTGGGGGAGGGAGGGAGAGAGTTCCCAAATAGATGCCACTTCCGAGAATGCCTCTCCAGGCATTGCATTTGAACGTCAACCTAGACTATCAGTTCAACGTTTGAATATAGGACTTGAACTCATAACCTTCTGACTCAGAGGCAAGAGTGCCACTAATTCAAACGGACTGACGACCTAACCCTAAACTCATTAGATGGAGGTATTTGATTCTTTAATGTTAGACATTAAGATCCAAATTGAAAGCCAATGTGTTGCCAATTAGTAATTCTAATTTACCCAAAACTTAACATACCAGGCTTCAACCCACTTGTTCCTAGAACAGGGTTTCCTTCAATTAAGTTTAACTTGAACAGTTAGCCAATTGGAACACTAATTCAAGGAATCCTTAATTATTTGCCACTATAAATGATCCACCGCCACCGTATCAACGGATCGAGACTCTTATTGAATTTCAAGACAATAGACATAATGTACCAGGGATTAGCTTCAGAGGGCCCAGTGGATTTTCTAGTGTCCTTTGTGAAAGGCCTGTATAAGTTTTTTTACGCAACACTATGAAAGGAATTCCTGAGAAACAAGTGAATCTTCACTTGACTTTGTAAACAAGGCCACCACTAACCTGCAGTAAAAGTGGGTCAGCACTACAGAACACTGGAGTCGATAAGATACAGAATTTGGATCCCTCAATCTACATCTAAGAGTTCATCTCTCCTGGGCCATCAGAGAGCAAGGAAAGGGTCAGCAGTGACCTCCCCCTCCGTTGTGGGAGGAAAATAAAATAAAGTGGGGTTCCCTCAGGTCCTGTGGTGTAGGAAGTTCAAGTGCAATACTGGTTCCAAGTCACTGCACCATTTCTATACCCGAGTGTTTGGAATCCCATACTTATCTGCTTTATACAAGCACATTCCTGGGCCATCAGTCCGTATGTATTTCTTAGTACATAAACAGGTCTAACAAAACCCTTTACCATGGTGGCTTTCATCTCTTCATAACGTCGATTAAATAGCTTTTCTCCAGATTTAGTTCCATAAAAAAAACTAAAATTTCAATCTCAATTTATTCTTCTTTTTACACAACATGGCACATTGCTGTGTTTGATTGGCTGCTGCATTTGTCCACAAGGTTCACAGTGCACTTTACAGTAAATCAGACCAAACACGATGTGAAAGGCGCTAAATCGAATGCAAGGATTACTAAATTTGAATACGAGTGGGGGGGGGGGTGGGGTGGGTAGCAGTAATGTGCAGGGTACCATCCAGTACGGCACGACGAACAGTTCAGCAACAATGGGGCTGAAATATTTCAGTCCATCTTCTGCCTGCGCTCCTCCTCACTTAGAAATTCAGACTGGAGCGCACTGGACATTCCACTGATAAGCTAGAGCATCATCACACCCTGACACGAGACTGCTGTGTCTGGCACCAGCATTTCAGAAAGTTAAACATTCACACAATGTAAATAGAAGCACTGGTCTCAGAGCATTCACTGACACAGTAGCTTCATAGAGACGACCTTGTACATATTCGCCTGATAAAGGAGCATCTGTTAAGTCCCAACATCCTTATCCTTTTAATCAGGATTCCAGAGGTTCACTCAGAACCTCCAACAGTGGCTTCTCTACTGAGGTCTGCTCCCCAGTTTGCAGAACTCGAGGACCAAAGGGAGTGACATCTCCAAAACACGCAACTTATGCGTCAAGTGCTGTCTTCAATCCAAGATTTCAAACAGGTCACACGTGGGTTATCTAAAAAATGTACCTCAGCTCTGTATTTTGAGAACAAGGCTATTTCAGCCTTAATTCGATTTTAATTGCTTTATGCAGGGACATAGACAGAGAGTCATAGCAAATTGCCTTCTAGCAAGTTTGGCTTAATTGCCGTCGAGGCGTCTGAAACAAAGTTTATTCAGAGTACGGAGCATTTAGAACTGGCATCGGTAGTGATCAATGCAGATTCAACATTTTACACTAAAGATGCTATAAATCTTTGGTGGCAGAGAACACAAATGTTGCATTTCAGATCCAGTGCATGTGTTGAGACTGTGCTAGACTTGCATATTAAGCGCTCCGGGATGCTAACCTGTGTGAAGGGCACTATATAAATGCAAATTGTTGTTGCTGCTGATAGATCTGCAGTATAGAAATGCATGGAACATGGTCAATAAATACATTTAGGCTTGAGTGGCTGTGGTAGATTCGATTCACGTGGAAAAATTTACATTTTATGATGGCTCAGCTGATTCATCACCTTACATTTGCTGGTTAACAAGGAAACTGAGTGGTGGCTTTCACAGGGGGTGGGTTTAAACTGCAGTAAGAACATGAGTTAGCGTAATAATCAAGGTGCTAGTAAAATACTATCCAGCCCAGTGGAAGCTGCACGTTTCCCCAGCAAGGTCATGTAAAAATTGAGGCCGGCATGAACCCAGACAACATTTCCCACACAACAATAAAAAAGCTGAAATCTTCGCCACTTACCCGAAGAGCTCTGGGGCTATTGGAGGTATCTATTGGATCACATCGGTATGTGTATCCTGTAGCCCATCCAGACATCAGAAACTGTGAGAAGGAAATCAGTGTTAGGATTAGTGTTCCAACTAAAGACAAAAGGCACCTATAAATCAGACACTGGCTCAGACAACAGAAGGGACATCAGAGCTTCCAACCATGGGATAGAGTTTTACACCACATAGAACAGAGATACTCACAACCTTATATTCACTACATACATACTATATTATTATTATTATTATTATCCCATTCTGCAACCTGCCATTTCCAGCAGGGGGGGGCACTAGATAGTGATCAGAAACATGCAGCGATGGGCTGACTTTCTCCTTGAGCTGAGACCAATTACTGTATAATGCTCCAAAGTGCCAACCCAGCTAATATCAGGTAATTGGTTCAGATCCAGAATCAAACTTATGACTTTCCTGTATACTTTAATGGATACAATGTGATGAATGAACAACGGAGCCATTTCATTTTTGAGAAAGTCATTTTCAACGTTCTTAGAACTCAGGCAATGTTATTCCCACTGGTGTCGCTTCTGACATAACCACTGCTCTCCTGATATCAAGCACTCACTCCTATCATCATGGACCTTCTCTATGTCCTACACTGCTCCACCACAACCCCAGGAAGGACCCTCCCAATCTTATCCCAAACCATATATATGCTGCTATCACTTCTTTTCACAAAGCTGACCAGCATATTCAGCTCAAGTTTGGTTCTCTTGAATTGTTAGATTTGTCACTTAACTATATTTAGCACTGAGGTTAATAATTAATAATCCAATAATTAAGCATCAATTCTGCAATACCCAGTAAGTTTATCTCAAACAAGGAACAGTAGGCAGCCATTCAGTTCATTGTGCCTTTTCCATGAGTTTATTAGCTCTGGGCATATGTTTTAATCTCAATTCCTGTTCTTTCACCACATCCCTTAATACCTTTATAACTTGAGTAGCTTTCTCTTTTAAACATCCTATTGATCCTACCTCCACAGTAGGGTGCCCAACCCATGGCTCACAGGTCGGAAGTGATTTCATAGAATCATACAGCACAGAAGGAGGCCATTCAGCCCATTGTGTCTGTGCCGGCTCTTTGAAAAGAGCTATCCAATTCAATCCCACTCCCTCGCTCTCTCCCCATAGCTCTGCAAACTTGTCCTCCCCCAAAAATTATCTATTCTTCTCTTAAAAGCTGTTATCGAATTGGCTTCTACCACCCTTTCAGGCAATGCATTCCATATCCGAATGCGGATAATGGCATGACATAAATCAAGAAATATGAATTCAAAAAAATGTTTTTCACTTGCTGACCAAAAATGATTAGATTGAAGATCACAATTAAACTCATTTGCTAATATTCTACATTTTCAGAAACTGAGCCAGTCCCTGCTATCAAGAAGGTTAAGGAACATTGTTCTAAAGTGTCCTTGATCTATAGGAACCAACTTTTGCCTGGACTTTTCAACCTTTCCATCCCAATGCAAATAATGAGAAATGGACATACCTCGTACACTATAAATATCGAGAAAAAGACCAGTGAAAAGTTATAGACAACCATAATCTTCTTAAGGTCAAAGGGTTTCCTGCCAGCCATTAATTTGGGGCCCAGTGACAAAATAAAGTACACATAGAACAAGAGGATGGCAGTCATGGGGAGTGGAGAAGTCATGAAGGGGTATTCAGTGATCCTGGGATCTGTAAAAAGACAAAATTAGAATCAAATCAATGATAAAACCATTCCAAATATATAGTCAATTAATGTAGGCTCATAAGCACAGATATATAGCCTGAGCATCAGGGAATCCATTGTGAGGATATTTTAAAATAAGAAAGGAAAATGAGTGGGAGGCAATCGCCCAGAGAACAGTCCCAACTCTTTGTTCCCTCCTCAAGGTGATCGTGGAGTCCTACAGCTCAGTGGTTAGAGCACTCGCCTCGCAAGCGAGAGACCTGGGTTCAATTCCCGGCAGGGCAAAACCTTGGGTAAGTTTCCTTACTCCACACATCTGATAATAATCCTTCTGATAAAAATAATAAAATTGGTCACTTCAATCCACGACTGTTTGTGGGACACTGCCGTCCACAATTGGATGCCATATTTCACCCACAAATATACAATCAACTCACTTTACAGTATATTCCGTGAAGCCTTTTGAGACGTCTCGAAGATGTGAAAAGCGCTATATCAAATGCAAGGATTATTATTATGATGATGAATGATCACAGGTACTGTCAGCCTAACAGTGAACATTAGCAGTGCCATTGACAATGGAGCACACACTCGCTGTCCAGGAGCAAGGACTAGGTCTTTAGGAATAGAAATCATAGCAGATTCTTTCTCTTTCTGTAACCTGGAAATACCAAAGCTAACTGTTGACCTGGCTGAGATCAGCCAACACATCACACAGCAGAAATCAACCCTGGACTCTTAGCTTCTCTCTCGGTCAGTCAATACTGCACAGAATATTTGACCACTGAGTAATGAAGTGGCTCCCAGGGAGTTTGTGAAAAAAGGCAAATTTTTGGGTGTTAATTTCTCATCCTTATTGATAAACCTGGAGCAGTCACGTCCTTTAAACTTTATTGTACCAGACTCAAACATACACTGCAAAGTTGATTTGACTGTGTGTGGTGGGTGAAGGTACGAGCCAATTTTGCACACAGCAACATTCTACTGGCAACCACAAAGTAAATGACTCGTTTTATTTGGGGGAAATTAGTCAAGACCCCAGAAGGACTCCTTTCTCAATAATGCCACAGGAGCCTTAAAGTCTACCTGAACCGGCAGACAGGACTTTGATTTAACGTTTCATTCAAAGGACTGCACCTTAAATACAGCGCAACCCAGCACTACTTCTTTGATGGCAATTCAGTGGCTAATAATGACAATTTTGTTACAATTTCTCTCAAATAAGATCCTGTTAGGAAATCAAAAGTCACTTCAAACTGCTGATCAAGATGGTGGTCAATCAAACTAGAAATTACTGAAAGTATATTACGCAGCCAAGCACTTAGCAAGCTCATAAAATAAAGAAATGAACCTACATTCTAAGAGGAGTGGATCAAAGATTACATAAAATTAGTGAACTAGTTGTCAGACTGACTCGGTTGGCAGTACTTTTACCGCTGAGTCAGAAGAATGCGGGTTCAAGCTCCATGTTAGGTTTTTGAACTCAGTCTCGACTGACTTTTCAATACAATATGTCAATACAAGGCAATATCCTTTGAATGGGACATTAAACCAAAGTGCCGTCTGCTTGTTCAGGTGGACATTAAAGATCCCGAGGCACTATTCAAAAAGAGAAGAGAGTCTCTCCCAGCGTCCTGGCCAACAAATAAAATTGTTTACTCGCTTCATGACAGTTTGTGGGATATTCCCACGTGCAAAATGCTGCCCACGATACACTTTACAGTAATATCCTGTGAAGTGCTTTGAGTTGTTCTCCTGATGTGAAAGGCACCAGCTATCCCAATTACAAGGATTTTGTAAAAAAAAACAAATTAAATAGGGCAGATAGTCACCTGATCTTTTGAGGAGGTCCTCATAAACTTGGGCCACATGTGCCCCCACCTCTGCCAACATGATTACGAGAGGCACCACTTCCACAGCCTAAAAGAACAGAACACAAACATGACAAGCGTTAGCACAAGATGATGGAACAGTACATCTACCACTGAACAGATACAAAGTACAAGGAAAGTATTATTGAGGCGGAAGGCAAAATGGATAATTACGGCACTGCACAGACCTCCTGACCACCAAACTTTGCCAGTAACTTAGTAAAATTACAAAATTAAATTGATGTTTGACATTGACAACAAGTTAGCGAGCACAGACTCTCAATTGTCCCTCTCCTTCCTCCTCTTCTCCTCCCTTCCAAAAAAGGACCGTATAATACATATATAGGTCTGGGAGCATCGATGGGTTTCCACAGGGGCGGGGGAGGAGCAGAGCAGGCAGCGAAGTCTGAATTTCGGCAACATGTTGATTTAGTTATTCAGATCAAACCCGTGGCTGTGAGCACAAAACTGGTGTGAACAGATTTTCCTGTCTTGGTGTTGCTGCCTCCATATTGTGCTCCAGGGACATATTAAGACTTGTACACAGAATAAACACTATTTGCTGCTAAATACTGAGGAAAGCTTCCAACACAAAGTGGCGAACCATTCACTAGCAACTTTCAGCCACTTCCTAAAACTCTCATCTGAAGCCCCAGGTACCCACAACAAATAAGGGCTCAAGAAATGTGAATGGCGGTATCGCAATGCTACAAGTACTAACCTTCAGTAAATTACAGGAGACACCTTCTAACAGTCAGGTGTCTTTTAGGTGCGACAGGAACACAGGACCACAGCTCTTTCTTTAACAGCACCAGCAGCTTATAGAAGTCTACACAAAAAAAAACTGACAAATTAGAATACTAGATCTGAATATTTATTGCTGCTCTTTAAGAATACCAGATACAGTATGAACTACTCCCATATGGGATTTCCTGTTATGGTTCGAGCATCCGACATGCTCATTTCCCTACACATGGACCCCAGCATCCCACCCAATCTCATGTCATTCCCGGCTTTGTTTGAATGTTTACCTTCATAATCTTTTCCAAAAGAGTCGCTCAATGGATTGACAAGACCATTACTCCTGAACAAGATGCAGCTCATACCTTGCTGCTGGGTATGGAAATGAACCGGAGGAATTCTGGGCGAAAATGCTGTGCCATGGAATTGCCAAGTTCATTGTTAACCTGGCGCTGCCCCACGGTCTTCACACTAACCCAGATCATGTAGTGCTATCAGACATCAGGCTCTCCGCCAGAAACTATTGCTAAAGAATTGCAAGTACGTATCACATTGTGACGAGTTCACACGGTGAAATCAGGTCTGTCCTGCAGCTTATTGCTGTTCCGTGTGTATGGAAAAATTAGAACAGCCTGCTTAGTGTTTTGCATTGAAACCACATAGAAACACAAATCAACAGTGCAGGAGGAGGCCATTTCACCCACAAAATGTACAGTCAATTCACTTTACAGTATCTTCTGTGACGCTCTTTGAGACGTTGCGAAGACGTGATGAGGTGTTATATCAAATGCAAGGATTATTATTAATTTTGTGTCCAAAAATCTCAGAGCAAGGAGATCAATTCAGTCCCACAATACGCTTTATTCCCATACCCCTTCAAGTCCCTCGCTTTCATACACCCAGCTTCTTCCCTATTTGTGTGCATTGGTAAGCACGTTCAGCAGAGGATGTAGCCGTGAAGATAATGCTGCCATTCTCACGGGGCAAGCTCCAGGACAAGAGTTATGTGGCCACAGAGGGAGAGGTAGATTACTAAAGCAAAGGGAATCAGTGGAGACCATAACATAATCTGGTCAAATTAGCAGTATCTCTTCAAAGTGCATTCGGAAGCTGGCTCCGCAAATGTACTGGAACCTAAATCGGCCAGAAAAATACAAATGAGCTCCCTATAAAAACAAGCACGTGTGTGGAGACATGGCAGATAACTCACTTCAATTACGAGGCGGCTATTTCAACAAGCAGCAACACTGCAGGTTTCAGAGATAGATTTTAAACAAAATTCTAACATTGAAAATGACAAGTTCACCGCCAACTGTGTGAATCCTATTTGGACCATTGTTTTCTCTTATTGCTGGTAATAAAACGATTCAAAAGCACACCCAAATTTAGACTTGTGAACTCTCACACTGTTGCCAATGAATAAATCAATGTACTCTATTGGGAAAGAACAGGCTCATAGGCCACAAGTTAACACGGGAGTTAAACATTGTAAATGGCAAAGAAACGTTTCCCCCCCCCTCCTGCCAAAAAAAATCTTAATCTAGTTTCTGTGGAAGTACAAGCCACGTACACAGTGAAACGTATTGCTGTAGAGCTACATAAACCTATACTTATTTTAGTGCAGATTATTCTAAAATACATTCTGGGACACTAAATCTGGAAGTACAATATCTATCTGTGTTATCTAACACAGATAGATACTGTACTTCCATTGATAGTTCAATGAAAAAGCTCCAGTTCCAGATATTGAACAAAAAGCCCCAACAGCGATGAAATGAAACCCCCAAAGTTGGTCACTCTCTTAGCCCCATCGCAGGAGAAAAGGACAAATGTCATCAATCTGCTCACAAGGTGAAAACGTCAGAAATATCCAGCATTACTCAAAAGGAGATTCTCATTCAGAACGCACTCTTCTCTAGCGGGGTTGAAAAAAGAATACGAAAACCCCTTCAGTAAAACATCTTTGCCTGTACACAAGAGTAAATAGACAGAGTTCACCTTTTCCGAAAGCAGTGTAATACAATTACCGATAAAAACAGTTGCTGGGATACACCAATGAAACCCTAGTAACAAAAAAGTCTCAGTTTGTTTGTCAAAGGTGGGCTGTCCCTACAAAAGCACAGAGAACCTAAAAATGTGTGTGTTTTTTTTTTAAATTCCAATTTATGACTGGCTCCATCACTTGCAACTCCACCACTTCACCTCCAAAATCTAACTGGACTACGACAACAGTTCGGGCGATTCCTCTCGAGTGAATCGGAGCCATAGACAACTAGACGACCCCAAGATCAATTCCTAGTCCTAGTGAACTCTACCAAGTTCAGGTCCTACAACTGGTCTATCAAGTGGCACCTGCCAACAAACGAGTGAGTGTGGGTGGGTGTAGATAACGGCTGATCAAGATTCCACATGGTCTTAAGATTAAGATGCTTCTTGAAGTGTTTTGAACGCTTGAGACGCAACTGGAGACTGTTTGGGGAGTTAATAAAAGGCTTCCAAATTGAAAGATCGGAACTGAAGAATTCTTACAAAATTTGTCTTAAGACTTCGTTAGACCCATGAGAAATTTCAGAGCCTAGGTGCGATGCGGGTGGACGGTCGATTAGCTTGCCAACGCTCGATGTCAGCTCCCAGGTGAAGAATGTGTCCCCCTGGTAAAGAATGCACTAAGTTTTACATCTGTGGTGGATAGTCACGGCCACCGGAGTTATCCCACAGCTTTCTTTAAAAAAAAAGACAAAACATCCCAGCCAGTCCTGGGAACACCAAGTAGAAGGCCTTTAGGAGCCAGTAACAACGTTGCCAGTTTTTAAAGAGATTGCCTTTAAATGAAACAACCAATATCGCAGCGCAATAGAACATGAAGATAATATACCGGTTCAAAGCTAAGTGTGTCCATCCAAATAACAAGTTTAATCCTGATTGTACTGCCTAGTATTAATGAATTACATTGTAACAGCAATGTGTTCTCAGACCACCCCCCCCTCCGCAACAGGGCAAAAGCCCACCACCCCCCCCCACCCCCAACGCGGCAAAAGCCCACGCACCCCCCCCCCCACAACACGGCAAAAGCCCACCCAGCCCCCAACACGGCAAAAGCCCACCAACCCCCCCCACGCGGCAAAAGCCCACCACCCCCCACCCAACGCGGCAAAAGTCCACCCCCCCCCCCCCCCCAACGCGGCAAAAGCCCATGTTGTTCTGATCTGTAAAAGGCAGATCTGTTGCTCCACTTAGTAAAGCAACAGATGTTACCTGAACAATATACAATAGAGGTGCAATCCTAGTACTAACCACTGTCGAGGCCTAAATCCCATTGACATACACATATTCAGTCACTGAGGGCCAGCCCAAAGCACAAGGAATGCTGAAAATGAAGATCAACAGGTTTAAGTGGATGAGAGCATCCCGAACAGGTGTAATTGATAAATACGCCTGTAGCTAATTTAGCCAAACTTCGGTTTAACTTAAAATAGTGGGAGCCACTTTCTGAAACATCAGTGCTCATTTCCGCACGTGGATAGATGCAGTCCTCGCGCACAGACAAATGGGAAAATTGCTCCCCACATTAAAAAAAAATCTGTGAATTAGAGGAGGAATTCTTAAATAAGCGAAATAACATAAAGTCACGACACACTCCAGACGTTAACATGATTCAGCACCCGGTCCATTTGTATTGTTTTCAATCATACAAAGCAAAATGACATTTGTATAGCGCCTTTCACGTCGGGAGGACGTCCCGAGACACTGGACAGTCAGGGATTTAGACCCGAGCTGGGGGTCGGGATCGTGGAGGGCAGCCGAAGGCTTGGTCGAAGAGGAGGGTTTTTTTTTGAGACGTGCCTTGAAGGAGGCGAGGGAGCGAGTCAAAGGGAATGTGGGATGGAGCTCCATAGGGTGGGGGCAGAAAGCCTGAAGGTCCAACCGCCAACGGTGGGGCGGGGGAAATCCACACTGCGGCACACACAAAAACTCGTGCTGCCTTTTACTGAGCAATTCCCCTCCTCCACGCAAGTGTTCTCCGAAGGGGATTCACTCGCATTCCACCAGCACCATCAAACAAACACCGATCCGCGGCACCCGTCACAGAAACCCGCACACCTCGACTTCCGTGACCAGGCGGGATTGGCCGAAAAGATGGGGGAATTGGCTGACCAGCACTGCGTCCCGCGCACACTGTCCGGAGATCCGGGCGGGTCACCGAGACGTGACGGCAGAGCTGGAAATAGAGCTGAGGTGGTGGGGTCACAGCTCATGTGCGCACAGACAGGCATTCTGCAACCTGCCCCCCCCCCCCCCCCGTACTGCCAGCCAGAGGTGACCCCGCTCACTGCCGCCAACTGCCTCAAGAGCAGGTCAAGGGCCGGGCAGGAACCCGCTCGGAACTGGAACACACACGACCAGGAAACTAACTGCTGAGAGCCTCCCTGAGCTGTTACAGGGCTGAACCCACGGGCAGGAAACAGCAGCAGCTCCACACCACCACACCCCCCCATAAACCCCATAACCCCCCCATAAACCCCACACCCCCCATAAACCCCATAACCCCCCCCATAAACCCCACACACCCCCATAAACCCCACACACACCCCATAAACCCCACACACACCCCCATAAACCCCATAACCCCCCCCCATAAACCCCACACACACCCCATAAACCCCACACACCCCCATAAACCCCATAACCCCCCCCATAAACCCCACACACACCCCATAAACCCCACACACCCCCATAAACCCCACACACACCCCATAAACCCCACACACACCCCATAAACCCCACACACACCCCATAAACCCCACACACACCCCATAAACCCCACACACACCCCATAAACCCCACACACACACCATAAACCCCAACCCCCCCATAAACCCCACACACCCCCATAAACCCCACACACACCCCATAAACCTCATAACCCCCCCCATAAACCCCACACACACCCCATAAACCCCACACACACCCCATAAACCCCACACACACCCCATAAACCCCACACACACCCCATAAACCCCACACACACCCCCATAAACCCCACACACCCCCCATAAACCCCACACACACCCCCATAAACCCCCCCCC